ACAATATGCAAAATGTTTGGGGCTCCTGGGAGGCGAAGCATTTGCATGCAAACTATGCACGAGTGATGGGCAGTCCCGGGGCAAATGGAGTGTCTAAGTGTTAATATGGGCGGCGATGAGGAGTGAATTGAAGGAAAGTGACTGAAAGGTTTATCAAAAATATAAAAGCGGAAAATATCCAGATAATTAGATATTTTAACGGCTTAGCTATGGTGCCTTTTGAAAGACGATACTCGGGCCTGCGGTAGTGTACCCGAAACCGAGGGCAGGTTCCGATTCTCGGCGCATGGAGAGCTTGGCAAACCACTTCAAGTGGGAAGCGTTTTTCGGGACTGAAACGAATGCGTCCTAAAAGGTTTCCCGTGTCGGTGGCTTCATCAAAGCTCTGGGTGGGATGGTCCGCCAGCCGTATGGGCGTATGATTTATCAGCTATGAATATGAACTGACATGAAGTGTGGAGTACTCAGCCACTGCTACCTACAGGGAAACATGCAGAGGGCGGAACCGGCAATTAGCTTGCAGGCAATGCGTAGTCAAAGCACATTTTGTGAATTGGGAACAAAGTGAACATAGAAACGGGCTTATTAAATTACAATAAATGCGATCCAAAAACAAAATTTACCTCGAGGGACTCTCCAGCTCATACTGTTTACGTTTCAGCTCCCTCGTAGCGAGCTATGTGGAATTTTTACGCCGTACGAAGAAAAACAAAGCGACGGAAAAGAAAAACAAGACGATAGGAAAGCTATCCTGCGGCCATTTGGCATAAAGAGTAAGTGGGTGTATCTACAGGCTTGTGTGTTAACTTTTTCGGATGCTAACGGAGCAGAATCAAGCCCCAAAAGAAAAAAAGGAGGAGCAGTAGAGATCAACCTTTCAACAGGAGTCCTAAAATAACAAATGAAAAAAAGTGAAAAATCTCTTCTCGCCGATAAATACATTCCCAAGCAAGAAAGTAAAAGGAGAGAAACAAATTTAATCAAAACCTTGTTAAGGCCAAACGGAAGATGGACGAAAAAGGCGTACAAATTATGACGAAAACACCTCAATTTGTTGCCCCTACTCCTCCTCGGGCCAGGAGTCCAGTTGACAAACAGGGAATCCATTTTTGATGAAGGCCAGACAGTGACAGATACACAAAAAGCCGCTCTAGCTAACTACATACAGCCGACCAAAAAAGGAAAAAAAGAAATGCGAGGCAGGAGCGAGATGTCCTGTCCTGAGCATAATTTGGGTCCAAAAAGTGAAATTTTCAACACGACAAATTGCCCGGATGGCGGAAGTGGATGTCCCCTATTCCAAGGGAATACAATCAATACAAAAGGAGAACTGAGACTACACAGGACACAGGATACAGAACGGAGAATGGAGAACCGAGAACAGCGGGCATTTGCCAAAAGAAATGCCCATCAATTTTGTTTGTTGTCATTTATAAATTTGCTCGGCCTTTTGTTTTATGCATTGTCCTTTGCTATTTACGGAAGAAATATGCAAGAGAATTGTGTGGGTGGATAGGGATAGCCTTTCATTCTTCCTGGTGTGTGTATGTGTGGGTGTTTGTAGAAAAGACGCGGGTTTAATGTCCCAGGATTCTGTTGCCGCCATCTTCTGCAACTCCTTTGATTTTTGCTACTCCTGTTTCTGCTCCTGCTGCTGCTACTGGTACTGCTACTCCTTTTGCTTTTGGTCCTGTTTATGTGCGCCACATAAAACTATCAATTTATTGCTGCAAAATCGTTGCGCGCTGTTTCCTTTGGCTGGCGCTTCCTGCATGCTGACGCCCTCACCCATACATATATACAATTGCTGGGTGCATTTGTGTGCAGCTGTGTGCGTGCCGTTTGCTCTCTTTTCGTGGGTTTTGTTATTATTGTTGCAGCCTTTTAGGCGCCACTGTGACGAGACAACAGGCGTTTGCAGCTCTCATCCTTTTGCTTTTACATCAACTGCTTTTGCTTCTTCTTCATCTCCTTTCTATGTGTTTGTATCAGTGTGTGTTTGTGTGTGTGTGTGTGTGGGAGCAAAAGGTTTTCCCACTACGCGAACTTTGTTACAAATTTTTGCGACTTATTTTTCGCCACGAACTCTGCACTCACCACTTTCCAACTCCTTCCAGCCCGTCCTTCCGTCCTGTCATCTTCCCCATTCTTCCATCCTGCCATTTTCCATCGCGTTCGCGTACTGCTTCTGCATTACGTATACGCCACGTATACGTCTGTCGTGCGACAAAAATAGCATCAGTTGGCACTTTTTGGCTCTGGCCACCCTCGAAACTCATCCGCCGCCATAGCTACAGAGCTCCTTGGCTTGGCAACAGCCAAATCCTTTTTATGCTTTTGATTTTTTGACACCCGACTTGGACGTGTTGTTGTGGCTTCGCTCCTAGCCGTCGCTTGTTGTTGCTATTGGGTGTCTTAGTGTCAACATGCGTTGATTCTTTTAAGCCACGACTGCCATCAGCGCCGTCAGGACTTTGTGTAGTACAGTTGCCGCAAGCGATCTGTGATTTGCATACTCAGATGCACTCGAACGTCATGAGAATTGGCATTTGCAAGTGGATTCTGTTGACATGTGATTATACTTACTTTTCAAGTTCTAATTTGAGTACGAAGCATGCTTGTTAGAGCTAAAAATGTCCCTTTATTTGATTACATAATGCATACCAAGCCAATTGTACTTTTTTTTTTATTTTGTTTTGTTGCCCAGAAAGTGGATGAGAAACTGTGCCATTCACCCTGCCCCAAAAAGCGCTGAACTGTTGTAGGTGGCGTCGCTTATTTCGATTTATTGCAACAACGATAAGCACCACCAAGCCGAAGAAGCAGTCGCAGACCCAGAACCACCAAAACCAGCACCACCCGAACTGTTAGCTGCACATCGCCAGTTACCCGAGGAGAAGGGCAAAACTAGCAAACAAGCGCAAAAATCAATTTAAAGTTCAATAGCCTCAGTAGCTGGCTAACTGACTGACTGAGTAGGTGGCTTTGGGGGCGGGTGACTTGGCCCGAACCAAAAAACCAACCAAAAACATAAAGCTCGGGGAAAACTAACAAGACCAAATTATCCACAACTACAGAACGTTGCAACAATTTGCAAGTAACTTGTGTGTGAAATGAAGTTCAAAGTACAAAATGTGGGTTGACGACGGCGGACGAGGCAGCTTTGAAACAAGGAGCGAGACAGGTCTCGATCCTTCTGGTAATAAAACTAATGGCATTCATGGCGTATGCGTAATATGTATGCAAAAGAAGAAGAAATGACAGAGTCAAAGGGAAAAATCTGCATACCACAAGGCATGCCACGAACCAAAAACGTGCCCAAGTATCCATTGATGCAATTATGCGGCGACCAGCGAAGTTGATAAATGGCAATCGTCAAAAGCGCCTGTGGCGGCATTGGCGACACTGTCATCGCCTTTTCCCCCGACCCCTGTCGTGGGTGAACCATTCGCTATTACCATTTACCATTCTCAATACTCTTTATGGATTGAGAAGATGTGGGCGCTCTTCAAAATGCAAATGGCTCTTCGGCACGACACGCAGTTGGAGCTCGAACTTGGGCCGCCCAGACAACCAGACAATGTGCCTAACGAAGCGCACACACCTGGTCTACCTGGACGGCTCTCATCAATTGATTCCATGATGACAGCCGAACAACATTCCGCTCCAAGGGGCGCTGGCTGGCTGAAACCTGGCGGGAAGTCGAGTGTCGAGTTTCTCCCATTTACACCCACCCAGTCGCAGTTATGCTTTGTCAGTGAAAATTGCAGTAGCATCTAGGTGGTGGCACACCTGACAAGTGCCGAGCCAGGTATCACTTCATTTTCGGCTCAGACACTGTTCTGCCCTCACCCCTGCCCTCATCTACTAAGGGTGTCACGTTAATGAAATGTAATTCACTTCACAAAGGACACGAGTGTAAATTGTTTTAAAGTGCACGGCAAAAAACACTTGCTAACTCAACACCCCACTGATGATGGTACAACTGATTTTTATTGCAATAATGATAAAATGCACAAAAAAATAATACACCAACTTCTACATACATACGTAGTACATACATATATGCTGAAGGAGTAGACAAAAAAATGCAGGATGTAGCCAAAAATAGAACAGGAAAGTTTTCCGAGAGCCGAGCGAAACGCGGAAATGTTGAGAACGGTGGGGGCCTTGAGGTGGAAACGGGGCTGAGGGCAATGGAAAACCTATACGGACAACTTGAACACAAAATCCAAACACACACACATACACCCATGCAAGTGTGTACTGTACACACATGTGGCAGCTAAACCGGAGGCGCCAACATGTCCTACAAGTGATTTATTTTTATGTATTTGTTGGTGGAAGGCAGAACAAAAAAACCAGAAAAGGGAAAATAAAATAAAAATAGTAAACGAGAAATGGCGAAGAGGCAAGAGAGCACAAAGTGAAATGCCACAAAAAAAAAAAAAAATAAAGTTTGTGTTACAGTTTGTTGTAATTGTTGTTTTTGGCGGCAGCAGCGGCGGTGTCGTTGCAAGGGAACCGAAGCCAGCCAAGCCAGATTTTCTCCAACTACCCAGCCACCTCCCACTCCCTGAACAGAATCAGCCACAGAAAGTAGTAAAGTAGCAAACGTGCAACTATTTATAACGGCAAAAACCTGCTAAGCGGGCTACACAAACAAATGGCAACCGTGTGGCAGACTGGCAGTGGCAGTTGCAGCCTGGCCAGGGAAGCCTGGCTGGAAGGAAAAAATATCTGTAGCATACTTTTATGCTAACCCGCCGCATGAGCTGATGGCTGGTGGCTAGGGGCTGGGGGCTATCGTTTTGCAAGTTGCAACATTTAGACGCAAATCATGGCAGACATTAGCGTGTGCAAAAGTTTTTCACTGAACGATTTATGCGAAAAGTTTGGGGCTTCTTAGGTACCGGGGCTTACCTCTTACCTGGGCAAAAACTATTTTGACTGACTGTCGTTGCATGTGTCTGATTTGTTTTTGTTTTTGCTTGTTGCAGAGTGCCCCACCGCCATGGATGGCATGGAGCGGTTCGCCTGCCCGATACCCGACCGGCAGGGCAGATACCGCTGCATAGACGATCATGTGCTGTGCGACGGCTTCATCGATTGTCCTGACGGCGAGGACGAGGACCGAAGATCCTGCATGTTTTACAAGACGGTAAGTTACTATTACTATAGACTAGACTTCGAATAAATAAGAGATTAATTAAATCCATTATTTCTTGTATTTTTTGATTAATTATTTGCAGACGAAGGCTCACTTGGATGTGTTAGCGGATGCGTTACTGCGCTGGGCGCGAGGGCGTTAAGCTCCACCCACCCACCAAGCCTACAAACACACGCCGACACTCACACATAAACGACTTCTAAAAGACACCCACACTATAGCAGACAAAAACCAGCCATAATTACAAACAAAAAATTAGTTTTAACGAACCTCAAGTAAAGCTAAAGCCTATTAAGTTTGAAAATTCCACGCCCCAAACACAGACCCCAGTCTTTTCCCTAAAGAGAGAGAGAAGGCAGGGAAAGAAATCCCCAATGGATCGAGAAAAAAAACCCAAAGACAGGACTAGACTTCAGCTCGATGGAGAACTAAATGGATTGCCAAGTAAGAGAAAAACAGGATGCTATTGATTAAAAACCAAAATGAACATTATGACGCAACAGATACTCATAAAGAAAAGATATGATTATTATTACACTATTATTATTAAAAAATTAACTTAATGAAAGCCCAAGACATAAAAAAACAAAAATAGCGGTTATAAATACTAAAGCTACATTTTAATTCAGCAAAACAAAATAAAAGAAGAAAAACGAAATCGAAATCGAGCAAAACAAGAAAATTGTTACAAAAAAAATACGAATATATATTTTTATTTTTCATTTCGAATTTCGAATTTGTTTCGCAGGAACAGAGAGAGCCGATAATGAGGATAAACAAAATTGGGCCTAACTATTTTTAGTATATATTAAAAAAATATATTATAAATATATCTTACTATATGAAATATATTTCGTGTACATTATTTAATTATACGTGTATTAAAGTATAAATGTTAAATAAACCAAAAATGAAATCAAAAACGAAGAAAGCATGGCAAAAAGGCATGAAAATGGCAAGGATAAAAATGAAGTTATATATACATATACACAGAAAAAAAAAACCGACATAAAAATATATATTAATAGTATACATATACCAATAACAAACAAATATACAATTGACGGAATATATTGCATTAGGTTTTATTGCTGATTACTGAACAAGAAAAATGAATGCAATATAATATACTTATATACAAATGCAATAACAGCAAGTTTAGCAAAAAAAAAAATAAGAAAAACATTTACAAATTAGACGAGAAGCAAAAAAAAAAAAACATTTTACATAAAGAAAAAGACTTGACTTCATTAAACCGATTTTGTTCAAATAGCATTTAGCGTTTTGAGTTCAAAGTTCTCTCATTCATATATTTCCATCATATTTTGCCCATATACTCTATTGTTTTGATCATGTGTGTAAATATGTACTTTAATTTAATTATGATTTGCATTTCAAGATCTCTCTCACTTGAAACAAAAAATCAGTAAACAGAAACATTTCCCGTTTTTGATTAGTTCATGAGTAAGAAAAACAGTTCTCACGGAAACGGCAGCTATCTGTAGTTAAGTAAATTTATTTACATTATTAAAAAGTATATTTAAATAACAATGGACTTATAAATATACATGAAAACACGATAAGCTTATAAGCAAAACGACAAAAGCTTGTAAAAATGCTAACTTACCCCAAAAAAAAACTTAAAAAACACAATTGTTTCCATTTCAAAGTTTGATTTCCCAAAAAAATAAGAATTTTCAAAACATTTTTCCGCTCCTTCTATTGAAATTCCAGAGATTCAGTCGTTATTGTGGGCAATTCCCAAAACACAATCAATCAATTATGAAATACAATCAAGCAAATTTTTAAGCCGAAAATTACGAATTAAAATTTTTAAACGGTTGTGTACGCAAACAAATAACGATCAAGGCATTAAAACACGAAAATAAATTCGCAAATTAAAACCAAATAATGAGTAACCACTAATGGGATTTTCATACAAAGTATTGCAATTGAAACACAAGGTCGTCTTTTGTTTTCTTTCTTCTAATATGTCTTTAAAGGACTCTATATTGTTTCAAATGGTTTGATTTTCTTTTGAATGAGTGTATGACAAATGTTTAATTATTTCAAAATGAAATAACATATGAAATTGCGAGCAATAAAATTTCATATCTTATACACAGTACGTATATAAAATTTCGAACAATTAATATATAAATATAATTGAGTATGTGTTTATGAATAAGTTTGTATTTTACATCGATTCCCCCAACCTCCTACCCTCCTATATCAACGATCTTCGTTAAAAACTAAAAACTGAATACTAGGAGACAAGCCTTGGTGTTTTTATTTAATTGATTGATTCAGTAAAACATTTACATAAATAACTGCAAAATAACCCACCTTTAAATATAAAAAGTGAAAAAGTAAATTAATAATAAAACTTCTATGCCATACGAAATCCAAAAATAAAGTAATGAGGCAAGGCGACGTACGTATAACTTTAAGTAAAAAACTAAATACCATAACGAATACTTATGTATGTATATGCAAGTAATTAATTGTAATCCTTGAAATTATGCACAAATTGAAATTCAAACAAGAACAACAACAAACACGCACTAAACTACAACAACTACAACATCAACTAAAAAAACTAAAAAGGACAAACCCCGACAAAAAACAAATCAAATGGCGAACAAAAATTTTAATCACATTTTTTGATCGAGCGGCAGTTAAGGTAAATGGTATACAGAGCCACAAAAACACAGACATACAAATACATATATATTTTTGGCCTATTTTTCTATAATCCTAACAAAGACAAGGACATTTTAAAAGCGAAACCTCTTTAAGGACAAACCCAATGAAAACACACAAGTTCGATTGTAAATAAAAATACTCTTAAACCAAAATATTTCAAGGATTTTCCGATTGAAGAAGAAACTAACGAAGATCGTTTAACACAGACACACACTTTAAGATACCCTTCCTACTTAATTAGATTTTATATATTTAGCTTTTATTATAATTAATTAATTAATATTATTATTTTTAGCCTATTTAATCGATTACACTTTTGATTTAGCCTTCGCTGGCTGTCGCAGAAAACAGTATTGTGTATAAAATAAACAAGAAAATGTGTAAATAAACATATTATGGTCTAAATTAGTGTGAAAAGTGTTTATTTTTTAATTTTAACCGTACTTAAATTACTAAGTGTTTAGTTTTAAACTTATTTTTTAAATACCAAGTAAAAAACGAGAAAAGAAACGGCGCTAAGGAAAAAACCAAAACAGCAGATACAGAATATTAAGCTATGAGAAAAAAACAAAACACAAAAAAAACAATTGTTAAATGTTAAAAGAAGGACATACACATATACACACACACACACACAACCATAGGTACATACACACAGACATACAAATATAAACATACATATATTTAAGAGTATATAGAACGCTCGCCACACCTTAAACTTGTATTTATTTGTATTTGTATATTTGCAGAAGAAATTGAAATTGAAATTAAAATACCGAACAACCCAAAAACTAAATTATAGAGAAAGATGGAGTTTATTAAACGAAAGATTATGTATTATGAACTACAAGTCATAAATGTAGCAAATGAGCGCCTAAGATCGATCGACCTAGTCTACAATTCTTAATGATGATTTTCGTCTTACCAAGCCCTTTACAAATATTTTATTAATAAGTATTTGCTGTAAATAATTTTTGCCTGTCTTCTTTTTGATCTCTTCATATCCTGGCTCTATCTTTCTGAAAACTAATTTCACATTTGTAGAAGGTATTACTTATATCTTTTTAGCATAATTCCCCTTTCTTTTGATTTAGCAACCAACCGTTTTCTTAACTACTTATAATAATTAATTATATATTATACGGATATATGATAATGCAAGAAAATGAATCGAGAAAATACACAAAAAAAAAACAAACATTTAAAAGAAAAAACAAAGAAAAAATGGAAAACAAATACACAACTTAATATACACTGAAAACCAAACCGAAACAAGCATTTCTGATTTTTTACTTCTTCGCAAGACTTTTCAGAATATATATATTTTCTCTTTATTTCTACAACACAAACGACACCAACAACAATCCAGATTGTTGCCACACTAAAGCAGTAAGTCAATAGAATACAACATATGCATGCGATTATCCTTTAATATTTCATATGATTTTGCAACTTTGTGCACATATTTGTCCTTTTGAGTTATGAGTTGTGGCAAGCTGAGAGCCAGAGTTCTTCCGCAAGTCCTTGACATTCGCAGAAGAGCACCTGAAACCGTAAAGTTTGAGATTATTCGGGAATCCTCTTGTAGAACATGCCTTTGGTAAGTTAGTCTGAGTGCTAGCCGGGCCAAAACATCTTCTAACCGGCTAATAGAGCTCTTCACCTGGCAGTAGAACAAACTTTTCAAAACTTAGTAAATAGCATACGTTTCAATTATCAACAAGTAACAAAAATATAACAAAACGAAACAAATTTTTGAAGAAAAGAAGCCCAGAAGAAAGTAGTTTGTTGCAACATGCATAGATTTTGGAAAGGTAGAACCCTCTTATGGTTCCCACAAAAGGTAAAAAAACGGAAAGGAGTACGAATATAGATTTAAATGGATATTATCACGTATTAAATATAAATGTTAGTATAATTAAGTGTACACACACACACAAAAGTGAGTAGATTTGCTTTTGCTTGCCACACGAGTGTTGGCCCAAATGCTTCAAGTTACCCAGCATTATTCACCAAAGAAATATGTGTTTCGATGTAGATGAGTGTTTTAGTAAAATCTAAGAAGTCAAAGATTTAAGCCAAAAATTAAATATACTATATAGAAATTGTGTCCAATGACAATTCGTTTTCGCATTGGAGGCTGCATACAAAGCTTAGAACAAACAGAATACAAACAATAGCTGCAATAGTCTTGATTATGGACATAAAGTGACCTTTAATGGGCATCAGGTGTTGTATGCCATTGAATCGAGCCAGCTTTTTCTGACCTCAAAAGGTCACCAAAAGCCGCACTCAATGCAAACACAACCAGAGCCACTGGTGCAATTCAATGCCACTTTTAATCCGCCCATAGGCACAACCAAACACTAGGTAACACTCATACGAAAAGACACCTTTTTGAAATTTGACCAATTAAAATAAACATCCGTTTTTAGTTTTCAGTTATTGTCTTGATGACATACCAATTTGGGGCTTTGTTGCCGGGTTTTGTATGCAAATTGCTGAAAACAAATTGTTTGTAAATGCAATTTGTCAAAAAGTGACATTAGGTCGTGTTTTAAAACTTGCCAGTGAAGAGCTTCAAGTTTTGAGTTTTCAGACTACAAGCTTAAGGATTTCCCAGGATAATTGATGACCAATTATGTCTACTAGGTTGAATACTTTATTTAATATTTCTAATTGGTTCCACATTATCATTTAACCTTAATTGATGCCATTTAATATGCATGCAATTCATTAAAAATTCGCAACAAATTCACATTCGCCCATCCAGACACTAATAAATAATTTTTAATTGAGACAATTAGCGGAACAAAATATTATGACAAACACAATTAGCATAACCAATTTTGCACTTCTGCACATTTTATGTGATAAATATACAAAAACCAAATTCAAAAACGAATTATATCTATTTAACTGCACCACAAATGCACTTACCCGAAAGAAAAACATTACTGTTGAAACAGAAAAGACAAAACACCTGAATTCGTATTAGAGCCTGATTAATTAGTGATTATACTTTGTGTAAATCGTTGTTGTAGTTTTTTGCACAAATCAGCACAATATGATACTTAGAATCCGGGGGGAAAATTAAACAAATGCCCAATTTCTTACTTACTATATATGTATTTCCTTCTAGTCCTTTGGGTCGACTAATTAAGGTTACGAGGTCTTTAGAGCTTTGAGTTGAGATTTACTTAAAAATTTTTGGGGCAAGCAGATCAGTCTTCCACGGCACTAAACTCCGAATTTCCACTCATACGATAGCAACACCCATTCTCGTTAAGCTTTTGGACGCACAGGGAAGGTCCCGACAAACCCATCAGGAAGAGCCAACTTTTAAAATGGAAACAAATGAATATTTTCGAGCTATAAACGTAAGTAGTCACAAGTACCTTAAATGCAAATCGAAGAAATGTATGTGGATGTGGAGGGCAGGCGAGTAGCGCTACAAGAAAAACTGGCTACACCCACTAGGGCACACTCGTACACATACATTCCCCTCTTAACATGCACACAATCAAGGCTTAAAAGCAATCCGTCCTTAATTGAAACTTTTGAGCGGAATCTCCAGAAAAATACCCAAATATGCCGAAGAGTTCGACTCTAAAATGTTTAATTAAGTCTACACACACTATCCCCACTATAACCCTTCCCTTTTTCCACCACCACGGCCCCTTAAACCAGCTTACACACACACACGCACCCACAAGGACATCCACACTCTCTCACACACACACACGGACAAGCAAATGCACTTAAATTGTAAATGTTGTGATTATAATGCACCGCCTCAAAGTATGCACCAAAATTTTTGAAAAATGTATTTTTGCACCATTTTTAAATGCACAACCAATTAAAATTAAATATTTGAAAAAAATGATATTAATTAAATGTATTTTAATTAAATTAGTTTATAAAGTGTTAAACAATATATTTAACGAGAAAAAAAAGAAACTTGGAGAGGGATTTTCTATTACTGTTATTTTTGTTTCACTTAAAACCAAAAAAAAAAAAGTCAAGAAAAGTCTGCGAAATATATAATTCCACTGACGCAATGTAAATACTCGTACAGAACAAGATGGATGGAATAACGAAGTCTAAATAATTTAGTAATTGTCACTATGTAAATAGACCAAACCGAACACAAATAGAAAGAACAGCGACCGAGACCGAGACAGATACAGATACAGATATAGACACACTCACAGATATATAGATACATTCACGGATACAGATAAAGATAAAGATACCTTATGTAGAGCAACAAGGAAAAGAAAGTCGCAACGACGAAAGATGATGTTTTTAACTTTAATTAGAAAGTGTTTTATGTATTATTATGTATGTATGGTAACCCACACAGGAAGTCCTACTAATAATTTCTAAGCCATTTAACTTGTAAATTATTATGGTTATAAATGTATAATGTAATGTACGGTACACGAATATATATATTATGATAGACATTATACATATATATATATGCGACTGTGCCAGGAGGATGCGATGCGGGTGGTGCCCCAAATAGAAAGACAACTGCGACTAAACCAACCACGATATATAAATGTGTACATGTGTATGGTTATAAATGATACCTACTTCAGTTTGCCTACGATTCCAAACAAAAAAATATATATAAATAATGAAAACAAAAAAAACACGTATAGGTATAAAGCGAATATATATTTCAAAGAAAATACAGCTGCAACCAGATTCGAGTTCAAGCAAAACCCCAAAACAAACAGAAAGCGAAAAAAACCCGATACAATTATTAATATTGAAATTTAATTATATGCATTTGCAGCATAAGGAAAAAACAATGTATTACCAACAAAAAAATCTCTATATATATGTACACAACAAACAACTAATTTATGAGATTATATATATACATATAACAGCAACAGCAACAGAAGTATATGTAAAATTAAATAAAAACGAAGCCTCAGTCAGTATAAAAAAAGGTTCTGTGTTTTCATTATTTTTACATTTGCAGCTGGTCTGGTCTATTTAATATCATTTCATATATCAGGTAATGTAATCTATTTGCAATAAAGATGGTTGCCTCCGGCCGTTATGGTTTTATGACTTATGGAGTAACTTATTTCCTTAGTTGATGTAGCATAAAAGGTAATTATTATCCTCGCCGATTCAGCGTTTTTCTTGGAAGCATAAGCCGGCAAAAGCTCGGGGGATCCTTTGGCGTAAATATTTTGTAAACAAGCAGGTGTCGTAAATTTTAATTAGCCTTGGCCAAAACTAATTTCATGTTAATAAGCAAAAGTAACATCACAATGTGGGGGAAGACTCTGGGTGACATGATGCCATTTTGATGGAGTTTCCATTGCACCCCGGAGTAATGCTGGATCCCTACTTTGTGGTCGCTTGATTAAGCAGCTCCCCTTCACAAGCGAGTCTTGAAGAAAACCAAACCCTAACGAAGCCAACTCATGCAAATAAAAAGTCGCGTAACGCGAGTCCCTCCATCGGGAAATGGCAAAGGTTAAAGGTCGAGAAGGCCACGAAAAAATATGAGCAGGAAGGAGAAGACTGTCATGACCTTTTGCGGAGCTGGAAGAACTCGGCTGTTAATTAAGGTGTGACAAATGCAATCTGCAGACCAGTTAAGCGTGCAATCAGCCAAAGGCCAATCCAGTTGGTTCATTAAAAGGGGATTTAGCCAGGCCCACATCGTATGTCCGTATATACCGCATGCCATCACACATATGGCCCCCATGAAGGTCTAGGCGCGATAAAACAAATGCCAAAGCCTAAAATGGCAGCTTCTGGCATTTGCCATTCGCATTCGCCTTCGCATCGCTTGTAAATAAATTGCCCTTAAATCCGGCTGCAATTTGTTGCACACCCCCCATCGATCCGGTTCGGAGATGAGAGTATCCTGTATCATAGATGCCAGGATGGATAGCAGAACCGAACGTGCCCTGAATCGACCTTGCCCCGGGGGCTTCGAATTATTCGGGGACTGGTGGAGTAACAAGAATCCGTATATGGTGAAAAATAAAACAATTCAATTTGTTTGTCTTGGTTTTGGTTGGTTTTTTGCCTGCTTGGGTTATTTTTACATCAACCAAGAGAATTTTGGTGCAACTGCCAAACAAGTTTTGGCAACAGAACCCAACCGAACCGAAACACCCACTCCTGCTCCAGACTTGGCCAAGAATATATATGCATTCATACTTGTCGCCTAATGCAAAATGTTGCGGTCTGTTTCCATTAAAGCTCCTTTTTAGTTGGCTCTTGGCAATCGTCCTGCGTTGTCCTTGGCTAGCGAACGGTTTCCCCTTCGATATCCCTGTGACAGTTGACACATGCGGGCAGGACCACGCATTCCATATACATATACACCCCGAAATTTGTCCAGTTAGGAGCTGCATTTCGTGGGCTGGACATTAACCCATTTCCAGCAGACACGGCCATTTCTTTTAGCCCAAAACAAAGAAAAAATAAAAATACATTTTGACACAAAAAAAAAGTCGTTCCGTTGACATTTCTTTGTGAGTCTCATAAAATCTGTTGAAATCATTGCCGCCCATTTTTTGTCGTCAGTGTTTTTTTTTTGTAGCAGAATCTCATTTACTTACGCCACGGTAAAAATGTTCTTTTTTTTCTCTCAAATTTTTCGTATCTTTAGATGAGCCATTTTATACGGCCTTTATTAATATTAATGATGCCCGCCACGGATGCTGCAAAATATGTTAAAAATTTGCTTTATATTCGCCTTTGTTGCCTCCATTATCCGCCCGGACTGGTCAAGCTGTGTGTAGTTTTGTTGCACGACATGACGTATACGTGATATTCAAATTAACTTTAGCTCACACCGCCAAAAAAACATGGCTGGAAGTCTAACAGTCAATCAAAAACCAATCTGCATTTACCATGAAGACTAGCCCAGGCCAATTTGCATGCTGATCCAAGCAAAAAAATAACCAAAAACCGAGGAGTCCTCATATTCTCGTAATATAATCATCAAACAGAGACCCAGAGCCCTGTTCTGGGCTATTCTGGTGCAACTTTTCCTGCTGCCGTTGTAGTTTTAATGTCGGAATGGTCGAAATAGTCGAAATAGCAAACCCAGAGGGCCAACTTGGGACAAAAGCCGTGGTGGTGCATGGTATTTGGTATTTGTTATTGTCATTGGTTGTTGCCCCACAATGTAATTTGGTTGGGATTTTCACGACTTGTTGGCTTTCCCCCAGCTAACTTGGCTAACATCACAAACAACGGCTGTTGGGTGCTGTTGTGTGCTATTTTGGTTTCCCAATTTATTTATTTCCAGGCACTTTCTTTGCTCTTCCATTTTCTATATTCAACATTTTCACAATTCATCTACAATTGATGTTGAAATTGCGGGGTGATTTGCGTTTTTTTTAAAGGAAATACTGTTTTAAATATGAAAAAATATTATGCAAAAAAATTATGAATCGATCCTGCCAGGAGTCGAACCTGGAATCTTCTGATCCGTAGTCAGACGCGTTATCCATTGCGCCACAGGACCCTTTGAATATTATCAGAAAAATAGCTTACTCCTATACACAAATCCTCCTTAGAGCATTTGATAGTTCCTGTTAGATATCCTTTTCTGCATATCCTATTTCTGTATCCTTTGTTTTCATTTCAACTTTCAATTCCAATTTTTTGGATTATTCTTTTTCGATTGCGAATAGAATAGAAATTGTTTCGGTTATTTGTTGTGTCAACACCCAGAGAGTGAGATAGCGTCACTAGCACCACTAAAACACCACCAGCCTGCCCCACCCCCGCCTGTTGTGGCGCTTTGATTTCAGTGGCACTGGCAGACAATGGGACGTCTCTAATGTCCCCGGGGGATGCTGGCTGCAAAGTATATTGGAATTGTTCACAATGTGAGCGTATTGTATTTGCTTAATTATTTTGGTCGATTTAAGCGTTTAGCTTTTTGAAAAGAGCTGTCAAACTGCGACGTCAGGATGTCAGTCAGCGACATCAACGAAAGCGAAAAAAAACACCATCAACGAGACACAATGCCATATAATAATCGCGCTAATTTTTGTCGAAGGCAGGAGATTCCGTCTTAAAGTTTTCCCACCAACAGGTCTTGTTTATTATGCCAATATTGTTATGGTAAATGCCAAAAATTTACATACTCCTTGTAAATTCCAAGTTACGAAGAGTCCCTTTCCTCATCTTCGTCCTCCACGCCCACGGCCTTGTCCGGATAGAATTTCTTCAGAATCTTCTGCACCTCGGGAACTAGGGTCTCATAGTCGGGAAACTTGTCCCGTCTCGGCGGACCCTTGTCCAATCCCGACCAGAGCTCGTGCACAGAGGTACGGGCATTTTGAGAGAAGCCGATCTCGAAGGCTCCTTCCCGGGGCAACAGTTTTCCGTACTTGTTCTTCACCAACTGGAACTTTCGCTCCGGAATCCGTTGCGTGAAAAAGGCACCGCATTCATCGGCCTTGGTCGTGAAAATAGGGCACTCGTAGGTGTGCTCCACATAGATCATAGACCGATCCTTGGTGAAGTTCTCGTCAGCGGCCCAGTCCACCTCCTTTTTGGATTTTTTGGGTGGACCTTTTGGCGGCATGGCTCCAGACAAGGGACTCTCCTAATTTTTTTGACCCGAGAATGTATTTTGAAAAATATTACAGAAAGCCTACTGCATCAAGTTTTTTTTAGAAGCCATGTATTAATTTATAATTGCTTTCGTTGATTGATTACTGGGTTGGACTTTTATGATTTTTTGTTATTTTGGCATCTGCTTGTGCTATCCATAAATCTTTTTTGCTTGTTTTGAAAGTACGCAGTGCTGTCCAGAATATTATTCTTGCGACCATTAGCCCGGCTATTTTTAAGCTGCATGACTATCTGAAAAAGCCAACAACTTTTGGGGACACACACACCAAAAAATTGGCCTGTTAATTTGGCTACATTGACTGACAAAGCAGCCGCCTTTTGAGAAGAAACAAAAAACAACAAACAAGAACTCAAATAGATGCACAAAAAATGCTGCCAGCGGCATCGGTGGTAAATATTTTTCTCAACACATATGGGTATATATAGAATCGGATATATACATACGTATTCTCATGTCCACAAAGTCGCTCCAATATAGACGTCAATTTATAGCACTGTCTGTATTCAAGCAGAACAGCTACTCAACAAATTCTAGGCATAACAATAATATATTGTCCGACACAAACATGCATCAACAATAAAACAAAAACATGAATATAGTCATAAGTATTTAAACAAATAAATTTATTTAAATCTGAAGTTCAGATATGGCGACTAAAGGATATCCTTTAAGGGATATTTCGACTAATTGGGCGGCCAATAACTCGGCCTAGACTTGTCCGATTGACAAGTGTCGTATCTTTTCAAACTTAGTAGTTTAAGTACTATTAGTTTCAATCAAAGTCTGATCAACCATAAAGTGACCCTATTTTAACAAATTTTCTAAGGGGTGCCATCATCATTTTGGGAAAAATTTGACACAATTTTTTTTGCATAATTCATTTTATCTTTTGAGGAGATTAAAGGGGATTAGATTCCTAATTCATAAACAGTACTCAGTTTTTGAATTGGCAGACAAATTGTTAAAATATTTACAAAAAATATGATTTAACAGTTTCGGTTTTGGCCGAAAAGTCATGGAAATATGTATATAACTTGTCCAATACTTGATGGTTCAGAAATTGTATTTCTTCCCGATCTATAAACTCTTTAAGCTATAAACATTGTTTTAAAATGTTCCTTATTGGCTGCAGTCTCTTATTTATCTAATATCAGAATTTGAACGATGTATCGTATTGAAGCCCTGGCGTTTGGAAGCCCTGGTTTAGGTGTCAGAAACCCAAAACTTTTGTTTCTTGAGAATTTTTCAACACTTTTAAGTAAATACTATAAAAGGCTGGGTCTGGTCTACCGGTAAGTCAGTCAGATCTTAGGACCCACCCGACACACTCTTTTTTATTTCGTCCAACTTTTTATATTTTTATTTTATTTTATTATTTTTCTTTTTTTTCGGCGGTAACTAATTTCCGGGAAACGCTGGCATCTGTTCCATTTCAATTTGTTTTGCAGTTCCTATTTTGAAACAGATTTCCTTTTAAATTATTTTTATTTCATAATTTAAGTACTGCTGAAGCTTAAATGGATTTTTGATGATTTTTATTTTATTTCTATACCTGAATTCCGTAGCTTACTATTTCCATAATTTACAAGAGCCGTGCATATGTAGGTTAATCTTTAAAGTATATTATGTGGAGATCTAATTTGACGTCCCAGTCCCAAGATAGTCTAGATCGCGTTCTCATCCTGAAGCTTATTTTCATTTAAATTACTTTTTTTTTTTATTTAATAAACAGAATTTCATTTATATTATTTTTATTTCATAATTTAAGTACTGCTGAAGCTTAAATGGATTTTTGACGATTTTTATTTTATTTCTATACCTGAATTCCGTAGCTTACTATTGCCATAATTTATAAGAGCCGTGCATATGTAGGTTAATCTTTAAAGTATAATATGTGGAGATCTAATTTGACGTCCCAGTCCCAAGATAGTCTAGATCGCGTTCTCATCCTGAAGCTTATTTTCATTTAAATTAATTTTTTTTTTATTTAATAAACAGAATTTCATTTATATTATTTTTATTTCATAATTTAAGTACTGCTGAAGCTTAAATGGATTTTTGATGATTTTTATTTTATTTCTATACCTGAATTCCGTAGCTTAATATTGCCATAATTTATGAGAGCCGTGCATATGTAGGTTAATCTTTAAAGTATATTATGTGGAGATCTAATTTGACGTCCCAGTCCCAAGATAGTCTAGATCGCGTTCTCATCCTGAAGCTTATTTTCATTTAAATTACTTTTTTTTTTATTTAATAGTAAATGCAACGCTGGCATCTGTTCCATCTGTGTTTGTTCTCTATTCCTATTCTGAAACTTATTTTCTATTAAATTAAAATTAATAACAAATTTTGGTATCGCTGAACCTAAATGCAGTACTGATCGCAATTCTCCCCCTGAATCTTAATTAAATTTTAAATGATTTTTATTTTATATATATCTGGGTTTTTTAGGGGAAAAGGTCTCTTCATTTCACTTTTCAATTGAATTTGTATTTATATTTTACTTTTATCTGCGATGGCTAGGAAGTATTTAATCGTTAAAATAAAGTATATGGATATCTACATATATAGAGCTTATATCAGCATGTTAATAGAAAGGCATAGACGTATAGGTAGATGGGTAGAGACATCAGCTTTGTTCTTTTTTGTGTTGAAAAACCTATGAAACATAAAAAACTTTTGGTTTATTGCTTTTTATGAACTGGTCATGTTGGCTGGATTGCGAAAGAGCATTTAGTGCATTTTATTTCCGAATTCCCGCGTGGCTAAAGTTGAATTATTTTTTTTCCTGGCCAACATCCTTCTACCATAGACCTTTTAACGGAATGGTTTATTTATGCAATTTTCCAATTTCCCGGCCAGCAAACAGTTAAAATAAAAACATATAAAATGCAAAAGCGAGGAAATTTGTTGATTTCACCAGGAGGGCGTTTTAATAAAGAATAAAAATGCAATTTGCAAATTAACAACAACGAAACGTAAACAAGCTGGGAGTGACGTTACATCGGACTCTTTCGGCAGTTTAAAAAAAAATAAAGAGATCGAAAATCCATGGCTAAACTCGGATCAGGACCTTTGGTTGGTGTGACCCATAAATATTTATGGGTATTTAAAAAAGAGAACTTTTTAAAGCAACATTCAAATGTAAAATAGGTGAGCCGCAAACCGAACAAATGTATCTGTAGAGTAAAGTATCTGTAGCTGTGGAAAAACAATCATCAATGCTTAAATTGCGGCGTCAGTGGGGCAGCAGCCCAAAACCAAAATACACAAATTTAAATATATTTATTTATCTGAATAGCGGAATATGTATCTCGGCGCGCCTGTATCTGAGAGTTCGCACACGCATGTCTGCACATATTTCACAGATATATTTTTAAAAAATCAAAACGACAATTCCACTGCAGCATTTTGAAATACAACTGAGACGCCGGTGGTGTCGTTGACGCTGGCATCGACGTCGTCGTCGTCGTCGACGTCGACTTAAGCAGCGACGTCGTCGTTTGCTTTGAGAGAAAACATTTTTTTTTGTCGGATGCCGCAGGCGATCTCGTACCGCTTTCAGTGCCCCCAGTTCTACGTCGTGTTTCAAAGCGCCCAGGCGCACCGAAAATCACTACAAAAATTTTGGACTATCCCGCCGAGAAGTCTCGATCTCTGGAACGCTTTCTCAGTGACTCAGTGAGTGAGTGTGTGTTGGAGTATCCTTCCAAATAGCACATCCTCCAGCAACCTCTTATCCTTTGGCAGATACTTACTGGGGCAGCTACAGCCGCATCCGACATGCAGGTCTTCGATAACAATATGGTAAGTGAAACTTGGCCTCCGGATAAAAAGCCATCTGTGTCCCAGAGTTCTCCAATGTCCTGGCTGTCGTGGTTGTCCTGTTTGTGTTTACCCAAGCCCGAGGCAATGGCAAAGCCAAATTTATTGTCGCTACTTGGGTTCTACGGTTCGGTTGCCTGGTTCGTGGCCACACTTAGCCCAGTTAGTTTAACCCAGAAATGCCAATACACAAATTCCAGACCCCACGCCCTTTTTGGCCGCCGTAAGGAAAAGGCTTTGTCTGTTAACCGGAAGGAAACAGAAAGAGAGGGGGCATAGTGGTAGCGAGAGAGCCAGGAAGTCATGCGGTGTTCAAAACGCCGCCAAATTAATTAAAAAAATTCACTTAATGGCTAAGATCCAACTAGGTCAACGTACGTATAGGCCAACTAAGAATTGCACTAAAATCAGGGGTAAGAAAACAAAAATTCAAATGCCGGAAAATGGATATTTAAGTGCTCGGTAAAAGCCATGTCATAAATGTCTTCACAAACTGCATTCATATTCTAATGATGGATTACATAAGAAAACTATTTTGGACAAAGAATTCCACAGCTATTTAAGTGGATTTTGTGAGATGAAAAATGCCACGTTTCGAAATCATTTTTGCAATGCCAGAAGTTTCCATTCCATTTGATTCCTCCACATTATCTAAAAATACATATCCATATCTTTATTAATAATAAAAAAAATATAAGCTTGGAGACAAACCCACAAACCAAAAACGTACAATCCACAAAAAGTATTCTCTAGATTCTCGATGCTGATGCTGATTTCTTGGCAGCTGAGCATTCCCATTAAGTACATAAATCGTCAAACATATTCACATAAATAAACATATTTACAAACATATATATAATATATAATAATGTGTATATGTTTGTGTCTATGCCGGCATATGTGTTTATTCGAATTATATCCCATAGATCGAAATTCGGTTCGAAATTGTCGCATTTGAGTGGGCTGCCCGCCACTTTTTTTCGCTTTTTTCCGATGTGTGTAAATTTTTGGTTACAGATTGCGGCATTAGTCACCGAGTCACACAGCCCAGAGCCACATATCCCTCGGCTAAACTAAATCACACACAAAAAAATTGGTGGCAAGGTCGACGGCGTTCGATGACGAAAGCAAGACCCCAACAGGCATAATGACATAGTTGATTTCCTTTTGATATTTAACGCAGCACTAGGTGGCATATAAATAGCCAGATCCGGCCAGTTTTACAATCCAAAGTCCCAAGAAGCCAGAATGGAATTGGTTTATTTTGGGCCCGAATAAATCAATTGGCTTCTGTATTTATGCAGATGCCACCATTTGATTATTTCGCACTGTCGTTGATTTATGGCCAATGGCCAAAAGGATGTGGAGTAGGTAGTTTTGCCTGGAGGAAGGGTGGGGATTTCCCATTCTATTCCATACACACATTTCCATAACCATTTCGTTGAGGTTTTCCTTTTTTTTTTTGGCCTCATGGCCCAGAACACCATTGTAGACGTCATGTGTAATTGCTATATGTCAATGTCAATGTGGGGGTCTGAGTGGGCCGGGGTCTGGACATCAGATGTAAGTGCTTGTGGTTGCACTTGGTTATGTTTAATGAAATGGCGATGATGTATTGCTGCCAAAATAACAATCGAATCAAAAGGAAGAATTCGTCAGAACGATTACCAGAATCAAACGGAAACCTCAACTCAATCAATGGAATGCATTTCATCTCACCTATTGTACAGATTTCTCTCTAGATTCCAGACTCGTGCAGCAACAATTTCTGTAAATCTTTGTAATATTTTTGCAAAAATGTTCTATAATTAAAAGCATTCGACTCAAAGGCATTTTGTGCACCTGTTGTTGTGGCAATCCAAAAAGTAAATTACCCATTGGCTGGCCTCTTCAAATTGATTCACTTCAGCGAATCAGTAGGAGTCTTTCAATTAAAAGACCAAAAATATGGAAATATACTAGTCTTTTGCCAAAAAAAGAATGTATATCTCGGTCGGTTTTTAAATAAAAATAATAAGTTTATGCAATAATTTGCATATTCGCATTGTTTATTGATCGAAACACAAACAGCAAGCCTTTGGCAATTGTTTAAATATTTGCCAAACAAACATCTCGCCGAATTGATAAAACAACATCGCAGATATTCTCTGTCTGGTGGCTATTTATAAAAGCCAGCGAAACAAATGAAATGTTAATTTGGCTGAAAACAAAATGAATAATTAAATAGAGATATGAGTGTGTGTGTGTGTGTGTGTATCTATCCATCAATTGTATCTTTTTATCTCTTTTTTCCATCCATTAGCGCCGTGCCTCGCGACGCGCCTCACTGCGTCGAGGATCCATATCGGCATTGCCACAGAAATCGGCGGAAATTCCCTGGGATATATTCGAGCGTCTCTTCATGCCGTTCCTCTTCTGCCAGGCGGCGGCCATCGTCTCCTCGCATCTGCTCCACGCCCTCAACATCTCCAGCATCTCGACGTTCGCCGTCTTCGTTTGGTTCGCCCTGTCCACCGTGGGAGCCGTCTTGTTCTATCACTTTGTCAAGGTAAGTCCCGGCACTACAGCACTCCCCATCCAGACAGTCTAATCCTAGGGCAACCGCAAAAAGGATCGGTCTGGCCACGGCCTAAACCGAAGCCGAAGCCAAAGCCATATGGTTTCGGTTTCAGAGCCACGGGGCGGCCATAACTTTGGGATTCCTTTTTCCGTTTTGGCTCGCTTCGAGTGCCAAGCCAAAACCACAAGTGACGACAACGCCGGAGGATCTCCCTCTCCCTCAATAGGAGAGGGCAAAACAAATCAGTGCCACTAAAAATAGTCACAAGCCACCAGGGCAGCAACTTGGCCAAAAGAAGCCCAGGAAGGGGCATGGTTAACAAGAGACAAGGCAGAAAGTCGTAAGAGCGGGCGATGGGGGAAACCCTTGACTGTGGATTTGGCTTGATATTTTAGGGCTTACTGCCAGTCGAGAAAATGAAAATGAAAACAAATAAATAAGGAGGGAAAAAGTCTAGGAGGAGGCAATGCCTAGCCTTGCTCCGAACAAAAAGGGTTTCGTAATGAATATCAATTTGCAGAAAAGAAATATGCTTACTCCTGATTCACTTGAGACTCACTTTGACAAGAAATTGTCATCAAGTCTGATTAGTTGGAGCTATCTCAAGTCTAAGATATTAAATTCCTGTCCGAATTCCTGATAGACCACACTGCGTATACGTAATGAGCTGGCCAGTGTACTCGGTTTTCGCGCCATTTGCTTGAATGCACATTTATGATGGTGGCGCCGGCACAGTCAGCAGATAATTCAAATTTGCGTGCACTTTAATTAGCTTTACCCGGCTGTCGAGAGCTGGCAGGCATGACATTGGCCATTTGTTGCCTGGCAATTACTGCAAGAGAGTCCTGTCGGCGGACACCGGACTATGGAGTCTGGAATTGCAAGCTCTCGGGCACGTAGTCGGCGTCCTGGATCCGTATCCGGGGGGTCGGCATTGTGTGGCCAATTGCAGCCTGCAATGGTCAACCCGACATTAAGGTAATAAGCACGACGGCAGGATAATTAACAGCAACAGCAGCAGATGCAAGACAGGGTAAGAGGGTAGCAACAGGAGGTGGCCACGATGCGAAACGAAGAGCAGATAGGTGGCAGGACTCTGCCTCTGCAAAAGCCTCCCAGGGGGAAAAAGAATTTCAAGCTTTTAAGAAATAATTTGAATAAGAACTTTACTTTGTTGATAAACATCTTTGCTAATAAATTAAAGAAGCACAAGAAAAAACGAAGAAACATTTATGCTTATTCCGTTTCATCAGCAATGTCCTTGTCCTTGGGTGGAAGACACTCAAAATACGCAAAATTCTATGGAATCTATTTTTGGAAACGGCAACAGACTTCGAGTTAAGGGCGTCAACGTTGCCACACTCCTTTTGGGACAAGAAAAGGGAAACAAAACATGTAATGTCCTTGCTTTTGATTAGCTTTTCGGCCTAGGACAGGCCCCAACTATTAACCCGATTTCTGTTGTCATTTCACATTTACACACATGTACATACAGTTATTTGCAAATAGATAGAGATGTATGTGTGCTCTACATGTGTGTGTGTGTATGTATATTAGAGGCATGTCCTAGCTGAACTGTTTATCCTTGCACAGCACGTTGTGCATTTCATTTTTATGGCACGACTGTCGAATTAAATTACACGCACGCACACCCGCATTCCGCAGTCCGGAGTCCTCAGTCCGGAGTCCATAGTCCGTAGTCCGGAGGATTCGCGGATGAGGGGCAACTGTTGACGCGACTCGGCTGCTCAAATTGGGTGCAATGAAATGTAAATGCGCAGCTAATGAAATGCTCAACGATACCGCCCCCACCCCCGCCCACACATACGCCCCCTCGGCACAAATCCCTCATTATTATTTTCACCCAAATTGCAACTGTTGCAAGTCTGCAGACTATTTCGAGTTTCGGTTATCCGCACCCGATTGGGAGTGCGGACGCAAATTACACTCATCGTAATATGCATAATTAAGTCGATACTAGACCAAGCCCCTAGAGCTACCCATCCACCCCCCACCATCCTCTGCTCTCTCTCTCTCACTTGCCACATTTTCCCCTTTGGGGCGAAAAGCAACAGCAACAGCACTTTTCCCGGAATAAGACACGAAGATGGGTGCGGGGCTTTTTGTTGTCAGCTGCCAGAAACAGTGTAAATAATTGAATTAATAGCTTCGTGTGAGCCACGCTAATGAGCAGTTGCTCAACATCAGCAACGCCCACTGCAACGCACCACCTCCTTACCCCGCCCACACATCTCCAATGCCCCATGCCACATGCCGCATGCCTCCTCGCTGCCGTGGCCGCATCACTTTTAAAAGTAATTGAATGTGCGGATCTTGGTTGCCGGGGTTTTAAGGTCTCGCGCTCTTGAACTTTTCCGCCTGCAGAAGTTCTGGACTCCTTGGAGCCACCTCCCTTTTGGCCATCTTGGCCATCTGAGCCAGCTGGAAGCCGCAGTTGATCCACTCGGTTTTCGGTTACCTCAGAGTCATGATCCTGCCACTTGCGTAGTGTATCCGGAAAATGTTTCCAGGGAGACCGTACACTTGGAGAAAATAAAGACTTGAAATTATAAAAGAATGAAAGAGAAGAGGAAGTCTTTTATAGACATTAATAAAAAAAAAAAAATTTTTAGAATATTTTAAATCTAAAGATACAAAATCTTGAAGCGAAATATAGTGGATGCTTTTATTTCCATCTCGTAGACTTTAATTCTTAATAGCTATCAGAATTATCTGAATAATTATATAAAAAATGTACATTTAGATACATTTTTTAATATATTTAGAGAAAAACATCTGTGAACAGTTCATCATAGTTTCGTTGCGTCTGAAACAATGTCCTGGATCCTCCCTATGTTTATTACCCAGTAAACCATCTACTTAGCTCCTTTTTGTTTTTTACTCTGAAGCGACAGCTTCCTTTGGTGAACACTTTGTCGCAGTAACAGCTCCATAAAACTTTGTCTATAGACAAATTTTACGCTGATTTGTGTGTTGTGCACACACCCAAATACACACTGAAAGAAAAAAAGGAAGCGAAATGCATTTGCAATTAGGAGATGGAGATGGAAATGTAGATGGAGCAGGATATGAAGCTGTAGCTGTAGCTAACCATGAAAGTCAGGTCCATGGGCGCAATGCACAGAGCCACCGAAGGCTATATAAAAGCCAGCCCACACTCCAGACCTCCCCCTATGCCCCAGCCCCTGTCCCCCAAGTCCCCCCACACACACACACACACACACAGAGACCATAAAAACTCATTATGTGCGAAGTTTCGTTCGCTTGTTTTTAACCATTTTCTGTTCTGCTTTCCCACTCACTCCCTCCCTGGTAGCTCTCCTTTTGCTAGCGTTTGTCCTTTCGCTCTTTTGTATCTAGCAGATACGTAGATACTCCTCTGTTTCTGTTTCTGTTTCGGTTTTATGGTCTCGCGCGTGGCCTGTTGATTCACACACATACACTGACGCATAAATACACTGAGGACATTCAGAAATGGCAATGGCGTGCCCGGCCTGACAATGGCTGGCAATGAAGGACATGGGACACAGGAGCACCGCAGCGCTAGAGGACTCTGGTCTCAGGACCCGAGCTGCGCGCATTGCGTTTCTTAGAATTGCACGCCATTAAATCGCCTTCAAAAGTCCTAGCCCCCAACCCCCATCCTCCGTTCAAGCTATCCGAGCTCCAAGCCCAAGCCACACTGGTCCTGGTCCTGGTTCTGGCTGGTGGTACTGCGCATTTTAGTTAAATTAAAAACCAATTGCAGACGAGCCAGCCGGGCATCCATCGTGCATCGCACATCATGCATCGAAAGCCGAAGGTCAGGGGTCACAAAAAGCTAAATGCCACAAAATGTGGCAACTGATGGCAAAAGACGGCGCCTAAGCAAGCAAATAATTCGTAACCAGTTTGACATTTTATTCCATTTCTTTGTGTTGCTTGTTTTTTTTTTTGGTGGAATATTAATCTTGTCAACTATAAAAGGGGTTTAAAGGACCTTCTTTTTTTTAAATTCCATTTGGCTAAGATAGTATGGTCTTTTTTAATTTATAAATTGTTTTTATAGACAAACTAACCAACAAAAACCCAATTAAAATAAACATAAATAAACCCTGCAGTGTTAAATATATACAATTCTTTAAAGCCTTTTCATTTTCAAAAGCCGTTATCTTAAACTAAACATGTCCTGGCATGTTACACTATATTTTAATTAACCAGCATTGCCAGGGGCATAATTTTTCGACCGGATACAATGGCAATTTAAATACAGATAAATTTCCATCCGGAAATATAGCCGTAGGTAATGGGTATGGCGCTGGGAGGGCAACCAGGGAGGGCTGGGGATAGGTAGGACATGGGGTCGTAATCCTTCGTTTAAACACCCGCACGGAGATGTTGGCTAACAGGCTGAGCTGCCATAATGGCTGGCTTGGCACAAAGTCAAAGCTTTGCGTGTTGTCTGCCACACGCACACACACACACTGCCACACACTCTTATAGCCAGGCCAATACCCATACGGATACAAAAACAAAAAAAAAAAAAGCAAAAACAAGCTGCAAATTGGCCTAGGTCTCCGTTTGGTACAACGCGTGGTATGCGCAATGCGAAAAGCCTTTAATGCTGACGTTGTCGTCTGCGGATGGCGTGAAGTTGGCAAAGGACCTGCCCGCCACACGCCACCAGGATACGTGCGTGAATCCTACGTATATGTGTATGTGTGTGTGTGTGTATTTTTGTTGGAAAGCCAAACACAGAAATGGTTTTTAACTTTCCGGTTAATTAATTTATTACAGCTTAATACGTTCAATGACTTTTGGCGCTCGCTACACTTCATTCCGTTTGTCTTGGCTGTCATTTATATTTTGCTGCCACCGACCATCGCCACCGACCACCGCCCACCCACAAATTTTTTAGTTAATTTATATTTTTGTGGGAACCCCCTGCCCCTCAGACGACCAACCACTCTCTGCTTGCCACATTTTATTTGGTGTCTATTTTTAGCAACTGATTTAATATGCGTGCATGCGTGTGCGTGCCTCTCTTTGTTTCGCATTTCTTGGTTTCTCTTGTTTTTTTTATTTTTGGTTTTTTCTTTTTTTTTTTTTTTGCGTCGTTTTGGCCACATTTCGTCGCCTTGTTCACAAAAGGAGCACCCGAAAAGAAAGCAAGAGGTCCTGGGGAGCTGGTGACACAGCGAGGACAATTTGTATGCGGTTTGTTTGCCATTTTTCACTTAAACTCTGACTCCCCCTACTCGGAAAATTGCACCATTTCGCTTATGTAGATTTATTTCGGGGCCTCTCGAGCGGTCAAGCGTATCCCGTTTTCTTGAGAGCTTTATGTGTCTGTAAGGATGCCTCACAGCATATACATATATATAGACGACTATAAGGACAAAAAATAAGATAATAAAGGCAAACTTTTTTTTGGGAGGGACAGATAAGGGACGAGAGATAAACCAGCAACGAACGGGTTCAATCACTTCGAATCAAGTTTCTTTAATTTACTTGGAAATGGGAATATAAAATAAGTTTATATTTTCTACTTCCGGTTTGGTCAAGGCGGGCAAAGTTTCTTAAATTCCGAATCCCAATAGATTTTGGTTTATTGATATATTTCAGCTGGATTAACTTCCGCACAAATATTTTCCATACGCAAAAGGTCCTAGGGATCCTTGGCTGGCCTCCACTGTGGACAGTCATAAATTTATTCACACAAATACAGGGGGGGGCACAGGACTTCCACCTATTGTTGTTTACATTTTACACTCGTAACTTTCAGCTCCCACACACAAAAGCTTGGGGGAGTGGGTAGTGGTCGGTATATAATGGGGTTTCCCTTACACTTTCAACACTCTCGGTTATTATTATATTTAATGGGAAATGGGGAGTGGGGAGTGGGCTTGGAGGGGAACTCACTATCTTTGGTTTCGCTGCTAACTTGATGCAGTTTACACATTAACTTCCGCTTTGGCCCTCTCTCCTTCCTCCCAGGACTAATGCCAGCATAATGCATTATATAAATATTGCGCATACGCCCCGTGGTACGCAAAGCCTTTACCGAGTTAATGAGCCCGAAGCAACCAGGTGCAGGCAGACGGCAGAAGGCATCCAGCGGATCGCGTGCTCTTAACTCATTTATCAATTGTGGCTAAAAGTCCGCGTAAAATGCTTCGTTTTTTTTTTTTTGCTTTTTTGGAGGGGCCCGGAGCACTTGCAACCGCAGATAACACCTGCTGTTGCTGCCACTGCCTGGCAAGCGAATAAATCTTTGCACTTCCAGTTGCCTGCAATTAAAATGCAATAAAGGATGCATTTAAAATAGCCACTGAACACTGAACAGGGGGGGGGCGGGCGAAGGGCCGCGATGACCGGGGTCGGATGGTCGCTTATTGACTTACTCGCTTCCAATGCGCGGCAGGCACTTCCGATCCCCACCCACGGTTCCGTTAAATGGAATGTCTGACATGCATCCACCGTCATTTACCCGAAACTTCCCGCTCTTCCGTGCGCTATTTTTGGGGTGCATGCAACTTGGTTTCTATTTCGGGAAACGGCTTTGCAAAAAAACCACAAGCCGACATGACCACGTCGAGAGGTTTGGGGGCAAAAGTGGCAGCTACCAGCTAGTAGGTGGCACCTAGCAGGTAGCAGCTGACTGCTGCCAGGTGGCAAGTGGCAAGTGGCAGGCGGTAGTGTCAAACCAGGCACGTAGTCATGCCACTATCCACAACTTTTTTGTTGCGTTTCGGCAAGAATTGCTTTTGGAGCGACATATTAGCCAGGAAAATGGACAGAAGAAGGATGCTTTTAAAGAAGAATGAAGGCTCTTATTAAACCTGGCTTTTGGCTTTTAGGACCAACTAACCAACTTCCAAGTTTTTGTTCTCTCCGATTTCTTCTCAGCCAGCCACTGGAAGTCCTTATTGTTTCTCCTTCCCCTCGACGAACTTTAATTGACTCTAAACATTTTGTGGCTTGGTTTTTGCAGGATCTTAATTGCTCAATTCCGTTAAGTCACTGGCTCCTTTTTCTTTCCTGTGTCTTATTTCTGAGCTTTTTTTTCGTGTTGTTAGTAGTTGGTGGAAAAGTTTAAAGTAATTTATGCTGAACCGCAATAAATTGGGTTGCCGAGGAGGAACTAAGGACTCGGAATGCTGCGTGCTGCATTTTTAGCACCAAAGTTTAGTTGACCAAAAGTTTGTGGATAGTACTGGTAGTACTACCACTATGCCACTATACCACTATATCTAAAGTAGATTCGCGTAAAAACTCAAGGAGCATAACTTGTCGATGGAAAAGTTAGGAGACAAGCCAGAAACCCATGGTGGTTTTTGTGCCCTGGTTGTGTGGACGGGAATTTCTTGGAGGGGTTTTGTGTTTTTATTAACGCCAAACAACAGCCAACAGATTTCGATAAGCCAAACACTTATGGCCACAATAAAATGCCGGCCAGTCTTAATGGGTGTCAACAGCACAGCCAATAATAATACACCCGTCTTGGCCCGATTCTTTTGGGGGTTTTTTTTCCAACAATTTTACGAGCACTTTATAACGGTTTAATAGCCCGAACAATGAGTAGCCACCACCCACCTCCTTCAGCTCCTTTTCAACCTCCAACCACCCAAACTCGATTGACGCACACTATAGACTTGGCTCTTGAGCCAGGACGAACTATATTGGTTAATGGGATGATGAATTATGACACTATCCTAGCCGCAAAAGTAGGATGGCACTAGGACTCAAAAGGGACTCTAGTCTCTAAATACACTTGGAGAAAAAGTATATATATTATAATTAATAATCACAAGAAACTACTTTTATAAAGAAGTAGAGATCTTCTGAAAGATCTTGTAGAATGGCTTTAGGACTCAAAGATTAAAAAAAAAAAACCATCTATTTCTTAAATAATATTTTTTTTCTGTCCAACATCCTGATTCCAGGACAATGACGAGAGTGTGAGTGTGTGGGAAAGTGAATTGGCCAAGGCGCGTGTCTAAAGCGGAAGTATTAGTGAGCTCATGTCTTCCTGGCCACCCACTTCAGTTCAGTTCACTTCCATCATCATGGGTGTCTGTGAAAACCGTGATGAACTTAGACAAATAACTGTGACATGTACATACATACATACATATATATACAGGGTGCTGGGTACATATCCGAACAGGACTTTGGTGGCCAGCCGTCCAGGACTTTCGCTTTGAAATCGAGAGCTGGCGGAATGAATCCGAGGGAGAAAAAACTTTAATCGCTGTTGACAAAGTTGCCAACTGGCGGGCGGAATAAGTCCAGTTTGTGAGTCGACGTTTAAGTGTGCGGTCCTTAAAGCCCACAACAGACGTCACATCTGGATCTGGACAGCCAGACAGACCGACGCGGGGCAAAGGTTAAACATCTGCTGCGCCGCCTTGGAGTATGCTAAGAAAACATGATACTCTGACATACGAACTCAAGCTATCTTCCAGTTCAATTGCCGACTAATTGGCGTTACAATTATCGAACATTAATTAGCCGAAGAGTTGAACAAACTTTTACCTTTGATTTAATAGATATTTTATCTAAAAGATACAAATTCTTTCTTTCTTTAAAGGTATCTGCCTCGGGCAAGGGTGTCCTAATCACTGGCTGTGAGGCTCCTTTGGCCTGGTACTTGGCCAAGAAACTGGACGATCTGGGCTTCACCGTCTATGCCGGCTTTAACACGCCCATCGAGGAGTCGGACGAGGCCAAGATTCTCAAGGAGGAGACCTCGGGACGCATGAAGCTGCTGCATTTGGACGTCACATCGGAGAAAACCGTAAGTCTACAAAACTGAAAGCTTTCAACGGCCTGCAGCCGATGTCACAACCATTATCCGCTATCCTTAGCTTTTGGAAGCTGCCCGCTATGTATCCCAGCACCTGCCCCATGGCGCCGAAGGACTCTGGTCGGTGGTACACTGCGCCCACTGGATAGCTTTGGGCGAGCTGGAGTGGATCCCATTCGCCGTTCTGCGTAAAAGCTTGGACCTCAACCTGCTGGGTGAGTGTGGCGCCACAGACCTGTGTGGCAACAAGTTTGCGGCAGCCCTGGAACACTAATTTTGTAAACATTTTCAAAGGTGCCGCCCGCCTGACACAAATCTTCCTGCCCCTGGTCCGCCGTGCCCACGGCCGTGTGGTCTTCCTCACCTCCGGACTGAACCGCGTGCCCTCGCCCGTGCGTGGCATCCAGTGTGCCACCCAGGCGGCCGTCGACTGCTTTGCCGCCTGCCTCCGCCAGGAGATGCGAACCCGGGGCGTGGACGTGTCCGTGGTGGCGGCCGGAGAGTTTGCCCCCGGCAATGGCTGGCTGAACGAGACGGAGCTGCGTGACCAGGTAAGTCTACCATGGGACTAGATATGAATACCCGGGAGTTAATGGTAGGCACTGAAAGAAATAGAAGAGACTATGCCTACAACAAAACAGTATAAAGAAAGCTATAAAAAATTCCCAGTCTTCTTTTTTCTTTCTCTGTAAAAGCCAAGTCATGCTTTTAGATTTTTACGATACGATAACTATCAGAGGGAACATGGGGTGGGCGGCTAAAATAGTTGGCCGAGAACTCATTAACCTGGCTCACAACATTCTCTCATGCCCTATCCAACACTCTTCGCAGGCCAAGCAGATGTGGAACGGACTCTCCTCGGAGCAGAAGAAGACCTACGGCGAGGATTACTATGAGGCGGCCATGACATCGGTGGAGAAGTACTCCCGCCAGGTAAATGCGTAACGTGGGCAACTACGATGTCCTGCAAACGTTAAATGGCTAACGAGAGTTTAATCCTGTTTTCCAGGCGGCGGACATTCAGCCCACACTACGTGTCCTTATCGATGCCGTGACCAGGACCTTCCCCATGGCCCGCTACACCCCCGTGACTGCTCCCGAGAAGCTGCAGATCTTCCTGGCCGAGCACCTGGCCCCCTCCCTGTACGAGTCCTTGTACGGCGAGCAAAAGAAGTTCGTCTACTGAGCTGATGATGTCCTGTCCGCCACTGTACGCCCAACGTCCTGAGATTGTTATTCGGAAATTTGTTATTCATTTATGATTTTCCTCCGGTATTCCCGCACTCGTCATGCTTCTTTGGTGCGCATGAAGGACACTGATAAAGGAGAACTGCTGCCAGGAGCGTCAGTCGATGAGCATTTACGTCCTTCACTCGATTATTTTGATAATATTTTTTTTTTTTTCATTTTCATTTCCATTATTATTATTATTATAATTTTTTTATTGTGTATTTTTTGCGAAGGCGTCTGTGAAGCGTCAGCATAATATTATTTTCTTTAGTTGCTAGAACGAATTGTATAACGATGAATAAAATAAAATGGAAACAATAGCAATCGCATCCTTATTCCTTATTCCTTTTAGCTCTTTCACTTTCACTCTCTTCGGGTTGAATCCTATTAATTGCTTTTGATTGACATTGCAGAGTGCCAGAGCTTAGTAGATTTATGGAACTACATATGTATCTGTTTTCTATCCATCAGACACCAACTTGCATAAGCAAGGACTAAGGACTCAACAGCCTCGTCGGGTAACACTAAGCTTAAGTGCAATGCCAGGAGCCAGGATCTTAGACAAGTGACACCGCTACTGTCGCCACAGCCGCTAAGGAGCTCGCTGCATAAAAATAAATTCAATAAATTTTTAATGCCTTTGATTCAAAACAACAATGACATTTCCGCAACGGCAAGGACATTCCGCGCCAGAATCTCAGCTCCGGTGTTTCGCGTATTCCCCGTGCCACCCTCCCAATGAGCCGTTAAGGTGTTAGCCAAGTTGTAAGGGAGAGTCTGGCACCGCCAAGAAGTGCATAACTGCCGCATAAATCTGCCATGGTTGTTAACTTAAGCCGCAACTGCCAGCCATGGCCATGTTTTACAGCACCTCCCCCTAGGCCCACCATCCCTTGCCACCTCTGTAAATGGCACATTCGAACTTTTTGAGGGACAAATAATGGCGAACTTAAAAACAACAAAAAAAGTTGAATAGGAAATGAGTTGGTTAGCTAAAAATACACATCTGCCATATATCTGCCAGCCAAGGTCGACAGACTTTGACCAGTGCTTTCCGCATATGGCAGACCAGACATTTTACCTTTTAGCTGTCAGATTTTGCGGATTTGTTCTCCAGGACATATCGGATCACTAAGGGAAAAGGTTATTGCTTAAATTAATTTCAAAATTATTCAATTGAAAGAGTGGTATTTCCGAGATTATGAATCTAACGAAGCTAAAAGGGAATTTAAATTTTAAATATTTTTACATCCTAATCTCTATAGATCTCCTAATTGTTTTCTCTGTGTACTTATACCCAGCCATGTGTAACACTTCCCCAGCTTTTGTCCACTTTTTTTTTTGTATTGTGATCAGAACAAAAATTATCCGTATTAAAAATTTGTGGCATGCCATTCCAGAGAAGCCCAATGAGGAGAATTATGAATGAAAGGTCTCCACCCCAGGACTTCCGATATGATGGATTTTAATGTGGAAATTCTGTGGGTTGTCCAGAGAATCCTAAGCTCGCTGCCATTATCCGTCATTTGAATAGGTTTCGGTATGGGTTTGCATTTAAACTTAAATGCCTGGCGGAGGGAATTCCGCAACATGTTTTGCGCCCGTAACTTTAACATGGAAACAAACTCGGACAGCCCGGAGGTATTCAGTTTGCGATGTTTCCATGTTCCACATGGCGTTAACATTTCTTTTTTTCTCAAAAAAAGAAACCCTTTATTCTATTCAGGATTCCTTTTATTTGGGACTGAGAATGCAGCTACCAAAAAAAATTAAGGAAATTGGAATTAAAAGTGCTATAATGGCAGGTTTTCAGTCAGTTTGGTGAGCTAATAAGGTGTATTGTTTACTTCGGAAAAAGATACGGATTTTGACAGAATTAAAGCAATCCTGCAAATCCTGCTATCCTGCTTGTAACACTTCATTGCCATCAGAGTCAACAAACATCTGGCAAATATTGGTCAAGCTTCTTTATTTATCCTTGGAGAGGTGTTTATCCTTGAGGATCAAACTCCTGAGACAAAATATAATTCCGATTTTTCGTCCATTTTTCGTAATGGGATCCCTTGAAAATAGGGTTTTCCCCCATAGGGTCCACTGTGATGGCTATATCTTCCCCAATTCTCATCGGATTCTCAAGCGGAATACCTTAAACGATTTCTAGATCGATTCTGCACCATTCCGCATCAAAACCCTGACACGAAATATTTTTTCGATTTTTTGTCCATTTTTCCTGATGGGACCCCTTGAAAATGGGGTTTTCCCCCATAGGGTTCACTGTGATGGCTATATCTTCCCCAATTCTCATCGGATTCTCAAGCGGAATATCTTAAACGATTTCTAGATCGATTCTGCACCACTCTGCATAAAAATCCTGAGACGAAATATTTTTTAGATTTTTTGTCCATTTTTCCTGATGGGACCCCTTGAAAATGGGGTTTTCCCTATATGGCCCACAGTGATGGCTATATCTTCCTCAATTCTTATCCGATTCTCAAGCGGAATACCTTAAACGATTTCTAGATCGATTCTGCACCATTCTGCATCAAAATCCTGAGACAAAATATTTTTTCAATTTTTTGTCCATTTTTCCTGAAGGGATCCCTTGAAAATGGGGTTTTCCCCTATGGGGTCCACTTTGATGGCTATATCTTCCTCAATTCTCATCCGATTCTCAAGCGGAATACCTTAAACGATTTCTAGATCGATTCTGCACCATTCTGCATAAAAATCCTGAGACGAAATATTTTTTCGATTTTTTGTCCATTTTTCCTGATGGGACCCCTTGAAAATGGAGTTTTTCCCTATATGGCCCACAGTGATGGCTATATCTTCCTCAATTCTTATCCGATTCTCAAGCGGAATACCTTAAACGATTTCTAGATCAATTCTGCACCATTCCGCATCAAAATCCTAAGACGAAATATTTTTTAGATTTTTTGTCCATTTTTCTTGATGGGACCCTTGAAAATAGGGTTTTCCCCTATGGGGTCCACTGTGATGGCTATATCTTCCTTAATTCTCATCGGATTCTCAAGCGGAATACCTTAAACGATTTCTAGATCGATTCTGCACCACTCTGCGTAAAAATCCTGAGACGAAATATTTTTTCAATTTTTTGTCCATTTTTCCTGAAGGGATCCCTTGAAAATGGGGTTTTCCCCTATGGGGTTCACTGTGATGGCTATATCTTCCTCAATTCTCATCCGATTCTCAAGCGGAATACCTTAAACGATTTCTAGATCGATTCTGCACCACTCTGCGTAAAAATCCTGAGACGAAATATTTTTTAGATTTTTTGTCCATTTTTCCTGAAGGGATCCCTTGAAAATGGGGTCCACTGTGATGGCTATATCTTCCTCAATTCTCATCCGATTCTCAAGCGGAATATCTTAAACGATTTCTAGATCGATTCTGCACCATTCTGCATCAAAATCCTGAGACAAAATATTTTTTCGATTTTTTGTCCATTTTTCCTGATGGGACCCCTTGAAAATGGGGTTTTCCCCTATGGGGTCCACTGTGATGGCTATATCTTCCTTAATTCTCATCCGATTCTCAAGCGGAATACCTTAAACGATTTCTAGATCGATTCTGCACCATTCTGCATCAAAATCCTGAGACAAAATATTTTTTCGATTTTTTGTCCATTTTTCCTGATGGGACCCCTTGAAAATGGGGTTTTCCCCTATGGGGTCCACTGTGATGGCTATATCTTCCTTAATTCTCATCGGATTCTCAAGCGGAATACCTTAAACGATTTCTAGATCGATTCTGCACCATTCGGCATCAAAATCCTGAGACGAAATATTTTTTAGATTTTTTGTCCATTTTTCCTGATGGGACCCTTGAAAATAGGGTTTTCCCCTATGGGGTCCACTGTGATGGCTATATCTTCCTTAATTCTCATCCGATTCTCAAGCGGAATACCTTAAACGATTTCTAGATCGATTCTGCACCATTCTGCTTCAAAATCCTGAGACAAAATATTTTTTCGATTTTTTGTCCATTTTTCGTGATGGGATCCCTTGAAAATGGGGGTTTCCCCTATAGGGCCCACAGCGATGGCTCTATCTTCCCCAATTCTTATACGATTCTCAATCGGAGTACCTAAAACGATTTCTAGATCGATTCTCCACCATTCTGCATTAAAATCCCGAGACACAATATTTTTTAGATTTTTTTTTCCATTTTCGTTCAAAAAAAGGGTACCTCTGCAAGGGTATTAAAAAAATCGAAAATAGTTTTCAAGCCTCAGACAACCAAACCATCCAAAAAAGTTTAGCAAACTCAACACATAAAATTGCAATTTATTGTTTTCGATAAAAAGTACTTTCACACATTTATCCATTTATTTATTTTCTTCTTATTTGGTTTTCCCTTTTTACTTTTTTAATTTGGTTTGTTAAGTTACAAATTACAAATTCCAATTGATTCCTGTAGACACAACGTAAATACATAAATACATATAAATTGAATTAAAATCGCTTAACAGCAAAAATCCTTTGACAAAAGTGCAAAAAAAGTGCCAATTCGATGCAGTTTACAAATAGTGTAACAAAAATAAATAGTGTGCCGGGTGTGAAGGTTTATTCAATTGTTAATTGATTTAATTGAGATTCAATTGCAATAAATTGTATTTTTTTTTTTCAATTTGCTCCCTAGTAACCCCCTAACTGCCCAAATATTTCTAAATGGAGAATACACGTATAACTATTTGCATCTAAAGTTCGTTGATCGTCCGTCCACTGAGTGAGGTTGGGATAGGTAGTAGGTAAGATTCTAATAGATTGCGGCCTTAGAGGCTCTTCAGTTTCTCTTTTGTGTAAATATAGCTATTGGTCTAGGAACAATTAGCGGTTGATAATAGACATTCAGGGTGAGTGTTAGTTACTCCACTTACGACAATGTGAGCTCGAAAAATACACAACTTTTGGATCTACATACGTATAGAGAGATAAAACCATCCAAATCCATATCGGTCGCATCAAGTCCAATTGAGCAAAACGTTTTCCAAAAATACCCGACATCTTAGATATCGGCCTGCTTGGCATATAAACTCGTACAAATTCCCTATTTACATACATCCGTCAAAGGCGACCCCCCTAGGCGATTATTATCCTTCCCCAAAAAATGACAAAATCCAAAGAGTCCTTAGCATGACAGCTCTGTGGATCTGCGGGCAGTATCGCTCCTGGACGAGTACTCGCTGTCCTTGGGCTCGCGTCCTGTGATGTCCACCAGAGAGTTGGGATCCATGTTCGACAGCTTGTCCAGGTCATCGTCGTTGATATAGTTCGGTTGCAATTTGCTCACCAGTTTCCGCAATCTCTGCGCATCCAAAGAAGTGCGACGCAAATTGGCATTATAGTCGCTCGGCTAAAGGCGGAGGATATGACAAAAGGATATGGGTTAAAGCCAGGCGGGATATGGGATAGGGTGGAACTCACATCGCGCCACTGCTCGCCGGGAAAGACTGCAATCAATTCGGCATTTGGCTCCAGAGTGCTGAAGTATTCCTCGTCGTCGATTTCGGTGCCATCGCAATCCAGGTGTATCGTCGGCTGAACACGTTGAAATTTCGCTGACACCTTCACACGCAGCTCCGACAGCGTGGTGGCCACCACAGCCTTGCGAATATTCCGCGTGATGTCCTTGATCTGAAATGGAGGCTGCAGGATTACTAGGAATTTGACGCTGAAAATCGGAAAATGTTTTTGGCAAGCCACTATATTGGCATAGCTTTCACAGAATACACAGAGTACACTGCTGGAAAATACAGTCCAAAGTGTTCTTAGCCATTATTTACTTGGCCAAAATGTTTGTCAGAGTCAATTGTAATACTTACGCACACACTTTGTCCATTAGGCTTTAACAACAAACAAATACAAAACACAAACAGCAAAAAAGAGAGAATCAAAAACAAAAACACAAAAGCCTAAAACATTTGTTTGCTTTAATTTGCAAGGACCCCCCAGGGCGATTGCCACACCCCTCCCAACCTGCCAATAAAAACAATAAGAAGTTAACGAAGCGCGGCGACAACGATAAGGACTCAGGACTGAGAACCAAGGACTAAGAATACGTGGCAGGTTAATTGTTAGAGGGAGACACTGTTCGGAGGATGCCTCAAGGTGGAGCAGCAATGGCAACAACTAATCAATTTATCATTTGCCATAACAATAAAGCCCCCAAACAATGGCCGGGTGGGAAGGTCAAGGAGCATTCTCCGATTATATATACATTCAACCTTTTTCTCTGTTTTTTTTCTCTCCACTTTCTCTTTACTCGCTTGGGCCTAAAAGATTGCTACTAAAATATTTAAAGCATAATGCTGCCGATTCCGAACAAGGCCGAAAAAATGGATGGATAGATTGTATGGATGGATGGATGGGAGGATGGTTGGCTGGATGGGTCAAGTTGAAGGTAACACAATAAAAGCATTACCAAAAAGTTAAAAAAAAGGAAAGCTAAGGGCTGTCTTTGATAAATTGCCGAGAAGGTCCTTGGAAACCTCTTTTCTCAGCACATTTCCAGGTGTCTCCAGGTGACAGGCAACTGTCAAGCGGTTTGTGGCCATTTAATCTGCGTCTGGGTCTGAGTCTGACGCCTGAGCCTGAGTCTGATCCTGAATTTGTATCTTAGTCATCATCATCACATGCAATGACTTGGCAGACTAACCAACCCATCCATCCACCTATCCATCCATCCATCAAAGACACCCAGTCTCTGGAGTCTGGTAAACCAATTATACGACGCTTAGGGAATCCATCAAATGGCCAGCACCGTCTCCGACGTCTGGTCGAAGTCTGGAGCCCAGTTGCTGCTGGATGAGAACAACAATGAAAATTTATCATGCATTTAATGGGAATTCTGGATGGGCGTAGCCCGTTGTTAAAGCAACATTTACCCTATGGCTTTGTGCTTTTTGAGGGTCAACCACAACAGTTGAACCGTAGAATCAATTGTGGCTTTACTCGGCGCCTAGGAAACTATTCAATCAGGACACACCCCAGCCGCCCAGGTCTGGGCCATATGCCAATGTCCTGCGGCATTGTTTGCCCTCTACCTACATACGTTCATATTTTTTTTTGTCGGTGGGCTTCTGCTGCCAGAAAAGTCATTATAGCCGGCGTGGTTGTAGTTGGCTTTCTTAACTGCCGGCCCAGCCGAACAATGTGCTTTTCTCAGAGTTGAACTTTGACTTTTGGTCAGAGTCAGAACCCTTCATTTTGTTGGAGCGAGTGTTACCATAACGAACTCAAGTGCCATTGTTGATAGGTTTCATCATCATCATCTCGTCGTCATCTCGTCATCATGGTGCACTTAGTGTCTCGGTCTGATTTGTGGTTTCAATTTGGTTGAGTCCCAGTTCCAATGACAAAACGAGACAGGACCTGAAGAGCCCCAGAAGTGGAGTGAAGAGTGGTTGGTTGGACGGGTGGCAAATATTTACGAACGGTGCGGTTAGGCTCGCAGATTGGCCCTCACATTTTTGTTTGGCATTGCAGTGTCAATATTTCCCCTGTAAATTCTCCACTTTGCATAGAAACACTGGGAGAATTTCGGGTACATTTTTTAACTGAAATATGAATTATTAAAGAAAAATAAACATATAACTATTAAACTTAGACTTTTAAGATCTTTCTCCTTATGGCCTGTCTTTTATTTCAAAATATTCAACAAGAAGTAGGCAACTTTTCTCTCTAAACACACATCTCTAAAACAAGAGACAATTTTCCCAGTAACATAGCAAGGACACTGGACAATGGACTCACTTAACACAGAACTGACATGAATTTGTCATACGGAATTTGAGATTTAAAGCTGGCTGGGAGGAGCATTTCTGTTGTTCAAATAGCACTTAGGTTGAGTCGGTCAGGAAATGCAAATTACCGGCAATGTAAGCAATTATCCAAAACCCATTCGAAGAAATTCGATTTCAGGACTGGCCACAGTAATTTCGGGGCCGGCTAGTCAGGGCCGTTTTGATGGGCCTGCGGCTGGCATTGTCCACTGTCAGCCATTCATCGGTGGCACTAATTTCCCATGATTGTCATCGAAATGCCATGGCAACACTCGGCATTCAGGGAAATCATTAGCATCATTCACAGACACTGAAAGTCGCCAAACTCTTATGTCTTTCGTCACAATCCTCACTTACACGTACTTATTAGCTTATTTATTACTGAAGGCAGCGGGGGGGAGGGGGCAAGGGAGCGCGTTGTTAAGTTGCACGCTTGCCTGGACAAGGATAATGTTTGTGTACGCTGTATGTTTACCTCGATGCGCAACGTGGCGTATACGCAATGTCTCAACGAGACGTCCTCTTCACCCGAAATGTTTGTCGAGCCATGCGGCATGTCTGTTCGTAATTTAATTTCCACCTCGACCTTCCATCTGCAGATTCCATTTCTGGTGGCTGGGTGGCTGGCTGGAAGTTTATTTGGTTGTTGTTTTTTTAAGGCCATTTGCATTGCCGAAATCCACAAGGTGGACCCCATAGGTGGACATGAAAAACGCATTAACGCGTTAGCAAAAAAGGATGAAGGATCCACCACCAGCCCGACACCTCGGGCCACTTCAGTCGCAACGCAATGAGATTTGTTTCTCCTCGGCTTTAATTTCCTGCTAGCACCAGAAGTGTCCTGGTGACTTTGGCTTCCCACAGCACATCCTTTGGGCCAAATTACTCATGAGAAGCATATCCTTATATAAAATAAATCGAATAAAAACTGTCTGTTGCAAAGCTATGTCTTATCGAGACTTGTGCGACATCAAAGGCGAAAACGAAAATGTTTATAAAATATGAAAACTTGTATCAAGTTGCCAGAAAACCCATTAAAAGCAATTTACTTTCTTGAATTTGAAACGTTGTTGAGATTTACAAAAAAGGACCTTTTTTTGGGGAGAAAATTAATAGTTTAAGGATTATTACTTGATGGTAATTGTGGCTCAAGGACTTCTACCCTGATAAACTCCATGAGCAAACGGCATTCGTGTCAGTTGCCTGACAAGCTGTGGGCTTATTAATTAGCTGAAATGCGCATGAATTACTCATACGACACGTGGGCCCAGGCTCAGACCCAGCTTCATGCCCCTCCGAGCTGTCACTGACAAATGGCACCGCATTTCGGCCACATCAGGCTGCCAATTAATTGCTCTCGCCCCTGAAATTTACAGCCACTTGATAGCTCTCGTTGAGCTTATCATCTATTCACCAGATCCATCCAGATGCCGATCTATCGGCCCAGTTTATATTGTTATTGGCGGTGGCTCTTTAAGCACGTTAGCACACCATAAATCGATTAGGGTGCCCCAGCCTGGCCAGGGACAGGAGGGGAGACCAACGAACCGGGAACTCGGAACCAGAGACGTCTCGTTATCGTCCAATTGCCGTGCCCAGGCGCGACGGCTTAGATGGGGGCGGCTCGGGTGGCTGCACAATGATATACGAGCCACATTGGCGCCCGCATGCGGATGCTACTTTTCCATCGAGCTTGAAACAGTTTGAACATTTTAATTAAATTTCAATTGTTGACCGCCCACTACTATATTGGCTTTGGATTCCCCATCTTTATAGTCAAATAGAGTTCACAGAGCCGGAAAAAAGAGCAATTTGGCGGGGAAAATCAACGTGCTTCGGTGGAGTTAGAAGTTTCCGTGGCTTTTTAGTCGGTAATTATGGAAAAATTCTTTCCTTTTGAAGCAGTTCTTTAAAGCATGATGAGAATGGTCAAGTTTTTCATTAGCATTTAATAACGAATTTTATGCTAAGGGTGTCTAACTCAAAGAAACTTATTTTTAGTGAATTTAATTGGGCTATTTAATTGGATATATCTCATATATCTGTTCATAATTTAAAAAATGAATATGATCTGCATTTAATATAGAAACTAAATAGAAACCAGACTAGCACTTTATTGCTTTAATTGAAACTAGTTTTGTTTGTCTGTTTGTGATTGAATATTATTTGTGATGGAATATTTTTAATATTTATAAGAGAAACCTATTCTTTTTAATAGGAATTGTATTCCTGTAATCTACATTTATTCAATCCAATCCACAATATATCCAGACCATGATAACATTCTTCTTATCAAGGGCTCTCGACTAACCTTCCCCTTTTTAGAACCCCCTCCATTTTATATTTTTTTAGCCAGCTTTTTGGATTGGATTGAAAAGTTAGCTGAATGCTTAAAGGGCGAATAAAGCACCGCCAGCAACACTTCAGGGGCACCAGCACCAGCAGCACCAATGTCGATGATGCCACTCAACGGCCAAGGCTTTGAAGTGGCTGCCCATTTTCTCTCCGTCCGGAAAACCTTTCACTCTTTCGCGCTGACCGTCAAACTTTTCTATATTTTTTTGTTCCGCATTTAAACTTTTTTCCTTTGGCCAACCTGAAGTATGGCCATAACAACAGCGTAACAATAGCTCCGCTGTAATCACTTAGCGGATTGCTGGACTAAATACTGGACATGGATATACGCACCTTGAAGGGCTTACTGTTGTCCAGCTGGGCAAAGTCCTCCTCGGCAATGGTGGGCGGTGGAGTGGGAGTGCTGCTGTGCGGCGACAAGGCCAACTCGAGGGTAATGCTGTCGGCGGCATCGTCCGCATCGGGATCCAGCAGGTCCATGTCGTCGCCATCGGCGTCCAGTTCGGCGGTGCGTGTTAGGGTTCGCTGTCTGGACGGAGGGATAGCAGCTTCAAGGCCGGGATTTGGGTCCTCTACTTTCTTGGAGTCTGCTTCTGGTTCTCCGGAAGGTTTGTCCTCTGCTCCTGGAGGCTTGGCTCCTGCCTCCATCACGTCCGCCTCTCCCGGATTCATCTCTGTCATTTTTTTATGGTTTTTCCAAAAGTTTTCGTGTCTGGAAAACAAATTTAGGCCATAATTGAGACATTTAGTTTAGGTTTATTTCGGGGCATCCATGATAAGCAACAAGAACTTTTCGTTATGATTTTAGCCGTTCTTTTGCAAGCTCAGCGGGATATTTATGACAAAAATCAAAAAGAAAATTGTGCAATTTGAAAATTATTATTTAAAAGAATGGAAACAAACAAGGCAGCATGGCTTTCTCGCGAAAACGACGCATTTGTTTGCGAAGCAAAATAGAAAAATAGAAAATTTAAAAGCAGGAAAGCAGGAAATTCATTGCAAAAAAAGTAAATATTGACATTTAAGAAAAGTCCCGGCGAAAGGACTTTAAAAGAAGCGCTTCAGAAAACTCTGAAATGGCCAGTCCCCCGAGCCAAGTAAAATCTTTAGACAAGAACTTGTTAACTGTGATGGAAATTAACATAAACAAAGTGAAGCTTTTCCTGATTTGTGGATGATTTTTCAAACTTTTGTGCAGCACATGGTTTTCCCACAAAAAACGAACTCAGAAAGTACCTTTTTGGAACTTCAGAAGAACTTTACATTTTATGTTTTTATAAAGTTACAATTCACTGAATTTTTTGTGGCCCTACTATTGAACTACGCGATTTTTGATGAATATCCTTTTTGTTTTTTTCGTTTTTTTTTTTTGTTTCGAAAGGCACTGCTCCGGGAGCAGAGCAAGCACCACAAAAGCCGGCCGAACTTGGAATAAATTGCCAGACGGCTGTGCGTGCTGTATTTAAACAACAGCCAGGACGAAGGACGCAGGACGAAGTGTATGAGAGCTCGGCTCGCATTTGCCGACAGCCACGACCACGACCAAAGCAAACACACAGCAGCAGCGCGCAAACACACAGGACATGAAGCAAAGACACACAGCAAAGTCTAACCTTCGAGGAGCTTTTTTGTTGCGGGAGAGCTCTGTTAAGACACTGTTAGCGGGGCGTGTGCCAAAGGATAATGCAGAGGGTCCTGGGATCTGGGATCGGGACCCTTTGACCCGTAAAAGTGGGTAAAAAGTTTACCAGAGCAGCTGCAAATAGTTCTACTTAGCCGGCACCGCAACAAAACACTAAAGATAAACACACTCACACAGACGATGCCCTCACTCTTTATAGAGTATTTGTACATATATATGGGGCTTGGCAGCAAATATAAATATTTTAGCCTGAACTTTCGCAACTAAGGGCAAAGTTTAAAAATGCAATAAAATAAAGTTTGCAATTTGGGCCAACAAACTCCTGTGGCAGCGAGCAAGGGCCTCCTGAAAAATGTCACAGCGGCATAATGAGATTGCCCGCCATCTCCATTCATTTTCCCCAAAAAGAAAAAAAAACTATAATTCCCTGGCTGCATAATTAAAATAGGTATTCATCCGTAGTGCTCTTATTGGCCGAAAGTTTTTCAACAAAAGTGAAAGACAAAAGCCAAAGGATTTATTGGTTCGAGTTTCGGAACAGGCGATGACATTTGCAGGAGCGCCGGAAATGAAATGTTTAAAATTCATGAAATTTCCACAGATTTGTTTTTCGGTTTGGGATGTTGATCTGAAGCCACTGCCAATAAATAGCCATTCACACTGATATTTATTACTGAGCCGGGCTTACCGCGCCAAACAATATTGCGCATACGCCATGTACGCCCGGGTTAATTTGATTGCCAACGCACCGCGGAAACGGCAGAGTTGGGCGCGTGATTGTCCTGGCAGGCACGTGTTGACAAATGGTCTGGCATCTTCGACTATCTGGTTATCCTGCTCAACGCATTGCATTTCAATCGCGGACCATCAATCGCTGGCATTCAATTGTCGTCCTTGATGTCCTTGGCGCAACATACTATGCATATTTTAGCCAACGTCCGCTTTTTGGATGGAATACTCGCCCTTCTGGGCGATTTCCTATTTCCGTAGGGGTTGCTGGGAGCCTGGGGGTGGTTGAATAATTTATGGTCCGTGGTCCGCTAATTGCGCATTGGGGCGTGGCGCGAACAACTTTTCGCATATGCAGCGCCATCGTCATCAATTTAAATGCATAGACCCAGAAGAGCGAGCAGCAACATCAGCAGCCAGACGGTGTGGCAAATTGAAATTTATGCGTCTGGCCGCCAAGGTGGCTGCTGGCTGTACTATAAACGGGTGTAGATGTTGAGAAATTCCCTTCATCATCATCATCGCAGGCTGGCATGTTTAATTGCAATACACGACCTTCGCACTGGCAGTCTGGCCAGTTAGATTAATTAACTCGCATGTCATCGCAAAGGTCAGGCTCGCAGCATGTGGCAATGATTAATAGTCCTTCAGCATCCACTGTCTCCATGTTGCACTTGTTTCTGCCGGTTTTTTTTCTGGTTGGCCAACAGTTTCGGCAACTGGGTAAATGGCAAATATTTGCACTCGCTGCCACATCCACTTTAGACCTGGCATTTTCGTTTCTAAATGAAATTAAATGGGCGGCAAAAAAACGACAAATTGGAATTTCAATACAGACAAAAAATAAAGGAATGAAGAACAAACATTTTAATTAAATTAAAATAAATGTGAAATGCTAAAGAAAAACGGATACTGATGTTTTGTCCTTGTTCGCGTCCTGCTGGTATGTAACAAGCAATTTACATTCACTTTTAATGGCATACTTAATTATTTTGATTTTACTTTTTTTATTTTTGGAATGTGAATGTGCCATTAAATGGATTTTTATTGACAGGCGCTGGCGTTTAATTGGTTTAATGGTTAAATATTTAAACGAAATTTATTTTCCTGAATTTTTATTTTACTTACAACCATATTCTCATCTTTTGTAGAACGAACAGAAAAGGGTACAGTCGAAATCGCGCTCGAAGAGCGAACATTCCGCTGACTTTACATCTATGAAGGGTGGAAAAATAGTGCCGATGCAATTCTGTATGCACGCAGTGCTGTAGGGGGGAATGTCCTGCTGATCCTTCCAATACACCTCCTGTGGCAATGTGGTGGCAACCTCTGCGGCAAGGACTGCAATCTGCAGCAGCGTTAGCAACTGCATCGTGATAAACAAAACGGATAATTTCATATTTGTGTTTTGTGTTTGGCCAACTTGGTTAAATTTTCATTACTGACAGCTGCTTCCAAGGCAGTGGGAGGGCCAGTGGGTGGACCATAGTGGGATTATAGTGGGTGGACTATGGTGGGTGGCTTTGTGGCATAATGACTTCCTGGTGGCCAAAAGCAAACACCCAAATGAGGCAATCTAAGCAGCAGTTTGCGACTGCCTGTGGCTCTAACTGCACAATTATGAACCAGTATCCCTTCAGCCTCACACCCACACCCCCAACCCCAACCCCACACACACTACTTATGCATATATGTGCCCTGACATTATCCTTGCTTTTCGCTGCCATATAATGTGGGGAAAAAGTGCCACGGGGCGCATTAGTAATGCCCACTGCGGCATCTATTACCGAGCTGCTTGTTTATGTGCAACGTCGAACTCACACATTTTTTCGGTGGAGGGATAGAGGGGTAGAGGGGATTAAATAAACAGCCTGCGGCTATTGCTGCTTGCTGCCAGTACCTCCAGCTCAGCTCCCTCTCGAAAGCCCGCCCCATCCTTGACATTTATTTTGGAAGGAAATGTGAATGAAAATAAAATAAAATTTTGGATAAAAGTGATGGCGACAGATCAGATACTCTTCAAAAAATATTAAAAATAAATAATGAAGATAATCTTCTAATGAAAGGACAAATTGATATATTTAACTAATTAAAACTATAAAAAGTAAATCATAAAAATCATTAATACCCTCTGATAGAGTAGAAACACGAAAAATAAAAGGCTAGCTGGAAAAATTTGTAGAGAATTATGTGCTCGTTTGGAAGCAAAAGCGTCTCGTTAGTCGAGTTGCTTATAGACTTGCCTCGATATGTTGTTTACTCTGGCCACGCCCACCAAGCCCCACCTCCCTCCCACCAGAAGACGCCCTTGTTTTGAGACGTTTGACATTTGTGCTTAGGGGGCTTGCCCATGGAATATATACTCTGCTTACATATGGTATGGTATGGGTGTGTGGATGCAACAAGCTTCGAGCAGCGGATTAGGGAATAATAATGATGATGATGGATGAATGGTCATAAAATAAAGTGTTGAAATCTGATTCGATTTTCAAAGAAATTACTGCCCTATTGAGTGCCAAAAGGATTTAATGAACAGGAATAAATTAATACTCAATAGAACTTGATTTCAAGTCGGATATCAGTAATTTTAGATTTATTTGGTCTCTTGGGGAGTGCTATCTTTTGATCTTTTTGAACAAAACCATAATAAAAAAAACAATTTGAAGAAATGGCGACAATTTTGTAACCACGACCACGCACATCAAAAGCCGTCAAAACCAGAAGTGCGGTTCCAGTTACATTTTTCATCTTTTCTCTACTTCCGTCTCTTCCGCCTTTTATTTTAGCCATTTTGTAGTCCTGAAAACCACCTCAAGCAGAACTGAATTTTCTAAAAGTACAAAATTAAAAATGGATACTGAAAAGGTCTTTGCTTTACCGTTAATAAGGGAAATTAAATATGCAAAAGCCACAAAACAAATTCAATTCATCATCCTTCATGGCCACGCCCACATGGAGCGGCCAGGAGCTAGGTGCTAGGGGCGGAGTGTCGTCACGAATTTGGGTCATTCTGCGGGAGCTTTGAACTGTGTTAGTAGGACATCGAAGGAAGTGGCTGCAAACGTCATGGCGCTGTGACGTCACTGCACTGTGACGGAGAAGATTGCATTGAAGAGAGGCAGTGAGTGAGTCCCGCTAGCTGTTAAATCAATTAAAATAAAAGGGAAAACAGAGTAGCAGGTCCTTCTACTTCTACTTCCACTCCCACTCCCATACTCTCTTTTGTTCCACTGCCACTCAAGCTCTCTCTCTCCCTCTCTTTTGAAAGCAAAAGAGGAACTTGCATTCCATACGCCCTGTTGCACATTGCTAGCTGATAACGTATACGCCCCGTTTGCCGCAAGAGACTAGTTCAATCAACTTTAATATTTGTTTAATATTCATTTATTTATTTATTTTAGTTCGTTTAGTGTATATAGTTGCCTTCGGGTTCAGTGTTTGCTGTATGCATTTTCACTAAAATTTAATAATTGTTTTTCGGTTTGCATTGGTTTTTCTTTTATCGCTTTTTGGTTTTTGGTTTTCGGTTTCCCTTTATTGCTTATTCAAATTGTAGACAGTTACCGGCTTTAATTGGATTTTGAATCGTTTGCAATCATCTGAGAAAATTACAGTTTCTGTGTGTTATTCATTTATTGTTTAATTTGCTAACAATGTTCGCTGTTTGCTTAAATTCATTTAGCTATTAGAGTCAGGGATTTGGCGGGGGCCGGGCAGTGGGACAGGGACAGGGGCAGGGGGATGCCGCTGTATCTCATACCGCTCAAGCCAATACCGCACACAAAAAAACCTATTACACATACACATAAATACAGTCAGTCTCAATTGGCCTTTTAACAAATGACATTCACAATGGCATTGGTCTAAAAACAATTTTTGATGTGCGTCTCCATTGAATTACCTACTAAACATAGTCCTCTACTCGACAAGCAACTCAACTATGTATGTATATCCAGCACAGATACAGATCCACAGATCCACAGATCCAGGTTTGGGTTTCATTTCGGGGTTCACACTCACATTGGTGGTTGTTGCCTAAATCATCGATACATCTTCGGTATAATACTTATGACACTAAACTTTGATTATTGATTCATCTATCTGCTTCTGCTAATAACGATTTCGTGTTGCTTCCTGTGTATATAGATTTCGTAATATGATTCATCCTCTGTGGTTGCTAAAACACTCTTCGACTCTTCGGCAATGGGTGAGCTCTTCATATGCCTTAATATGCCGACTTTTAATTCTAGTACGTGTAATGTTCGTTAACTTTCATTTGCTCTTAGATACTAACAAGCATGGTATCGATTGATTCTGTCTTCGTTTCGATTTTAGATTTGTGACACAGTGCCTAATTACATGCTACAAATACGTTGTATGTTAACCCAATGTTGCAGGACTGATCTTCCTCCTCAGAATAACCTCCTCTTAGCTCTAATCCCTGGCCGGCAGACTTCACCTCAGGCTGCCCAGGATGGGCAGTCAGATGTCGCCGTTGGCGTTGCCGTTGCCACTCGGATTGGCGTTGGCCTCGTTGGCGGCCACCTCGGCAGCGCTGGTCACCACCGTGGTGGTGCCATTGGTGGTGGCGCAGGTGCTGGTGGCCTCGCCCACCGTAATGGTTATCGTCGTGTTCTGATTGTCGCACTGCACCACCTCGATGGTGCGGGTGTTGCTGGTGGTGATGCTGCTCATCTGTCCGTTCTCCGCCTCGTTCAGCTGGCGTCCAATCTCCCGATCAATGGCCTCCGCGTCCTCCGGATACCGCTCCGAGCAGAAGATGGCACCGGCCTTCAGTAACTTCAAGAGATTCAAGCGATCTTCGGCATTTCGTTTGGCACAAAGGGGTCTATTGGGGAATACAAAATTAATGCCTTTATCTGAGATATTCCATCCTGACTCATCCACACTCACCTTCCCGCATCCTTCAACTGCTCCATGAACTCCTTTCCGGTTATGTCCACCAGCGAATTGGGATCCATGTTGGACAGCGAGTCCAAGTCGGCATCGTTCATGACGGAAACGTTGCACAGGTTGTGCTGCAACTGGCCCACCAGCTGGCGGATGCGAGCCGACTCCGAGTTGCTGGCATCCGTGGTGTCTCCTGCCCCCACGCCTCCGGCGGAGGAGTCTCCGTTTCCGGTCGGGCCGTCTGTGCCGTGTGGAGTGGTTATGGTCACGTAATGTGTTGGCTATAAACACGGCAAGGATATCATTTAATTTTATCTCTCAGTTTTGTCGCTTGGGTCACGAAACTGCCCAAGGCGTAACAAGGATAAAGCAATTAGTGATTATGGCAGATAAAAGGACACCCAAATAAAATATATATATTATCCAATTAAGTGCGCCTCGGGCCTGAGTAATTATCCTTGAAATGCTTGAAAACTTACATCGATCCAGTGCTCGCCGGGAAACACGGCCACCAGCTCCGTGTTCTCGTCCAGGGTGCGGAAGTACTCCTCGTCGTCGATCTCCGTGCCATCGGAGTCCAGGTGGATGGTGGGCAGGTGGTCGCACTTCTCGAACTTTTCCGCCACCTTGTTGCGTATCTCCTCCAGGCTGGAGGCGCAGACAGCCTTCTTAATGTTCCGCGTGACGTCCTTGACCTGGCCAGAAGGGAGAGTCAACCATTACACGTTTACAATTACGAATATGGCAACAGTTACACATGGCCCGGCTCATCAAATGAATAAAAAATTAATGTCAAAAGGGAAACAACTGTGTCCCTGGCATTGGGCGGGCGGGTCCTTTTGAAATATTCATACCAGGCGCCCAAAATAAAAACCGAAACATACAGTAGAATTTATAACATCCTTGCTGGATCCTTTTCTCAAGAAGGGAACGTGAACTGAATGCTGGAGAACCTTGTAGGCCTTTAAACTTCATTCCTCCATAGTACATACATGTTATACTTTAATACTTTTCACATTTGGTGCTTAATTGAATGAAATACTCTGCAGAGTCCTTGTTGAAAATGCAAATTTCCATCAGGACGAAAAAAAACAGTTATTACAATGAATAAATAATCGGGATGTGAATATTTGCGCCCACGTCATGTCCTGCTGCCAAGCATCCATTTAGACTAATTGAGATTTATGTGTCCTTTGGCCGCCAAGGGGGGGATGTCACTCTGCTATCCAATCTGCTAAACTATTTGTTGCAATGCGAGTCCTGGAACTGAGTGTGTGTGTGTGTGCCCATCTCCTTCAAAAACTCGAACCAAGTTTGACAAGCACTCGTCTGACTGTCTCGCAAATATTTGCGCCGTTTAATTCCCCGCCCACCATGCCTCGTTTTTTAACCAGCTTTTTTTTCTTGTGTGACAAGTTATGCCTGTCAGCGTTTTATGTTGCATGCCCCAGTGTGCACTGTATGCGCTGCAAGGACAACGTCTTGCAGCCAGGCTCTATTAAACTTGCATGCAATGTTAAATGGTGCCTCAGCACTAAGGTTAAACGAAACATAAATTAGAGACCTGGCCTAGATGCCGGGACCAGGGGCCAGAAGGGGTTCCCAGCCAAGATGGATGGCAGGCGGATGGCGGAGAGAGGAAGAAGATAGTTGTCTGGGGCAGCGGCACGACTGCATTGCTAAGAGAATTTATAGCCCCGAAACGCTGAGAAACGTGCTACTCCTTAAGGTCCTTCATAAATAATTGAATTCGCCGTGTCTGAAATGAAATTGTAGTCGAGTTTGCATTTCGAACATTTTATTTAACATTCTCGCAGTCGGCTAGGATGCTGTCTTCCATCTTCCATCCTAGTATCCTCCCAAAGAAGGTCCTCATTAAATTATCCCATAAATGCTTAAAGCCAGCAAACTTTTGTGCTTCGCCAGCGCCAAATATTAATCATATCATGCCGGAAAGGCGAGGAAACTTTCCCGGGCCACAATGAAAACTTTGGCAAACTACTGGAGCATCGAGTACAAGTAGCGGCAAAAACAATAACATCCTTTTTATTTCATCCAGAAACTTGTCAGAAACTTTTAGTTGATCACATTAGTGGATTTCCCCGAAAGTTGCTGTCTATTTTGTTGGCAGTTTTCATTTCAATTAGCAATTTTTTTAACTGCCTCGAAGTGGAAGCATAGGTTAGATAAATAAATTAGAGATTTAGATACAATCTTTAATATATATCCTCACTGTAAACAAATTGCAAACTTCTTTGAGCTCTGGGATGATGGCTTTTAAATCACAACTAACTCTGGCTGCTCAACTATCAGGACCCTGGGGGTCCTGGTGATGGCTACACGTGCAACGACCTCCATCGTCTGGGTCTATTGAGGGGTGGTATCCTCCGGATACGTGACTGGGACCGGCAAAACATCTTTCTATTCTATTCATCTGCATCTTAAACCGGCCAAGATCCACAAGTCGCAAGACTTTTAAATATTTGATGGGGCGCGTAGCCGCAGATTTAGCCAAGCCGCTGGGGAAATTAGGCGACAACTTTAAATTGCTTTCCAACTATGCCATGAAATTATGTAAATTGTTTAATAAATTATTTATAAAAGGCGTTGGGTAGATGGGCGTGGTTGCCTGGCTAATTACAGCGCGACATGTCTGGATATCTGGATGAAAAAGTTTGTCGCTTTTTAATGGCATTTTCATGGTTGTCAGGGTATTTGACAGCTTTTAAGCCGCTTTGTGTTCTGTTGCGGTTTCAGAATTAATTAATTTAATAAGCAGCGACATTTTAATGGATCTGTTCCCCGTTACAAGGATACAGAATCTCCCGAAATTCCTCGTAGCCGGCAGTTAAAACAGCTTTGTGGCTTCTTTGGCAATTCCTTTGGTCTTTGGAGGTCCTTTGTTGCACGTTGCATGTTGTCTTTGTGGTTGGGTGGAGACCCTTTGTGTCTGTTTGGCTTTAAGGCCATGTTGCAGCCACTGAACCGCACAAGAAACGGCAGAGCACACATTTTCTGCGTAAATCCTTTAAACGGCTTTATGCTGTTTAAACGGCAGATAAACAAATTAGTCGACAACAAAGCCCCACCAGCCCAGCATGCAAAGAAAATTCCAAAAACAAATAGCTCCCCATTGTTCAGGATTGAAAAGCAAAAAAAAAAAGAAAAAGGACACCCAATCCAAATACAAAATGTTATGTTTGTTTTTTGGTTTTGCAAAAACACAATATCCACAACAGTAACGCCACATTACTGAGCTTTTCTGCTATTGCGCTCCAAGCTTTGGGGCTTTCTGCTCTCTTCGGTAGAACTCTAAGAGAATCTTGAAGTTCAACCCAGTTTCCATAAAGAACGAACAAAAAAAACAACCAACACAGCACGCGGCCAACAACAACAGCAACAAAAGCAGCAAACACTTGGGGCCACACAACGCCCAAAAAAGGGCATGGCATCGAAAATAATGCATGCTTTGTTTGCCTTTGTTTCTCATTTAAAATTAAGGAAAATATTTCAAATGAAAACTCACTTTGAATGGTTTCTTTGATTCGCCAGTTGCCTCCATGGTGTTGCAAAGAAATTAATAATTTACACTATCAATGCACTATAAACCAGGTCTAATTCCTTGACATTGAGTGGTTTAATTAATTGTTTTTTTGTATAACACTTGCACTATGTTTTTGAAAACAATGAGACTTTAAATTCCTTGTACAAGCTGCACTTCAAGTGGGAGTTTTTTTTTTGGCTCCGCTTAGCCAGACGCAGCCGAGCTTTTTTTTGCGAATTGCAGTTGGTGAGCGCCGGTTTCAAATGAGCATGTGAGACTGTGAAGCATTGGCTTTTATACGGCAGCTTTCGCAAGCTCACAGAGTTTTCTCTTTGAGAATTTTGGCGCTCTGTTAGGCTCTGATAGGGATGTTAATATGGGTTTTAAATTTAATAATATTGTCTATAAGATTTAAATGATAACTGGTACGTATCCACAAATGCCCCTTGGATCTCCCGTCAAAATAACTCAAAAATGCTTTGACTTTTTTTAAAAATCAACCCTAATTTTTTCATAATTACTCTATGAAGTCATTAGGGACATCAATTCTATAAATAACTCCGTGTTCCCTTTTACTTCATTAAGTTATTGGTCCAAAAGATTTCTAAAAACCAGTAATGGAAATTTACTTCGCCCAGAGCTGATGTTATTATGCCCATGCAGTGCCAGTAATTACAACAAAAACTACAACAAATAAAACTTACAATAACAACAAGAAATATAAACAAAATGTCTGACAAAAAAAAAATTATTTGAGCTATTTTTCAAGCCTGCTTAAGTGCAACCTATGAGAATCGAGGAGGAGGGCACTTTTTTTATTTTTTTAAAATTTTTTTAAATAATTATTTTAAACAGTTTTATTAAATAGTTTCTCAAATATTACCATTCGCATAACATCTGTAAAATTGTACTCTTATTTACCATTTGTCTTCTGGGCGCCCTTAAAGTTAGACTATGAAAATATGAATCTTTACATTTTCCGATTTATAATTTATAAACAAACACAATGGAGTGTAAGGATAAGTGAGGAATTAAGGATAGTTGTACATCTATAGAATTTATAGGATCCTTCTTATACATTGCGTGCAAAGGAAAGAAGGATGGGTGCAAAATTTAAACTCAATTAAAGACCCTCTGCAAGAGTATAAAAATTCAAATCAAACCACAAGAGCTTACAAAAGAGAAGAGAAGCTTAAGAGCAGCGTAAAGGATACATTCTCTCTGCTGAATATGTTGGCCAACAGCATCCTCTAGCTACATGGAAACAAAGTAGAGTTTGCTAGAACCTTTTCCAAAAGTTTATTGGCCTTTTTTAATGGGAATATGTGCTCCACCTCGCACTAATCCTCTATTCCGCTCGACAGGTTCAATTGAATTTAAATTGGACCATTGCGCCGAGGACATCTTATCAGTCCATTGATATCCGGCCAGTCAATCACCCAGGACCCCTAGAGCACTCCCCTCCGTCCTGGAAGCCGCCCAAATGAGCAGCCAGGCAACGCTTAACTTTCTGCTCAAGTGGCCAACACCCATTTAAATCTATATACGTCTATTTCTATGCACACATCACCGGACTAGATAAAGGAGAGCAAAAAGCAAACTTTTGACAAATGGCCAAAATACATGAAAGGAAAACCCAAGCCGGAAGGTGGGCCTAGATTGAGTTGAGCTTAGTTGGGATGCACAGAGAAAAAATCTGTAAGATACTTAAGGATTTTTACAATTTATATTCGCAATTATAAGATGTAAGATAGCATTTTACACACTTTTTAAAAACAAAATTTAAATACCTTTTGATTTCATCTAAATTTGTAATATTTTCTTTTATTTTTCACTGAAACATGGTCTAAGGATGAGCTATTTGTATATCAGGCCTAGGCCGGAGATGGGGGCAACCTTAAATTATCCTTGCGCGCGCCATTGGTGGCTGATGTTGCCGCTTCTGGTGGCTGCATTCTCTGTTGCTGGCAGATTGCCCCGCATATCCAATGCAATGGCAACAAAGGGGTGGACACGAGGACGAGTGGAAGGTGGCTGTAACTATTTCGAGAACAGGTCACTTGAAGAGGCGGGCAGGAGACACAAGGACATTGCCTTGTGTGGGTGAGTGGTTGTCGCCACAGTTCGCAGGTCACGTGTCATGTCGGAGCATTGACCACAGAGACGTTGACACTCTGGCCGGAATCTGGGTTGAGGCTTCCACTCGATGCCAGGTGACAGGTAATTGCTGCGCTGCAAAATAGGCAATATCCCAACGAATGACTGACGGCAATAAATCAACCTCTGATACCTTTGCTTCAAGGAAGGCATGATTAAGCTTTAAATTTTGAAAAAGTAACTCTTTAAAGTCAATTAAATACATATTAATAGATAGGATTTTGACAACAAGGGATTGTTACATCAAAATAATGCTGAAAAAAGGTAATTTCATGCCCAACAGCTTGCTCATGTTTATTAATCATTTTCGGGACCCAGACTTGGTCCAAAACAAGGCCAACACAGATACCAAACAGCAAGGAAACGAAACTAATTACGCTGTAGGCCTTTAAAAAAGGATAACAGAATTAAACACAGCTAAGTCCCTGTTAGTAACGGGATTAGAATTAACAGAACTCAGCAAAAGCAGAGATTTTAACAGGACCTCGTTGAAATTCAAGCAGGACCTTCCACCTTTGACTTCATTTGACCCTCTTCACATTGACATTTGTTGGAGGCATGAATATGAATGTGTAAGCTGTTATTCAGTTATCCTTCAAAGGATTAAATAAAAAATTATGTACTTTAAAAAATAAAAAACACTTTATTTGTTATCCAAAACACTCATCCTCCGTTCACAAATTATATATACCTATATAGTATCCGTTTTAATAATCCTCCAGTATCATCTTGGGAACCACATTCATACTGGTGAGCTCCTGGAAGAGCAATTTGCAGGCATAAGGCATGGAAATCTTGGAGACATATGCCGACGACTGGCAGAAGTGGCACCACGAACAGTAGGCCAGTCTTCCGCAAGTGCGACACACATCCACCTCGAAGGCATCCGAGGAAATCATAAGCCGCTCCATGATCAGCATACTGGCTCCATACGAGATGAGACAATCCCGCTCCATCTCACCGAGACGCAGGCCACCTTCGCGACTCCTGCCCTGGGTGGGTTGGCGGGTGAGCACGGCCTTGGGTCCACGGGCACGGGCATGCATCTTGTCCTGCACCATGTGCTTCAGCTTCTGATAGTAAACTGGTCCCGAGTAGATGTACGCCTCCAGAGGCGCTCCAGTAATGCCCGAGTAGAAAAAGTCCTTGCCCATGTAGTTGAAGCCATGACGTTCCAACTCCGCCTGAATATCCTGCACCTTTGAGCCGCCAAAGGCAGTGCCGTAGTGGAACTTTCCCTCCAAGACACCTGCCTTGCCGCCCAGCAGCTCCAGGGTTTTGCCGACTGTCATTCGGGAGGGAAAACCGTGGGGATTCATGATCATGTCCGGACAGATGCCAAGATCATTGTAGGGCATGTCCTCCTGCTCCACAATCAAGCCAGTGACGCCCTTCTGTCCGTGCCGCGAACTGAACTTGTCTCCGATCTCAGGGATGCGAGTTTGCCTCAGCAGGATTTTGATGAGAAAGTCCTCCTCGGCGTTGGCGGACACCATCACTCGCTCGATGTAACTGGGCTCGGGTCCCTTGTAACTGATGGGCACAGCCGTGTAGGGAACTTGAGGGGACTGGCCATCCAGTGGGTTCATCGACGTCACCGCCGGCATCTCCTTGTTGATCATGATCTGTTTGTTCTGAACCATTTCCCCTGGAGCTACAATGCCGTCGGTGTCCAGGACGTCGTGCTTAAAGATCACCTTATTGGTAAGAGCATCCTTCACCGGACCCATGATCCTGTCAAAAGTCTGATTCGCATACCGCTTCACTGTGCACTTGGAGTTCTTGTAGACCAAGCAGCGTCCATAGCCCCGATCAATGGACGCCTTGTTGAGGATCAGAGCATCTTCTATGTCGTAGCCAGAGTAGCTCATCACGGCCACAGTCGCGTTTTGGCCAGCAGGCAGCTTGTCGAAGTTGGTCAGCTCGATTGTCTTGGATTTCACCATGGGTGCTTGCGGGTACACCAGATTGTACATCAGCGAGTCGATGCGGTTCTTCTGGTTGTAGCCAATCATTCCCATCGCCTGCTTACCCATGGCGCACTGGTACGTGTTCCTGGGACTTTGATTGTGGTGGGGATAGGGCACCAGGCCTGCGCACACTCCCAGCAAGGTGAAGGGTTCAATCTCCAGATGTGTCGTTCGTTCCTCAATGTGCTCCTCGTTCCAGGCGATGAACGAGTCGTTCTCCTCATTGACATCCAAGTATTCGATTAATCCGTCCAGCAGGAAATCGTCAAACTTTCGGATTCCACGGTTCAGCTCGTCGAGGTGGTGTTGCTTCACCAGCGGACGACACTTCTTCACGATAATGTACGGCCGGCACAAGCGGCCACCATCCGTGTGAATATATATGCACCGCTGGGTGTAGGACGTGTGCACCGAAACATAGCTGCCCATCCGACCCTTTCTCCGCATGTAACGAAGGTTCTTCACGAGATGCTTGTGGTTCAGAGTGAGTCCCAGCACATTGCCGTTGATGAAAACCAGGAAGACATTTGGGTTGTTGATTGGATTGCCGCTTACTTCCCGGATATCCTCAACGCCGGCATTGAAGGCAAGAACCATTACCGGTTTCTCCTCCACCTCCGTGGTAATGTGCGTCATTAGGGCGAGGTTCTTAACGAGACCACAGGCCTCACCTTCGGGAGTATCCGAAGGACAGAGCATTCCCCACTGACTGGGCTGCAGGGAGCGAGGACCGGATACCTTCCTGGTTTTCTCGAACTGAGAGTTTACGCGAGTCATCATACCGAGGGCGGATATATAACTCAATCGGGACAGCACTTGCGTCACTCCCGCACGCTCCATTTTGAAACGCTTGATGGTCCAGTTGCCAGAACTTATAGCCGATTCCAATCCAGCGGTGATCTGCGCTGCCCGCATGTGCTTCACCACATCGAATTGTGCCGCCTTGACCTTAGGGATGTTCTTGTCCGCGATGGTTTTAAGCTCCCAATTCATTCGCTTGAAAAGATCTTCAAACATGAGGGAGATAAGTGATCCAGCCAGTTCCAGGCGCTTGTTTCCGTAGTAATCCCGATCATCGAAGAGTGTCTTATCCAGCTCGGCGGCCATGACTCTCCGCACCATCATGGAAACGTATATAGCCTTCATTTGAAAGTTAAAGTTGTCCACGGGAACATGGGCCAAGATCGTTGTGAGGAGCAGTTCTCGAGCCTCTTCAGCCGGAGTTTTCGTAGTGGCGCTCTGGAATCGTTTAACCACAAGCTTGGACCCTAAAAATAGTTAAGGAATAGTTAAAGGAGAACCTAAGCAGTAACTTTCGAAACCTTACCCATATAGTCAAGAGCTCGTTGCTGGGTGAAAACCTTCAGATTAAAAGCCTCCAGTAGAGAGGCACCAAAGCGGTTCTGCGACTTGGAGTCTATTCCTATGTGCGCCATAATCTCCTGATCCGATACCACTCCAAGGGCCTTGAAGATCACCACAATGGGTATGTCGTCAGTCATGGAGTTGTGCTTGAGGTAATATTTTCCGTGCTTGCTTAAAACCAAAGTACGCGACTTCTTTTCGTGAGTGGACGAGGTGACCTGGCATTGCACCACTCCGTTAAAGTCTTCCGTCAGCATTTTGTTCCACGACAGCTGTTCCTGGATGAGGATGACCTTCTCCTGGCCGCGTACTACAAAGTAGCCACCCGGATCCAGAGGACACTCATTCAGTTTGGACAACTCGAACTCCGATTTGCCGGTGAGGACACAGTTGGAGCACCGCAGCATGAGAGGCATCCTCCCAATCAGGAGGTTGTTTCTCTTAATCCTTTGGGTGCCTCGGGTGTACTCAATGTCCACAGTAATTGGAGCCGAGTAGGTGGTGTCCCTCAGGCGGCACTCGTGCGGTGTGGTAGCTTTGGTGATGTTGAATCCCTCGTCGATGTCCGGCTTTCCTACGCGCACATCCAGGTACTTCAGATAGAAAAGGGGGTCGGCTCCACTGGTCACCATCTCGTTGGCCCGCACAATCTTCTTTATGTCCACGTTTATGAAATGGTTAAAGGAATCAATGTGCTGCTTGACGAGGCCCTTTACTTGCAGGAAGGCCGGCAGCAACTTCCACTTCTCCTGGAGAGGCTTGATGGGCCTGGCCCATTCCTTGCTGTCGCCCGGATCCCAGGCACAGGCCTCCAGATTGTGATCGCCTTTCTTCAGCTCCACCATGTCTTTAATTTATTTTTTTAAATAAATGGTCAGCAAAACAAAACGGCATGCACGCGGCCGTAGTGTTGAAAACCGAACAGAAGTGGCCTCTTGTAAACTAGTGTTGTAAAATGTGCAAATTTTCAAATTATAGGGCGGGATTTCCACTATCAGATAAAAACCCAACCATCAGTTCGAATGTAAAGAACAATCCTTTTTTATTTTCCAAAAGAAAAATGCAATCAAACAAATCAAATATATACGTCACGCAGTTTTAGACCTTCTTTACAATCTGAACCACATCTTCGTCGTTGAGTACATGCTCGATGCCCACTTTCTGCGGCTGATGCTTTACGGATGAGCCCCAAACAAGCGCACTGAAAATGAAAAATATGGTCAAAATAATGTAAACCTTTTAGGAAAGCTTAAACTCACTATTTAAACTCCTTGGCGATGGAGCGATGCAGTTTGTTACAAAAGTCTTCAATGCTGGTCCGTTCGTTGTGCAATACAACAGGCGAATTGTAGTCCGGCAATTGTCCCTTGGGTTTGGTGTAGATCCGCACCAGCCGCAGGTATTCCCACATCAGCTCCAGCAGATCGTCAAAGTTCCAGTGATGATGCGCCGAAATAGGCACGCAGTGCGGGATCTTGTAGATGACGTCCAACTCCTCGATGGAAATCTGATCGATTTTGTTGAGCAGATAAATGCAGGGTATGTAAATTCGGTTGCCCTCGATAACGTCGATTAGATCGTCGCTAGTGGCATCATATCTCAGCGTAATATCAGCATTGTGTATCTTATACTCCGAAAGAATGGTCTTGACGAGATCCGTATCCAGTTCGGACTGGGGAACCATGCAGTTCAGATTGATGCCACCCTTGTCTTTCCGCTTGTAGTAAATATTTGGGGGCTTTTTGTTTAAACGGATGCCGAAACCTTCCAACTCGTGCTCCAGGAGCTTTTTGTGGCCCAGAGGTTTCAGACAATCCAGCACCATGAAGATAAGGTTACAGGTTCGGGCCACAGCAATCACCTGTCGACCACGACCCTTGCCGTCCTTGGCGCCTTCAATGATACCAGGCAAATCCAGCAACTGGATCTTGGCGCCCTTGTACTTGATGCATCCTGGAACCGTTGTGAGCGTCGTGAACTCGTAGGCTGCCACTTCAGAGTAGACTCCTGCTAAGTTGGATAAAAGCGTGGACTTCCCCACTGATGGAAAGCCCACAAATCCGACCCGGGCATCTCCGGTCTTGGCCACCTCAAAGCCGGCTGAAAGAAAATATGGTGTTAGCCGGTGGAAATCAATAAAACAACAACTTTCTTACCTTCGCCGGTGCCACCGCCACCTCCCTTGGGGGAAATCAGCTCGCGCCTCAGCTTGGCCAACTTTGCCTTCAGCAGACCCAAGTGAGCCGAAGTCGCCTTATTCTTCTGGGTGCGAGCCATCTAAAGGGCAAAAGGTGGGGGGGAGAGACGATCCACAGGGGAGATGCGATACAGGTTAGTTTCAGCATAATTCGCAGGTGATTTGTTTGTGTCAAAACATACCTCGGACTCGATGGCCGCAATTTTCTCCAAGATTGTGCTCATGATGGCGTCTCAGGACAAAGCCGCTTTCTATAAAACTTTTAAATCAACAAAAATTCATGTAGAAATAAATAAAGTAGATTTGTGGCACTCGCGTGGAGAGTAGGGTTGCCAAAATATCAACATATCGAAAATCCAACGATATACAAAACCTATCGATAAATGGACACATTTTAAATTATGATTCACAATAGCGAAACTTTTTTTGACAGAGCCGTTAGAAGCTTGCCAAAATGTTCGCTAAAGGTAAATTTATAAAAAAAAGAACTTTTCAAATCTAAAGTTTGAATTTTAATTTGAACAGTTAAGCCACGCACCCAACCCACCAATACCCAGTTGAGACAGACAAAACTATATGTCTCACAGAAGGACAATAAGCTCAAGTATGAAGGCTTTGTCAAGGAAGCTCCACAACGGCGTCCAAAAATGGAGTTCGTTTACATGCCAGCCCCCCGTTCCCTTCCTCCTCCTCCCAAAACAGTCTTGGAGAAATCTTCCCCTTCCGCTCCACTTCCACCTAACAAGATCGAGGAGAAAACTTGTCAGGAAAAGGATAAAACCGACAACTTGGACGATTTTATGTCCAAGTCAGGACGCGATATGATCAACTTGATTGGTCGCGTAGATTTCTGCCTCAAAACCCATAAATTGTATCCGAAATTGAATGTAATTTGGAATGTTTATGGTGGGTATAATTTTTTTAAAATCTGGCAGATCACTTTATAGAAGTTTTATAAATTTTAGGAAAATTACTTCGAATTGTTAAAGGAAAACGATGCGAGAATACTTTACTAGTGCGAAATGAAAACTCTGGACCAGTTCTACAAGGGATCTATTTTGATTTCGAAGGGGAGTTAGAGTCTTTGAAGACAGGCAAGTTTGAAAAGAAAATGTCATTAAATAACATTAAAACTATAGAATAATATTTAGGTGTCTTTGTGGAACTCGTTGGTCGTTTCATTGGCAATAATCGTTTGAAAACATTCAAGGTTTCCGAGGTGAGCGGTACCAAGTGGCAACAGCCACTAACCCTCATAGAAAATAAAACCTCATATAACTTAATGCAAAACAACAAGAATAAGTAATATTTGTACTATAATATTAATTTTTAATTAAGGTTCTCTCATGAGTCGTAGACCAGGAAGCGATATTTCAACACGCATATAAATATATTTCTCACATATCCTGGCCTAGCTCTAATTGAAATGTTTCACTTTGTACTTTATGATTAATATGTATATAAAGTTAGTACTTATTAGGTATAATTTAGATACCTAGGAACTAAGTTAAATTCCAAAAATGCCCCATTGATGATTCCCAACTAGCTTCTCAGACTCATCCAACTCTCTAGGAGCATTGCACAGTTACAAGGACTTCAGTTACAAATACATTAAATACAAATCCAATGATATATAAGCTCTAATACTGTTGTACTTATTGGACTACGTGGAAGGGTTATGCCTTGTGCCCTGAATCTACGAAGAATATAAATCGAAATACATAAAGACAGTGACCAGGGCACCACACAGCAGCGCACACAAGTAGCTCAAGTGCAGTGAAGAGTTCTTCTCATCGTGGTGTCTGCAAGCAAAGAAGTACAATATTAATGGTGATGCCTCTTGGAGATAATATACCGTTGACTCACCGCTTCTTGGAGCGAGGAGTGAAGGGCGAAGGTGGATTCACCCCAGGCACTACGCTGTCCAAGTAAACAATGCCGTACGCGAAGATGGCCACTAAAAAGCCACACAGAAATGGACTCAGCTTGGAGCCCAGCTGGTGCTGTGTTGACCATTCCAAGGTAGCGTTCCAATGGCTCAGCACCTGTTGGTTCCACTCCTGCACGGAATCAGTGCTGATGAGAGGCACTACAAAAAGAATAACTCGTTAGTATCTGTATGCGGAGTGGCATTATATTGGTTTCCCTGTTATCAGTAATAACTGAAACTGTTATCTAGGACCGAAATGGACAAATAATTAGTTAAAAATAATTGTACCTGCTTAATTGTGATAGATTGTTCTTAGCAGACACCTTTTTTCAAAATAACCCTTAGGCTTTTCCTATTGGGAAAGGTCGAATAAGAAATCTATAGAAAGAAATATAGAGGCACCCTATTGTTCAACCTGTGTGGCAATTATCGGCAGTTTTCTTCTGCGTCAGAATTCTAAATTTCGTAATTACTTCTGCCTTTCTTTAGCGGTACCTTGACAAGGGCCATACCGCTCGTTTATCTTTATATTTGTGTGAGTTTCGCGTGACGCGACCCTACCACCGACCTTATACCGTTGAACTCACCAACAAACGTACTAACAAATCAAACGACTAAGTAACTAATCACTCACTGGCTCAGAGTATGCAAATGAGAATCGCCGGCCAAAGCGAAATGCGCATTTTTCGGCCTTTATTTAGACATATTCATGGGATTGCAAAAAGGGGGCTGTCGGGTGGAGGAAAAACAAAGCGTTCGGAATAAACACGGCTATGAGATCACACACCGTTTGCCTATTTATAAACGAAAAATATAAACAAATGGGCTAAGGCTACGTCACCGCAATTGCAACCTTCGGTGACCACCCCGAACCAACCCCCGCATTGTTCCTAATAAGATTTTAATAATAAAGGTTTTTTATTGTAAGTCCCTAAAGTCCCTCTTGGGAATTAGTCACACTTACTGGCTAAGATGATGCTTTTGTATCCAATAATTAGAAATCCAAACAGAAGGGCCACTTCTTTGACTCGTGGATCGAAGGTCGCCAATACGCCCACCTGCCCTTTTTCCTTCGTATCCAAAACGCAATTCGACCGCTTTGGTGTGGAGGTGTATTCCACTGATCCGCTACGTTCAGCGTTTGTTTTGGATCTAAGCGCCCCAGAGAAAATCCTATTGTAGGTAGCAGTCTCATCGGCGGCAGAGGCGTCGTTGTTTTGCCGAAGCGTAACGTCACAAGCTTCGTTCACCATTCTGTTTATTTTTTGCTGCCGGATGTGCACTGTTATGTGTTGTGAAGAGGCCCCAATCAACTATTCACTTTTAAGTCTAAATTAAAATGGAATTTGATTGGGATTTAATTTATAAACACCACTAGAGAAACAAATGAAAAACAAAACACACCCCGCGTTGCACTTTGGCGTTGCCAGATAGTACGAGGAAAATCTCCATAAATTTCGACTAACGCGTTGCATTGGGAAACTGTTGAATAATTTTGGAAGCCGGTTATTAAATTAGCTAATCCATAGATTAGCTATGGATTGGCAGATATATGGTTATCAGGAGGGGACCATGTACAAATAGTTAGAAACCCCACAATTATACAGGGGAACCCCTTAGAAAAATATCAGAACGTGTTGGCTTAGAGACAAGCATTAATTTATAAATGCATATACACATTTCATTTAGTTGGAAAAAAGGTTCCAAAGATTTCGCGAATGTTTAAATTTTGTAACGATAACAAAAATAATATAAATAAATTTAATTTTAAACACAAGGAACTGTTTATTTCAAAACGTTTTTATATCGTGTGTACCAGGTGGCGCTAGAAATCTAGTATCGTCTATCGATGTATCGATGTATTAATCGTTTTCCATCTCCACCTCTAACACGACAAGCGCCAAAATTTTACGTTTATTTATGATAGGGAACAATTTTATTAAATTAAGCCAGTGTTTTTGAGAAAAAAGTGTGGAAAGACAGCCCATATTGTTCGGCGACCGTTCAACGCTAAGTAACACGCACCATGTCCTTTTTCGGAGGCAACACTTCACTGGGAGCCACAAGCACGCCGGCCAAACGTGAGTCCACCAAACAACTTTCATTAAGCCCGTTTCTCCAGGTATTTGTGTGGGCCATTTCCACTGGGCGGAGGCTGGAGGAGCTTTTTGGCGTCCTGGAGGCTCCGAATGCGTATGTCCTTGGGATCGATGCTACAAAAGGGTGAAGGGTGAGATGGCTTCAGTGAAAACTGGAAGTGAATGCTGCTCACCCTTTTGTATGGATAACGTACGCAACGTATCCCGCAAAGGCCAGCACCAGGAAGACTAAAATCAAGACAACAGCCATTGTTCAGAGCCGAGAACCAACTGAAATCTCAATCCATGATAAGGGCCGGGCCGGAAGCTTAGTTTCTTAATTACTGACCCATTTGTTTATTTTCTTATCTCTCCTCGGCAGCCGGCGGACTGTTCGGTTCATCTTTTGGAGCGGCCGCAACGGGTCAAGCAGCGCCCGCTTTTGGAACTCCGGCCACTTCTGCTCCAGCTTTCGGCACTCAGAGCACAACTCCTGCCTTTGGATCTGGCTCGGTTTTTGGAGCCACTGCAGCCGCTCCTGCCTTCGGAGCTTCTGCGACGGCGGCACCTGCATTTGGAGCAGCAGCAGCTACTCCAGCATTTGGAGCAGCAGCAGCTACCCCGGCTTTTGGAGCTGCAGCAGCTCCCTCGGCTTTTGGTGGATCCGCTTTTGGCAGTGCTCCAGCTTTTGGAGCTCCAGCCACCACCACAGCTTCAACTGGCCTGGGAGGTGGATTCACTGGATTCTCCGCTCCAGCAACAGGTCAGACGAGTTTGTTCGGGGCTCCAGCCACCAGTGCTGCGCCACCGGCATTTAGTGGATTTGGACAAGCGGCGACTAGCGCAGCTCCGGCAAGTGGATTTGCAGGTTTCGGAACAACTACCACCTCAACCCCAGCCTTCGGAGGTTTTGGAACAGGCCAGTCGTCTGGCTTCGGTGGTGGGGTATTTGGATCTAGTGAGTATAATTATCCTAGTTGTGAGTCTGTGATATTCCTAACCTGGTTCACGTCTTAGCCTTTGGAAAGCCTGCTACTTCAACAGTCACTCCTGGTTTTGGTGGCTTCGGTGGGACTAACTTCATGTTGGGGCAGCCACAACAGCAGCCTCCGCCCATTTCTGCGGATGAGGCGTTTGCTCAGTCCATTCTGAATGTTTCCATTTTCGGAGATGAACGGGACAACATAGTGGCCAAGTGGAACTACTTGCAGGCCATGTGGGGCACAGGAAAACTCTTCTACTCCCAAAGTGCGGCGCCTGTGGATATTACGCCCGAGAATTATCTCTGCCGCTTTAAGGCTATTGGATATAGTCGCATGCCGGGCAAGGACAATAAACTGGGACTGGTGGCCCTTAATTTTAACAGAGAACTTTCCGCTATAAAGTAAGTTCCACAGATTCCACGTTATGCCCAGCTATAATTATTCCACTTTTAGGCCACATCAGCAACAAGTAGTTCAAACTCTGCACAGTTTGTTTGGCAGCAAACCCAACATGCTGGTTCACATTGATTCCATAAAGGAGACGGAGAACAAAAAGTGTCAGATAGTCATCTATGTGGAGGAGAAGCTGCAGCATGCACCCAACGATACCAAACGCATTCTCGCCACTGAACTGTCAAACTATTTAAACCAAGCCTCTTTAAAACAGCAGCTCACGAACCTCGGTATCGTGGAAGCTTTAGCTTTGGTCTTACCCGATGAGGATCAGCTAAAGGAGTATCTAGAGAACCCTCCAAAGGGGGTGGACCCGCGCATGTGGCGGCAGGCCAACTTGGACAATCCCGATCCAAGTAAATTTATACCGGTGCCCATGATTGGTTTCAACGATCTAAAGTGGCGGGTAAAGTGCCAGGAACAGGAGACAGACACCCATGCCCTGTACATGAAAAATGTGGAGGGGGAACTCACGGAGCTAAGACAACGACACGCCACGGCCACGGCAAAGATTTTGGAACACAAACGTAAACTGGCCGAGCTCAGTCATCGTATACTGAGGGTATGAAACGAGAAGTACAATTTTTAAACAATTAATTACCATTCTGATAATTACAGATTATTGTGAAGCAAGAGTGCACTCGGAAGGTGGGAACTTCGCTGACGCCCGAAGAGGAGACCATGCGCACCAAGCTGCAGAATATGCAAGCTGTAGTTTCGGCGCCCACTCAGTTTAAGGGAAGGCTCAGTGAACTGCTCTCCCAGATGCGAATGCAGCGAAACCAATTCGCCGTCAACGGAGGAGCGGAATACGCCATCGACAAGGATGCCGAGGACGAGATGAAAACGTTTCTCACCATGCAGCAGCGCGCCATGGAAGTGCTTAGCGAAACGGTCAACAAAGACCTCATGGCACTGGATGTTATCATAAAGGGATTGCCCGAACTGCGGCAATCGTGATAGAAGAAATGAACTGTTGAATAAATCACCCAAATGTTGAAAACTAGTAATCTGTATTATACTTCGTCTCTGTGGCGGATGTGGATGTGGAGTCTCTGATGCTCCAGGCAATGTGAGTGAAGGTTCCATGGAGTGGTGCAATCTTTGCTGCAAGGTCTACGAATTCGTTTCTCTCTATAGGAATATAGAGAAGTTCCACTAAAGAAAGCAGAGATTACTAGGTCTAGTAATAGATTTTCTTTCTCAAAAATTCAAAAAATAAATATCCACTGAAAAAAATGATGGTTTTTCAAATAAAATTATTTCAAATTTTAAACCAAAAACCGAATATAAATAATACTTTTACGTTTATTGGTAATTGAAAAACATGAATAATAGATAAATATAAATTTTGTTTAAGTTTAATGTGTGGTTTTATTTTTATCTTTGTTATGATCTCTTCATTTCTTACAACATTTTCGATTTTGTGTTTCAATACATTTTCAATGCATTCTTTTTGAATCTAACTCGTAATTTATATATTATTATGAATCATGATGTGTATATTATATAGTAACTAAAAAATAACTGCGATCATAGAAAAGTTAATTTTAATTTCTTAATAAGGCTCTGTTTACGTTCTCAATATTTTACTCCATACTTCAAAAACTTATGCTCGATACAACACACTTTTATCTTAATCTTCTCCACTTGATATACTATGAAACCTACAACTAAATGAAAAAAATCAAACCAAAATGCGTCAAATTAAGAACGTGATAGACACTTTAAAATGATAAATATTAACTGTTACAGGTAAGATTAACAAAACAGACGACACATTCTATGGTTTTAAAAAGATGGTTTGCCTTGGTCTCGTTCGCGAGTTGAATATGGTACAATGGGTTTTTATATCAGATGAATTCTAACTAAAGTTTCTGGATGCTGGGTGGGGGCCAATGTAATGTATGCATTCTGTCGGTTCTGTAGGTAGTGTCGGTTTAACAACTATCGTAGCTTCGCCCAACTACTTCTTAAAAATTTAGTTAACTTAGGCGCCTAGTCTAACAGTATCTAAACTAACAAGTATGCGCTCCATCTTTCATTTCATCCTCCTGGCCTCCTACTCCTCGGCCCCTGTCTCCTGCCCCTATGATTTGGCCGAAGTGGCTCCAGCGCGCGTTCTTTTGGCCATGGGCTCCGTGGTATCTGCTGCCCTTATATTGTCGAACAGGTTGTTCTCCTGCAATACCATACATTTAAGACTTGGATTCAATGGGAAATGTGTTTGTTTGAACAAACCTGCGGATCCTCATCATCATCTGTTATCGACGGCTCTGCTGGCCTCTTTGGAGGCGCCACAGTTCGCGAGGTTGTCATGGACGTAGCGGTGGCTTTGCTCGACGATTTTGCGCCCAGCGTATACACGTCCAGCGGTATGTAGATATCGTTGTTCTGGAAGTTCGCAACGGCGGGCTGTTTATAATACATTTCTGGCAAAGCCAGCGGCATGGAAAAGGTCGCGTTGCCATCAAATGAGCTAAATTTTGTGTCGATAATGTGCATGGAGAGATCACAAAGGGCCCACATTCTCTAAAAAAAATCAAAAGGAACGGAGTTATACCATGATTTTTGAAGACTGATTAAAGCTTACATAATTGTCGGTCTTATCCGAGCCCTGACTGAACTCCCGGTGTTTGATGAGCTGCAGCAGTTGCTTGTAGAAGCCGTACACAAAAGATTCCCGCTTGGCCATTAGCGGCTCTAGGACAAAACGAAGGCACTTCTCCATTTTGCGCAACTGGACGTTGTCTTCGTGATTCGTAAAACGAGGATCGTTGACCAAGACAGGAATGGCAAAGGCTAGCATGTAGTCAGGTTGAATGTGCTGCGATTGCGAGTCCGTTGAGCTGTCGGGAGCTAGAAACGGGGATCAATCTATAATCCAATGTTGGGAACAGTATCAGGTATGCTTACATGTCATGGCTACAGTCTTGAGATATTCCCGTCGTTTGTTCACATCAGCTTCCGTATAGTGCCTCACCAGATCTTGTAATCTAAAATAAATAGATTTTAATAAATGTTTAAATAAATTAACGAGAACTTACTTTCTTTCAGTCTCCAGACCAGCCAGTACATACAATCCCATAAAGTCCAAGGGCAAGCAGTTTCTTGGTAAACTCCTGCTTAAACCTTTATGGAGCTTTCGAGAAAATATTTCCCGAACCTCCGGCACTGGATCCACCTAAAAGAAATGCAAATTGTAGTCCTAAATATACCCTTCGATATTCTTCAATTACTTACCATCATTTGGGAAAGCTGTAGAAACTGTTCGGCACTGTACTGGTCACCAACGCCTTTCTGCTCACACACCTTGAGCATGGCGCAGGCGGCTCCCAAGCGCAGCCAGGATTTCTCGGCCCCGCATAAGCGGTTTTGACCGAGGAGATCGCCTCGCTGGTTAACAAAAGCGGCTAGCATTCGGAATGTTTTCTGGGCGGCGTGCTCATCGGTGCGCAGGCCTAGCAGCCAACGGGCCATGGTTTTTAACGCATCCAGTTTGCAGAGTGTATCCGGAGGCAAATCCTCCTGGGCACACCAATCGCCATCCTCGGGCAGATCGTAGTCCCTCTGCTGCGGAACTTCTTGTATCAGCAGCTCCTTTACTATGCGTCTCGCGATCATATTTTTAATTGGCGTCAGAAATGCTTGGGGCATGTTATACGCTATGTGACCCAAGGTGACAATCTTGGTGCGTTGATGCTCGCAATTGGGTGTCAGTTTTATTCGCAGTGTCTCTATGATTTCGTGAAAGATGGGATGTACCGTTTGCGTCGTCGTAGACGCACTGCCCGATCCACTTGTCATCCCATCGGTGGCCGTCGACGACTGACTATTCACGAAGATGCAGCGGACGGCGTGCTTAGCCTGCTTGGGGGTACCAATCAGAGCAAAGTCCCTGCACACCGGGGCCAGTTCATTAAGAATTGCCGGGACGGCGTCATCGATTAAGGGTTGATAGCGTCCCAGGTGTGTCAGGGATTTCAACACAAGAGGGGCCACATAATCGTGCTCGTAGCTCAGCAGGGCAATCAAATGACGCAGCGAGGAATCAGTGAAAAAGTGAGCTGAGAATACGTATGAAAGCATCTGCAGAAAGGGGTATGATTGAGTCATGAGAACTGTTTGGTTAACTCTTAAGAAGCAACTCACGCTTAATAGCTTAAGACCTCGCTCTCCTGCCTCCTGGCGAGAAATTCCTATCTCTTCGCACATTGATCCACCCTGTATGCATTGTTCAATAAGACTGCAAAAAAAAATATATTTGAAATTATGAAAGAAAGTGGTAGATTGAATATTTTTTACCCTATCAGTACGCCAATGGATTCTTTGTCCACCATCACTGAAGCCACTCGCTCTATTAGCATTTTGACGGTATTATAGTACAGATTCGATTGGACGTGAGCGCCCAACTTCTTGAGTAGAACACCCATGGTGTCGGCACACTCGCGACAGCTTACATCGCGTTTCAGGACAATGTTGATGCAGCGTAGGAGCTGGGCATCTTTGCGCAAGTTGTTACTGAACTGGGTTAGGTACTCGGCTGCCTTCAGGGGATCGGGTAGCAATCTGCAAAGATATTCAAAGCAAATGCTCGTATCTGAAACTATTAAACTACTGCAGCAATCTACGAACTTGGCAATGGTGGCCTGTTTGGCGCTCAGTTGGCTGAGCACACGCGGCGTAAACTCTTTGGAGTGGTGCAGCTTGATCCAGTCGCTGACAGTGTTGCGGGTCTTCATTTGGTTCTTCTGGAGTTCAACAAATGCCTTGGTGGCATTGGCGTCCAGATCGGCCAGAAGATGATACAGCTTCTTCATTCGCTCCTCCGGTGGCAGTTTGTAGGGCACTAGGCAGGTAATCAGCAGCCGCTCCACAAGAAGTCGGTCCTCCAGACCGACCTTGTAGTAACCGTGCAGAATTTTATTCTTAATCCAGTCTACGCTCTTCTTCAGCTCGGCACTTATATCGTTTGGCTCGCATATGGCGCGTTTGTAGATGTACGCCAGGCCGTTCATAGCGTCTCGACGAATTTTGTATTTCTTGTCCAGCGTCCGTTCTCTGACAATTTCCAAAAGGTCAGGTGCCTCGAGAACTAGTTTAAAATCGCGTTTGGCAGTCTCAACAATCGCCATTACCACTTCGTGGCGCACATTCTCGTCTAGATCGTGATTCCTTAGGCGCAGCTTTTCCGTTATATCGCCCTGTAGGTGCGGATGGTTAAGAAGGAAATGCATCGACGACTGGACACATTTGACCCGAACGGGTTCGGTGATGTCGCAGAAGCGTCCGAAAAATATTTTCAACAGATTTTGGTATTTTTTCGACAACTGCGATTCTTTCTCCGAAAACATGCGAGCCAAAAGGGTAGTTGCCTCTGTAAAATAATGAAAAATGTATTAGTTAAATATCATATATTACTTATATATATATATATGCCTTACTCAGTCTTTCGGCATCGTCCGTTGAGAGTAGCTTATTTTCCAATTGCGGCAGCACCGACGTAAGCAGGTCTCCATTGGTGCGATTAAGCTCATAGATTATATCGTATATCTTGTTTGTAATGGACAGTTTAGTGTTTGGCTTATCCATAACCAAAGCACGATTGAAGAACTGGCGAACAGAAAAAGATCTCCACTAACAAAAGCGTATAAATGCGATACAAGAACGATTACCATTTTGATTGTAGACTCCAACGCATCGCCCGTTTTTGTGAGAAGTTGTTGAGTTAGATGGCAGGCATACTTATTGTTCGATTTGTACGGCTCCACTATGTTAATTAGTATGAGGTCCAACAGCTCCACCGACAGATTATCGGCCTCGGTTATCAAGGGACTCAGTACGTCTAAAAAAAAGTTAGTAACCTTGGCACTGTGCTGGTCACTATAAAAAAATGAAACATTTCGTAAATTCTAGACACATTTGTTTGAAAAAAAAAGAAATTTACTTACTTTACAATTTTAAAAATAGTGCTGAAGAGCTCCTGAAAGATTTCTTGGCAGTCTTCTAGCTCGAAACACATATTAAACGATTTAACAAAGGCCAGGTTCTCTAGCAGATAAAAGTAGCGCTTGAACGAAGGATCCCGCGGATCCTTCAAGCCATGCAATTGCTTGATAAAGAACTTGAAGATGGTTTTGATTTGATCTTGCTCCTTGTAGGGCGCCTCGGGGGCATAAACTCGCAGGACATCCGCCACACAGCACGCAATAAGCAACTGCACGTCGCGCGACGTGTGCTGCATGAAGAAGTCGTCCAGGAGATGCAGGGCCAGGGGTATGTACTGCTGGTAGAGTTTGTCGTCCTGGTCCATGGTCTGCAGCACATTGGCGAGAGTCTAAAAACAAAAAAAAATAAATGTGACTTCCGATTTGGAGAACAACAAATGCATGGACTCACCTTCAGGCGGCGTATCAGCTCGTCAGTGCCCAGGTCCTCGACCAGCGGCCGACATCCGGTGGGGTACACAATGTCAGCCATCTTCGCTCAGGTTGGCGCTTCCTGGAAGCCAGATTGACTATTTAATAAAGGAGCACACCGCTTATGCCAAATAACAACATTATGTAGCGACCCTGTGGAAATAGCATTGCCAAATCAGAGGAGGGTGGCATTGCCAAGCTCCACACACACAGGCTCACACGCAAACACACACACTGAAGCTATAGTGGCGCACTTGCACGCACACTGACGTATTTGCAGTGTTTTTCTCTGCTCCCCAGCAAACAAAATACAACAAGCATCCAAATCATGGGCTCACGGCCCTGCAGTTATTCAATGCTTTACTTTAATCCGCAACAATTTGCGCTGTAGAAACCTTACTTTTCACAACTGCCAGGCAGCGGCAAAAGTTTTTGGCAATTTCGCGAGCCGCTTCTTTCGAAATTTTCAATCGAACTGCCGAATCAATTTACACTAGATAAGCTATATAGAGCAGAGGTAATTTGACATTTTCGGCCGTTAATGCTGTTTGGTTCACGGCGCGTATATTGCTAAAAACAAAAAAAGGAAAACTCTGGACGATTTTATGCGGAGTGGCACCACGCCATTAATTTGAAGAGTTGCCATATGTTTTCGAAAAGCAAGGTAGCTTCGCGATACACGTAAAGAACATTTTATCGATAAACCATCAGCTGATTAGGTATGGTTCATGGTCCCTACCAAAGAATAATATATTTGGTGGCTGACCTGAAAAATAATAGCTTCTATCTTTGAACCTACTGGTGGCGTTAGAGAAAAAATTCATTAATTTATCTGCTATGTGGCAATTCAGATATTAATTCAATCCTGGGGCGAATTCACGCTCTCATCCCAACATCACGCTTCCATCTCAAGTTGTTATGGTTCTTATCTTTGTTTACCTTTGCTAGAAGTTGACTTTTTTCACCTACAAGCTGCACTCCCACCGTGCTAACGGTTTTCTCTGCTTTCGAATGGGCGATGGCGCGCATGGCCACAACACAAAGGTAAGAATCTAAAACACTGCTCTTTTTACACCTCATGTTTTTATTTCTAATCCAATTAAGAAGGGGCACTGAAGTACGTGGCGATGCTGGTCAGTTGACCGCCGCCAGTTGCGCCAGTTTCACATTCCCCAAAATTATGAGTCGTCTTACGTAAATATTGCATGTGCAACGAAAGTTTAAATATAGACGCCGTCGACGTCCGCCAATGCAACGAACTTTGCCGCAGCTAAACCGAAAGTATTAATTAAAACATCCTAATCGATGTGAAACTGAATTATGGCTTCCTTGCGCATAGTTAATAGGTAAGCTCGATTAAGTTTCCCAATTACTTTTCAAATAAATTCTTTACTTTTTGAAACAGATTAGTGTGTCGTGGCTTCGTAGTACTAACTCTGCTACTAGTATTCTTCAATGAATGTATAGTCTATTACTTGGCCCAGTCCAGTTGGCAGCCGATTGATTGTAAACTGGGTAAGCTGTCCTGGTTTACTGACCTAATACCTGTACTGAGCTAATATTCATTTTTAGACAATTGCACACGCCTTTTGCTCATTGCTGACCCACAAATACTGGGCAACTCCTACGATCGCTCATCGCATAGCCCTTTGGCCCGGTACGATTCGGATAGATATCTGCAAAAGACCTTTGAGAGGGCCGTGTCGTTTACGCAACCACACATTATTGTGTTTCTAGGCGATTTGTTGGACGAGGGAAATATCGCCACTAGCCAAGAGTACAAGCAGTATGTGCGACGTTTTAAACGCATCTATCAGAATAAAAAGCTAAGCAATGTAGGTAGTTCGGGAGCTCATAACCGCCAACGTTGAATAATAGTTTCGTATGATTTCGGCATATTTTCAGCGTGTCCATGTGCCAGGTGACAACGATATCGGTGGCGAGAACGGTGACTACATATCCAACTCGAATCAAAGACGCTTCGAGAACGAATTTATGAGTGAGGACCTTTTCGACTATGACAATCGAATCCGCTTCTTTAAGATTAACCGTATGTTACTGGACTTTACCAATCCGGACCGAGATCATAACGCCGAACGCCTGCGGATTGGTGTCTCCCACGCTCCGTTGCTCATAGGAGGCGGTCCCTTGCTGCGGGCCATCATCAGTGATTTGGACCCTCATATCATTTTCACGGGACACTGGCACGAGTCCCGAATATTTATTTATCCATCCACCAAAGTTATCAACTTTTATGAGAACTCGGTGAGGCATTTTGATCTTAAGGCTTTGAAAGAACAGGAGCACAGCTATCTGGAGATAATGGTGCCCACCTGTTCATATCGCATGGGAAAGTCAAAGATTGGTATGGGCTATGCTGTGTTAGGTAAGTCTCCACATACTTATCTGTTTCATTAACGTTTCAATATTTTCAATTTAGAAAACTACAATCTCAGCTACACTGTCTTGTGGCAGCCAAATCGATTCATCCTGCTTTTTTCCTATGTTTTCTGGGGACTGTTTGTCGTCTGCGGTGCCGTCGTCTACAAGATGATGACCCGTTGTCCCTTCCGCGTGGCCAAAAGGCAGACGCTCTTTAACCGCGTCTCGACCATACCTCAATTTTAGACTGCAGCTGTCTCCAATCCTCACGGACAATAAACCCAAAATTCTCAAGAGTTGCTCGAATATACCCCATACGACAAGATATTAAAATTGTATTTATAGGAAAATGTAATCTAGGCGAATAGAGGCATTCATAGTTTTAATAAGTATTTATTGTATATTCTCTGGTCAAAAATGATAATTTTCTGTTTAAAGTTTAAACTAAGAAATAAAAACAACGAATGTCATCCAAAGCAATGTTTTTATAATTTATTGATGTAACATTTTTAAGGTTTATTTGATGCAGTTGATGGAGAATCGTTCCACAAATCGATCAAGGTAGGCCGCTCAAGAATCGGATGATTATTGGCAAAGATATAGCCACCGACGTGGGCCCTATTGAGCTCCATATGCATTTCTATAAATTTCAAGGGGATCCTCCAGAAAAAATCGAAAAAAATCTGAAAAATTTTTTGTTGGTAGGTTTTGATGCAGATTGATGGAGAATCGTTCCACAAATCGATCAAGGTATGTCTCTTAAGAATCGGATCATTATTGGCAAAGATATAGCCATCGACGTGGGCCCTATTGAGCTCCACATGCATTTCTATAAATTTCAAGGGGACCCTCCAAAAAAATCGAAAAAAATCTGAAAAATATTTTGTTGGTAGGTTTTGATGCAGATTGGTGGAGAATCGTTCCACAAATCGATCAAGGTAGGCCGCTCAAGAATCGGATGATTATTGGCAAAGGTATAGCCATCGACGTGGGCCCTATTGAGCTCCATATGCATTTCTATAAATTTCAAGGGGACCCTCCAAAAAAATCGAAAAAAATCTGAAAAATATTTTGTTGGTAGGTTTTGATGCAGATTGGTGGAGAATCGTTCCACAAATCGATCAAGGTAGGCCGCTCAAGAATCGGATGATTATTGGCAAAGATATAGCCATCGACGTGGGCCCTATTGAGCTCCATATGCATTTCTATAAATTTCAAGGGGACCCTCCAGAAAAAATCGAAAAAAATCTGAAAAATATTTTGTTGGTAGGTTTTGATGCAGATTGGTGGAGAATCGTTCTACAAATCGATCAATGTATGCCGCTCACGAATCGGATGAATATTGGCAAAGATATAGCCATCGACGTGACCCCTATTGAGCTCCATATGCATTTCTATAAATTTCAAGGGGACCCTCCAGAAAAAATCGAAAAAAATCTGAAAAATATTTTGTTGGTAGGTTTTGATGCAGATTGGTGGAGAATCGTTCTACAAATCGATCAATGTATGCCGCTCACGAATCGGATGAATATTGGCAAAGATATAGCCATCGACGTGGGCCCTATTGAGCTCCATATGCATTTCTATAAATTTCAAGGGGACCCTCCAGAAATGATTGGAAAAAATCTGAAAAATATTTTGTTGGTAGGTTTTGATGCAGATTGATGTAGAATCGTTCTACAAATCGATCAATGTATGCCGCTCACGAATCGGATGAATATTGGCAAAGATATAGCCATCGACGTGGGCCCTATTGAGCTCCATATGCATTTCTATAAATTTCAAGGGGACCCTCCAGAAATGATTGGAAAAAATCTGAAAAATATTTTGTTGGTAGGTTTTGATGCAGATTGATGTAGAATCGTTCTACAAATCGATCAATGCTAAGCAAAAGCTAAGCAATGTAGGTAGTTCGGGAGCTCATAACCGCCAACGTTGAATAATAGTTTCGTATGATTTCGGCATATTTTCAGCGTGTCCATGTGCCAGGTGACAACGATATCGGTGGCGAGAACGGTGACTACATATCCAACTCGAATCAAAGACGCTTCGAGAACGAATTTATGAGTGAGGACCTTTTCGACTATGACAATCGAATCCGCTTCTTTAAGATTAACCGTATGTTACTGGACTTTACCAATCCGGACCGAGATCATAACGCCGAACGCCTGCGGATTGGTGTCTCCCACGCTCCGTTGCTCATAGGAGGCGGTCCCTTGCTGCGGGCCATCATCAGTGATTTGGACCCTCATATCATTTTCACGGGACACTGGCACGAGTCCCGAATATTTATTTATCCATCCACCAAAGTTATCAACTTTTATGAGAACTCGGTGAGGCATTTTGATCTTAAGGCTTTGAAAGAACAGGAGCACAGCTATCTGGAGATAATGGTGCCCACCTGTTCATATCGCATGGGAAAGTCAAAGATTGGTATGGGCTATGCTGTGTTAGGTAAGTCTCCACATACTTATCTGTTTCATTAACGTTTCAATATTTTCAATTTAGAAAACTACAATCTCAGCTACACTGTCTTGTGGCAGCCAAATCGATTCATCCTGCTTTTTTCCTATGTTTTCTGGGGACTGTTTGTCGTCTGCGGTGCCGTCGTCTACAAGATGATGACCCGTTGTCCCTTCCGCGTGGCCAAAAGGCAGACGCTCTTTAACCGCGTCTCGACCATACCTCAATTTTAGACTGCAGCTGTCTCCAATCCTCACGGACAATAAACCCAAAATTCTCAAGAGTTGCTCGAATATACCCCGGACCCTCCAGAAATGATTGGAAAAAATCTGAAAAATATTTTGTTGGTAGGTTTTGATGCAGATTGATGTAGAATCGTTCTACAAATCGATCAATGTATGCCGCTCACGAATCGGATGATTATTGGCAAAGATATAGCCATCGACGTGGGCCCTATTGAGCTCCACACGCATTTCTTCAAATTTCAAAGGGGACCCTCCAGAAAAAATCGAAAAAAATCTGAAAAATATTTTGTTGGTAGGTTCTGATGCAGATTGATGTAGAATCGTTCTACAAATCGATCAAGGTATGCTGCTCAAGAATCGGATGATTATTGGCAAAGATATAGCCATTGAAGTGGGCCCTATTGAGCTCCACACGCATTTTTCCAAATTTCAAGGGGACCCTCCAGAAAAAATCGAAAAATATCTGAAAAATATTTTTTTGGCAGGTTTTGATGCAGATTGGTGAAGAATCGATCCACAAATCGATCAAGGTATGCCGCTTAAGAATCTGACGATTATTGGCAAAGATATAGCCATCGACGTGGGCCCTATTGAGCTCCATATATCCCTACGTTCACTGCTCTTATTTAGTATTATTTTTCCTTCTGCAAGAGTATGTTACGGATTTGAAAGTGTAGTGGCGCAGTATTTGAAATAGGAGTAGAACAGGGTTGTTCGGAGTAGGAATGAAATAGAGGGAAATAGTGGGTTCAGTTGAGGGCGCATGTGCGGACCGTGCGACGACTGCCAGGCAGAGAGGCCTGATGCGGCGTCAATCGAGTTCTGAGACCGAACGTGGACGGTTGTGCCCTCCACAGAGCAACTTGATCCCCGGGCTCTGCGTCAGCGGCAGGATAATAAAGCGTGACGCGTGTGCGTATCATAAAAATAACCATAAAGCAAAGGCTCTCTCCACTGGATGCGGAGTGAAAGAAATGTAATGAAGTGAAATAAAGTGAAGTGAAGTATATCGAAAAAACCTACCAAGGCAAACGGAATTCCTTCCAAAATCGGCAATAAATAAAACAAAAAAATAAGAGCACACCGGTTCTGTGCGCGAAAGAAACGAAGGAAGTACGAAGTGAAATCAAAAGAATTCTTCGGGATCGCCATGGAGCTGAACGGAAGACGATTGTTGAACTGCGGCCTGGGATTCTTCTGCCTGATCTTGTGCTGTTACGGTGAGTTAGGTCAGCCGGCTGACTCATCTTCCAGCTAAAACTGGTCCATTATCTTCCCCACAGCCGCTCCATTATCGTTCGAGGATGTGAGCATCTCTTACGGCCCCCAACCCACCACTACCATCAAGGAGCAGAGTGCTTTGCAATTGCCCTGCAGCTACCAACTGCCAGATGAGTATCTGCAGGACAAAAGCGTGATACTCCGCTGGCGGAAGGATAACAAAACCCTTCGCCAAACGGAGCTGGGCCGGATGAGTGGCACCACCAGTGAACCGCAACTGGAGAGCATGCTGCGCGAGGATTCCCGAGTGGTCCTGAACAAGAACGATGGCTCCCTGCAATTCGCCAGCGTATTGGCCAGTGATGCTGGTCAATATCAGTGCCAACTGGTAATCGAGGGCCAAGTGGCAGCTAGCTCCAATAATGGTGTGGTATCAATCATCGAGCAGCTTAAGTTTATGCCACAGCCAACGTCCAAGAACCTGGAACTGGGTAGCCTCAGTAAAGTGCATTGCAAGGCTCAGGGAACTCCCTTACCTCAAGTTCAATGGATGAGGGTGAGTTCCAAAATTAAATCTTAAAAGTATTTTCAATATTTAGTCAAGAATCTCTTTCAAAACCCCTTAATATTCCACATCTAAAATAATGATTTTTTGTTACCTTTCCAGGAAAACAATTTACCCCTTCCTGTTAATGTGACGGACCAGAATGGCACCCTAATCTTTGCCCAGGTGAGCAACGATCAGCGTGGTCAGTACACCTGCATGGCCTCCAATAGCCAGGGACAAATCAGCGCCACTGTCTCCATCAATGTGGTCGTCGCACCCAAGTTCAGTGTGCCACCCGAGGGACCCATCGAAGTGGCAGAGTCGGGAACTGCCGTCATCCACTGCCAGGCGATTGGAGAACCCAAACCCACCATCCAATGGGACAGAGACCTTACCTATTTCAATGAAAACAACACGGATGCGGAGCGTTTCTTGATAATGGAGAACGGCACCCTGGAGATCCGGGACGTGCGGCCAGAGGATGAAGGCAGGTACGGCTGCACCATTGGCAGCAGTGCGGGACTAAAGAGGGAAGATGTCCTGCTGGTGGTCAAGACCAGCAAATCAGCATCAAATTCCATCATTACCAGAATCATTATTGTGATCATCTGCTTGGCGTTCCTCTACTTCGTACTGGTGCTGGGGCTGAAGGTCTGGTACCGGTATCGCCGTCATCTGGGCAAGGTGCAGCTTGAGGATGGCCATGCCCATGCCCCCACTGATGGCCAAGAGCACGCCGAGCACGAGCCCTGCCTGACGGAGGCGAACTCCAGCAAGAATCTGAAGAGCAAGCTGCGCGAAAGCACAATCCTGGAGCAGGAGTCGCAGGTGGCCGATGACATTGTGTGAGGAGAATAGGATGCATAGCCATTTCCATGATCTCGGCACCTGCCATTCTGCAAGTGTTACTCCATTTTGTTGTTGAAAATGAAAAGGAACTTGTGAAATCCCCCCCCAAACCCCAAAAAAAGTAAAGAAACCTATTTGTATTTATATTTATCTAGTATATATGTATTTATGCATGTGTGTCTCTGTGTATATATATCCATGTACAGTTATTTTTTAGTAGAATAAATATTTTTATGGCTCTCATAGAGCCCCATTTTATAGCGCAATCGTTTCAATCATTCTCTTTTTGCGGGTGCACCAGGAATGGGAACGGGAATGGGTGGAGTTCTTCTGTGGGCCTCGTAAAATTCCTTCCATCATTCCACCATCATAAATTCGTTGCCCACTTGGTCGGGCCGTAAAGCCCATGGAACCCGGATGAGCGTTCAACAGCTTTTTATGCGCTTTTTATGACGAAAGCAGCGCTTCGAATGACGGGCTACTTGACGGGCTCCAAAATAACATAAACCAAGAAACCCAACCCCCCCGATAAAAAGTCGTAAAGTCTCTCCCCCTATTCGGGGATGATTCTTTTAAATGAATACAATGATATGGATAATGTTAGAAGAAAAACAATAGTTTGATCATCAACATAAAAGTAATAAGTTAAAGTATCAAAATAAAGTCAAAAAGAATGAAAGTCTAAAAGAATAAATCTTCGTAAACCTCAATTACTCTTAATTCTTTGATTATTTTATTAGCCACTCAACACATGTTGAACTCAATGTCCCCTGGCCAGGATGCAATTGTAAACCTTTGAGGGAGTCACCCTCTTATGTCATCATATGCCATCTCCCTGAGGCCCATCATCAAGTGACTTTGCCGACGACAATTTCTTTCCAATTGCCAGCGTCTGCACTTAATCGCTTCATTTCCATTTCCATTTTCATTCCTGCTCCATGGCTTCAATACCAATTGCCTTTAGCTTATTTTTCCGCCTATGAGTTTTATGCATATTTTATGGTTTTTTATAGCGCTCGAATAAACAACACATCAAAGGCAACTACACATGCGCAGGTTACTCCATGCCGATGTTGATGCCGGTGCAGGCACACGATAAAAAAAAAGTAAGCGGCAAGTGCAATTAAACGACCACCCCTGCTTTAATGTCTACCCATCCCATCCCATCCCAGGCCATGCCCAGCCATGCCAGGGTATCCTAGGCACCCACCTCTTCTTCATACTATACCATTTATATATATATATTCGACTGATTCGCGCCTTTGATCTGATGCGGCGACTACGACATCGACATGCATTAAAAACCTGTAGTTGGGGGCCCTTCCGTTGATGTTTTCCCGGCTCTTCGATTTTCTTTCTTGTACTTTTTGGCCTTATTTGTTTACAGTGGATAGCTATGCCTCTGGGCTTGTGCCTGGGTGCCTGGCCAGAAGAAACACCTTCCTAATTGTTTATTTTGTTTAGTCTACGCAAAGGCCGCGTTACTAAAAATTTATTTTAATGCCTACGAAATGTTTGATGTTTGGTAGCGTTTGGTAGATTCTCCCCAGAATTCTTCGGGATGCTCCATAAAATTATACGATCGCCAGGCGTTGAGTAACGGTAAGCAGTTGAAAATAATAACTTTAACATTTATGGACCTAGGCGGATTCCTCCAAACTTCCTCAAAAGATGAAAGGCTGTAGTTTTGTAAATTTCCTTTCATGACCCAGACTATCAGATTCCTAAAGAATATTTTTTTCATATTTCCTGAATTTGTAAATAGGCTTAATTATAATGTGCAACCCTCATAGGGTTAAAAATATAAATACGACTTATTCAATTAACAGGAACTATATCCTTTAACACAACCCCCTTTTTTTTGGCAAATTATTAACACACCATTTACAGTTTTTTGGTTCTACTGATCGTCTACACCCCAGAAATGAAATAGAGGACTAAAAAAATAACATGGAACCAAATCCAAAAACAACAGAAATCATAAAACATAAGCCCTACACATTCGGGCATTCGGGCATGGCATAAATCTCCAACTTTATGACATCAATAACTGTCGTTTCGTCCAAAGTCGGCGGGCAATGGAAAATGGGAAAGCGCAGTGCCCTGGGAGGGCCCAACTTTGGATGGTTCCTTCGCCCTTCCTAGGTCTGTCCAACATTTGATAACCACACTCACACACACATATTACCATGCCGATATAATCACAAAAGGGCCAGGGCTGTTAATAAGGGGCGGTGAGGAGGATGAGGTGGAGGGGAGGGTTTAAGGAAAAACGGGGGAGGTCACCACCCCTCCGCACGCATACGCATACGCATCCGAATATCCGCAACCGCGCGGATATATAGTTTATACAAATGGCAGCGGCATTTTACGACTGTTGGGTGTCAGTCAACGCCGGGCCCAAGGATCTGAATCTGCTGCAATTGTTTTTGTGTGGCTCTTGGGTTGGTTTTTCCTATTGTGCGGGGTTGAAAGGCCTCGTAAAAAATACAAGCGGAAAACTATAAAATGGAAAACACCCAGAGACCCAGCCACACACCACACGCATAAATACACACAGTAGTCTCAGCTAACTGTCTTAGATGGATGTGTTCCAAGGGGCAGGCAGCAGGGACAGGCAGCGGCCTATTGCAGTTTCCCCAAGCGCGCGTGTATCTGCTCGTAAAAACAGCAAGCCACCAATGGATTCACCTCATCCTCCGGCCCGACCACCCCATTTTAGTCGCTTCCTCGGTTTGGTCATTAAGGCGCATTATTGTTTGGATTTAAAACCGGGGGAAGCAACGGGCGGTTTTGAAATGATAACTTTGGGCTGATTACCAAATGATAGATGATAGCTTCATTTGGCAGTCCTGACTTTTAATCGTGTCTTTTAATCAACTGGAACGTGTGTGTGTGTGAACTACATATACATATGATTATGAACATCAAGAATAGATTAATTTTTAAATAGTTACTTAGTACTTATACTTATTAAAATCGATACTTACATAGTAACTATTTGAAAAGTTGTTCCTCATGAGAATTGTTTCAAAATATATCTTCCATTTCCATACATATCTTCCTTCCAATATATATATTTTATCTTAAAAATTAACTCATTTTTTATATAACCAAAAATACACTTTCAAACTTTGGCGCCTAAAATACTCGGCCTGCAGCACGGCAACACTGTTTATAATACAGGCACTGAACCCAGTATTTCGCACCAACACACTCTCAGCCCGGAAAGCCGGTTCCCACCAACAACTGGAAACAGCCGGCAGGGAGTTTAATAATAAACAGACTTCGAGCGCGTGCAGTTCGCTTCGATTAGATACTCCGCTCCGTTTCGTTCTGTATCTTTCGGATACGTTTCCAGTGCGAGTTGTGTGCGACTTCCCCCAGTGACTTTGTGAGGCAAGGCTGGCTAGTCGTACGTACCCCTGCCCCAGAACATCGGGTGGCGGATTCACCCACCAAAGCCGGTTCGGGATGCCAAGGATGCAACAGCAGATGCAGCAGCAGCAGCAGCAAGCAACAACAAAAGCGGCAACGGATTCAAGGCATGCCTTTGTATCTTTCGGATACAAATTAAGTTGATTTGTTGCGCTCGGTATCGGCTCGCGTTCTCTTGGGTAATTGAACTCCCGCCTGCAACCGCCTCGCTGCGCCGCATCGTTCCGTTCCTCGTCTGTCGTTTGTCGTGGCCCACGTATCTGCGTCTTCGAGCATTGCATTTTGTGTATCTAGATACCTTTGTCGGTATCCGTCAGATACCGCGTTCTGCTGCCCGGTGCCCGGTGCCCGCTGCTTGTCGCTTGTCAATCTAGGCACTGATAAAGAATAAAACGCAACCACGAAACATAAACCAACACCAACAGTAACAACATAAAAAAAAAAACCCAACAAACAGCAAGTGGCGTATCTCTTTTGGCTTTTGGTGTCTCTGTGTGTTCGGTGATAAATGCATTTCATGCGTTCCAACTATGTAAATAGCAATTTAATTTGAGTGTCCACAGTAAATATCAAAAAACCGCCCTCTCCGCCGTCTGTGGACTCTTCACCCACTCGGCACCACCATCGTTACCACCACCACCCATCCCACACCATCCCATACAGGGGGTAAACCACTGAAAAAGGGCAGTCGTCGTGGTCGTTGGAGTTGTCGTTGTCGTCGTCGTCATCGTCTGGCATCCAAATATTGAATATTTACAAATGCGTTGAGTGCATTTTGGAGTGGCCGGCACTTATAGCGACTCTCCTCCGGGTGGATGTGCCAGGGTATCAACTCCCATATCGACTTTATCCGATTCGCGTGTGAGTGTTCGCTTTTTTTTCCATCACTTGCTAATTGAGAACAGAGCTGCCAAAGGACACTTGAAAAGGATAAAACTACCAAATACGGATATGGCGGCTGTAAGGATCTCAGTTTTGGTTCTATTCCAAGCTTTGATGATGGGTAAGTGGAGTGGGTGGCTCAAAACGGGGTTTGTTTTTCTATCTGGTGGTATCTAAATTGAAACATTATTTGATTTGAGTTCATTTATCCGAAGGGGCATCGCGTTTATTTGTTTGTTTTTCTTGGCTTGGTATTGGGATTTCATTTATTCTGGAACCGGATTGGATATTTTTTCCGCAGTGCCAACTTCAAAGGAATCACAACATTTGCTTTGAATATTTGCCATTCCATATAGTGAATGAAGCCATCCGTAATGTGGATTCTATTAGCCGCCCTCAGGGCTAAAGAATTTTATTCTTTGAGGGCTATGCCAGAATTGGAAGCCGAAGGAAACCAAACACCCGACGTGCCTTTGTCTCTGGCAATTGAATTTGAAAAGCAGGCAGCGTGAAAAATGACTCAATTAAAAGTCAGCCAGGAGCCTGTTTTAGCCACCCATCTGGCAGAACTAATTTCAAATAGAGGAGCGACTTACCAAGTCCTAGGGCAATCCTAGCGGGAGAGGTAGCAGTTATGAGAAGGCTCTATTGAGAAGAAGGACATGCCGGGCAACTTCAAAAAATGAAGTCGTTAGGCAAACAACAATAATAACAAACGAAAAGGACTCCAAGCAATTGAAAAGAAAAGCAAATAAGGGCAGGAAACCAATACAGAGAACAAAAATATAGTAACCACAAAATCAGATAAAGTATTTTCATGAAACCTTATTCCAATATTATTTCTCCAAGTGCACACAAAACACATTTGAAATAAAAAGGACTTGGCAGGCAAGGATCAGTAAGGGCCACTTGAAGTGAGACAAGCGACGCCGAAAATTCAGCTAATCAAATATAGTTTACCGGCAGGATTATAAGAGGGATCGGACCAAGACGAAAGGGGATCTCTCTCTCTAGAGGGTCTCAAGAGGGACACGACGATTATGCAAACTAAAGTCCTTAAATAAGGATATGTGTGTGTGTGTGTGTGTGTGTGAGACAGGACCAAGATGAAAACTGCTGACTGTTAAGTAGCACAAAGGCAAACAGCCGCAAACAAAAGCCAGCCGGCTGCCGACTGCTGACTGCCGTCTGCCGGCAGACACTGGCAGAGCGAGAGGGCTAGAGTCGGGATGAAAGAGAGGGGACGAGTCGCATATTTCAAAATCTGTGCAACGCTACAAAGGTCCATTATTTGTATGGCAAATAATGTGGCTGTCAGTATGTGTGCGAGCTCCTTTTGTGTGGCAGTCATAATTTGTTATTCAAGCATGCAAAATGCTGCATGCAACATGCCAGGCCAAAACCCAAAAGCATCGCATCCCACATTAAGGGCAGCTGTGTGGCAGCAACTCTGCCAGCAACTCTCCTCCTGTCCGCCCTTCTGCCGCCTGTCTGCCAACTGCCTGCCTGCCCGTGTCCTTCGTCAGCCTTAAAGACTTCAAGTCGAAAGTTCCCTTTCACAAATTACCAGGGGGATAGAGTATGGCAGACTAGATTCCATGAATCAACATTAAATATCAAAAAGGTTACTCCAAATTAAATTTCAATCCCATCATGAAATCCTGCTCCTTTCAAACGAAATAAAATCCAAGCTCAATCGTTTCTGACGTATAATTGTCTGACATATTTCCACTTTTCATTCAGTGTCTGACTGACAGTTGACTTGCAGTTTTTCCGGCAAACGTTTCCCAGTTTCCCAGCCAGACAAAATGCCACAAATTCCAGAATGACAGTTCACTTTTCTTTAACCTCCAGCCCTCCATCCCACACTCCCCCATCGGAAATCAAATCAAAACGCCACCCATGGGGCAAGTTCAAGTGGCTGCCACAGTGGGTTGCCTGATTATTACAACAATATTTCGCATTCATTGTGCCTAATCGACAAATGTTGCCGCACAATTTGCGGCAGTTGGAGTTCAAGTTGAATCACTATCCGGTATCTGGTATCTGCCTTGAATCTGAATCTCAAGATGCTATATGCTGATGAGCAGGAGGCCTCAGCAGTGGGTCTCTACTCCAGTCCAGTCCCGGCCAGTCCGCCTTCTCAATTCTCGATTCCCCGATTCCCGGATTCCCGGACTGATGCTGCTTTTACGGCTGCTGACTTGCTGATTTCGGTTATTTAAGCCAAACAAACGAACTAATTATCACACACACGCACCCTCCAAGATAGTGAACGGCATAAACGAATAATACACTGAGAATATAGTTTTTATTTTGATATTTTTAATAAAAAATGTGCTAAAGATACATTTCAATCTGTGGTTATTCTTGGCCCTAATAGGCCATTAATATGGGACGATCCTTAAGACTTTATATGAGAAGCTAAACTGTAATAGTTGCATAACTAAAGTTATATCCATTCCTCAATGTAAATCCCCTATTTATTTTTTAAGTGTACTTCTTACAGACAAATCGAGCTGGGCAGTTGGAACTTGGGACTGCCCGCTGCTCCGTGGCTTTGTCGCTGTTGTTTGCAGCATCAACACTTTTTCTGTTTGTGCTCCTGCCCCTCATCTGCTCCATCTCTGGGCCGCCTTCCTATAATTTCTTGGCGGCCCCCCGCCCTGCCGCTCTTAACGCATTTTCAGGCCCACATCGGCGCAATCAACGTGGCAGACGCACCAGGCCAAAAAAAAAAGAGAGTGGGGCGCATATTTCTTTAATCGACGCCCAGTAACTGACTTCCAGGCCCCCGTCTGTACCCCCTTTCGAACTCGTTTTCCGCACGGCAAATTAAATCGATTCAGAGGCGGGGAAGGGCATGGACCCTGGGGAGGTGGAGCAGATCCAAGCGCCTGGCCAACCGCCTTTTCGGTTGGGTCTTGGGTCTTGTATCATAACACGTCGTCCGGCTATGTGACTGGCATGTATGAGAAAGCCTTCAGCCCTCAGCCTCGGTTGCGACCCCAACTGGCTTTAATGATGTTGTTGTTGGGTGTGTTCTTGGCCCGCTTATTGATTCCGTGTCGTGGTCTGGATGCATGGTCTTGGCCAGAATACTGGCTTCTCCTGGCTCCTGCTCCCCACAATCGGAGAGGTGTTGTCTCAAATTGCTCCAATTAGTGGCCAAATATAATGGTTGCCGTTTTGCTCAACTTGTTCCCTCGTACAATCAGAAATAATTGCTTTTGAATTGCTTTTAGTTTCAAATCATGCCTCTGGCGCCTTTTGCCTTTACCTCTGGTACCTCTGGATATGCATATATCCTGTCAGCTCATTAACTGATCCTGCATACACCTCTCCATGGAATTGCATTAAAAAAAATGTCACAAATTGCATTTTGCGGCTGTTGATTTAATATAATAACCAAATTGCATTCTCCAGCCATAAAAAAAAGTTAAATACATAAATTGAATGAATGAAAACATATTTCCGAGCTTAATATGTCTCCTCTTTTTTTGCTGCTGGTCCTGCCCGTTTTTTATGGCCGTTTTTTCTCAGGGCTTTTAATTATGTTGGAACAGAGCTGGGTATACGTTTTTTTTGTTTATTTTATTTTTTCGTGCACATATTGTAATTTTGTTTTGAGGACACGCAACTCCAGTTGGAGCCAGCAAGCCACCATGTTGGTTGGAGTTTCTTTTTAAAGCATATGGTTAATGGATACTCTTTCCTAAAAAATATTCATGTATTTAAATATTATTTAAATCCTTTATTAAAGGATTTAGGGCTTTTTAACCTCATACATTTTATTTAGAATTATTTACATGTTATATTTATAATATATACACAATAAAACATAGAGTATCTCATTTTTTCGTTCAATTTCTCTTTTAACTTTGTTTTTTTATGGCTTTTTTGCTCCTTTTTTTTAGCTTGCTGCTCTTGGAAAGTGCTTAACAAAATTACATTTCCGTTAAATACTGTAATTTAAGCAGCTTAAGCGTATTTAATTTGTTTAAACCACTTTAATTTAGGCAAAATTATAGTACACTTTTGCGATATTGTACGAAAAGATAATGTACCATATAATACCTACTAATACTTTGTAATTTATTTGTTGCACTTGCAGCTTTAGTTGTGGCCAACTCATCACACTTCCTGCAACTGCCCCAAAGTCAGTCGGTTGTGGAAAACGAATCCGTTGACTTTGAATGCCGGGCCACGGATCCAGCCAGCGAATTGCATTACGAGTGGCTGCATAATGGTAAGGGTCTTGGATATATAGTATATTTGCATACCATTTGCACCATTCCGCCATTAAACTATTTTGTGTTGAATTCCAGGACATCGGATGGCGTATGACAAGCGTGTCTATCAAATCGGCTCCCATTTGCATATCGAGGCGGTGCAACGTGCCGAGGATGTTGGCGATTATGTTTGCATTGCCACAAGTTTGGCCAGCGGCGCCAGGGAGGCGTCTCCCCCGGCCAAATTGAGTGTGATATGTGAGTAGTTATTTGATCCCTTCTACTCATACATACATACTAGTACAAATGCTAAATGGTTGCAATCAGCAAATTGACTTTGAATTGGTTAAGTTGCAATGCAAGTCCCTGATTCTTGGCTTGTTTCAATTAACAAAGGAATATGGTATAGGGTTTGAGAAATAGACTTTCACTGAGAAAAATTTTAGGTTCAAATAGAGGTCTTTCCTTCCAAAGAGTTCTCTGTAAATAGACTTTATGATAAAGATCTTAAATTCTAAAACTATAAGCTTAACTTTAAATTTCCTTTAACTTCATATTCAAGTTCACAGACCTTTTAAATGTTTTTTTTTTTCAAAGTGGAAGTGAAAATATCTGTAGACAGGGGGCCAATTCATTTGATTAATGCTGCATTTAATGGCATTCCTAGCTCCAACTCCCTGCCCGGCACTGCCCCGACCCCTTTTTTTGTAGATCTGGGCAAACCACAAGATACAACACAAAGGTAAAGAGGCATAAAAATGCAACCGAAGCGGCCAAGACAACACTAACACTAACAACAAACTGATGAAAGATAAAAACCGAAAGTTTTGATGTACATGCGTCAGATATAGTGCCCCAAACCCCAACCCTTGCCACAGGAAGTGCAGTGCAGTGCACAAAATGCAGTCCCATGCAACAGAGCATGAAAGGCAAAAGAACTAAATGAAGAAGGCCTACACCGAAAGAAAATTCAAAGACCCAGAGAATCCAAAACAAAATTAAACAAAAAGTTTTAGATAGTTTTCATAAAGCTTTTTATAATTAAACTTTAATATATAATTTATTTAAAATATTCTTCAATATAAATGATTTTTTTCTGTGCCTTTCTGATAGTTCCCTCTCCAAGTAGCAAGTGCAGTTGCAGTTCTTGGCCGCGGCCTTACGTGATTGATGTTCATTTAGTTGCATTTGCCTTTAAGCAGAAAAATGCATAAATTTAACAAACAGTCCGCCCCTGCCCCTGCCCCTCCACCCCTCCTCTTGTGGATGTAAACAAAATGCAAGTTTTTATGCACAATCTGGAGTGCATGTGTTTCGGAGGAGCAGGAGCAGCTCCTCCCATTGTAGAGATATATATCTGATGTATCTGGTTGCTACCAGACCTGTCAGCACGGCCTCGGCATCCGCGTTCTGATCAAAGCCACCCAACAGCAGTGGATGGGCTATTTATATCCCGGCCTCATCTCAAGTGTTTTTAGCTAATTAATTAACTAATTAATTTGTAGTTTCGGGAGTTGATTTTAATTGCCGCTGCAGCAGGAGCATCAGCAGCAGCACCAGCAGCTGTTGTTGTTGAAAGCCCATGGGGCAGGATGGGAGGGATGTACATCTTGGCGCCAGCTGAGGCTAAGTGGGTTATGTGATTACAGCCCCCTGCCAGAGTTTCCATCAATCTCATAACTTTTGAGGAGCAGACAAAAACTATTAAAATATGCATGGCGCTTCTCCGCTTCTCTGGCTGGTGTCTCATTTATTTTCCATGACTCTGCTGGCTCCAGCTTCAGCTCCATTGTCTTTTTCCGGGGATTTTCATCTTTTCATCTTTTTTGGGGGGAAATAAGTGTTCAATTAAGCGCAAGAAAAGTGACATTTTTGCTTGCAACATTTAACAAATTTTAGAGAGAAAATAAAGAGAAAGGAATTAAAACAGTAGAAATGCTTTAGAAATAAGAGACTTTTATATACCCTGAGAATTTAAAGGATAACTCGAGAAATTCCTCATAAAACAAACATAATTCTACTTGAAACCTATACAGATCCTTATAAAAAATAATGAAAAGTTGATCAGTTTATCTATATTAGTATAGATATCTACATATTCCAATTCCTCAAAGAATTACCAGTAATTTCGCCCTCCAATCCTAATGGAAAAGTTAAGAGGACCATAAAAAGTCGCTGCCAAATGCTGACAGTGCTTGAAAACTAACCAATGACTACAAAGAATTAAGCAGACAGCGGAGGAATTAAACAGACAGTGAACCGGCAATAAAAGCCGTCAGGACCCAGAATCAAGTCAGGGCCAAAACAAAAAGGAGCGAACCAAAAGGAGTCAGACTGAAACCAGACGACTGGCAGTCACAGTCACAGTCCTCGTCCTCGTCCTCGTCCTGGCAGACAGACGGGGAGACATTCCAAACATTTGCTCAGTGAAAGGGGTTGTTGGACTCTCAGGACTTCAGTTCGGGATATATTCAGGACTCGGCCGAACAGCTGAGCGAAGGTGGATGGGGGTGTATGTTGGAAAACAGAATGTGTTTGTATGCTGAAATGTACGGGGGAAATGAAATGCAACATTAACACGAAACATAAACATAAAATGAGAAATGGCAGCAGCAACATCAGCAGCTCACCAGCTCAGCAGCAGCAACAATGGCAACCAAACAGCCAGCAAAGTCATAAAAACCAAACAAAATGCAAAGACACACCAAGTAAACCGAATTCAAGGGGGGGAGGGGTGGAGCAGGGCAGGACACAAAAAGCAACCCTCAAATCAGCACAACAGCACCCCCATCAGACATACCAGAGTATCCAGTACCCAGTACCCAGTACCCAGTGTATATATCTGGGCTCTAGACACAAGTTCAAGTTGACTGCAGTTGCCAAGTTGGGTTTTTATTTTACGAACGATGGCTAGGCAAGGGTGGTGTTACGAAATCTGGGGGATTCATCGAGGGGAGGAACCGGATAATTTTCATTTTGTGAATGCCGGAAAAACGCATAAAATTTTACGAGCCGAGCTCGGAGCCCGGAGAACATTAAAGAGGACGCAGGACTGTCAGACAGACAGGAAAGACAGAAAAACAGAGACCCACAGACACGAGCTTGGAAATAGAAAACTGTAGCCAACTTTTTGGCGCGTTCTCTCCATCTCTGTTACCCCATTATTCCCTACTCTTTCCAACTCTAGGATTTTCTATTTATTTTGTGTGATTTTTACTTTACTTTCTTCTTGGTTTTTTTTTTGGCATTTATTTTACTTTTGGCTTTTCTCTGTTGTTACACGAGTTGATCATTAGCAACTTTTGGGGGCAAGCATTAGAGGGCAGCAGTAAACAAGGGCGTAGGTTAAGGATATTGGAATTAAAAAAGGGGTATACAAAAATCAGTAAAGATATCCTCTCTAACTCTCATGTTTTTCGTTTAAATCGAACATCCTTTAAAGCCATTTTATCCCCTTTAAGTAAGCCCCTGGCTAATAGAAATGGGGGAAAATTGTCAGGATTTCCCCAAACGCTGACTATGTGCGATAATCGAATGTTTAACGTTTTAATTTGAAAACCGTACCATTTCGAAGGGGGAGCTGAGAGACATCCACCGAGACCGGGACTGGCCAACTTTAATTAAAGATCCCAGCGATAACGCACTGGAACACTTGCTAGCTGTGACCCAGACGGTCAGTTGTAGTCATAAATTTCCCAAGAAAATGGCCATAGCGACTGGAAAAGCCGTAAAAGAGGAAAAAGAATATCAAATAGATTGGCATGAAAATCAGTTGATGAAAAAGTTCTCATCGAGTTCTGTCAATGGATGGAAAACGAGCTGGGAAGTACTTAGTTTAGTGATGATCTGAAAGGAATTCTCTAATATGCAATAACCGGAATCATCGTAGAATCGTTCAGTAGCAGCCCCCTACCATTTTCAATTGCATCTGCGCCAATTTGTGAAATGGGTCAATAACTTGTAAGCCGCTTTGTGCACCACAACAGCATACAGAGAGCAGAGAGTGCCCCCCAAACCGATTGAAGTGAAATGGAGTGGAGTGGCCAGAACTGGCCAACGAGCTGCCATAAGTCCATTAACGTTTTACAATTACTGCCGGCCACTTCAGAAATTCAGCCACTTCTATGGGCTCTCCGGGCCATAATAAGTATTCCAACCCCTTTGGGAGCACCTCCACTCGGTTTATGACATTTCCACTACAGTTCGATTCACAACTCCGGTTTTTTTTTTAATCAATTTTCGATTATCAATTAATTATATTTTCTTTATGGAAAGTCAGCAGAATGCAGGCAATGCATTCAACAAGTGGTGCTATCTTATCGGTTGACGAAATAAGACTCGGTCGGCACACTTATACCATTCCTTTGGATCCAATTTCTTATATTCGATAAGAACGATCTGCTCCGGGAACTGTCAATTCCGATATCTATAATTCCGCCTGCCTGCCTTGCCGCATTTACTTCCACTTTGTTTACTCAAGACGAGTTTATGCCGCGACTCTGCTGTTTCTGTATGTTTTTTTTTTATGGTTCCCGCTCCCCTAAATTCCATCAATTGTTTACAGCGTTTCTGTGGTTTATGCTCCCAGCCAAAAGGCAAAAAAAAAAAAGAAAAAAGTTGAACAAATTTATTTTGTTTTGGAGCCGCTTTTGGAGGCATTGGTTTACTTCGTTTTATTTTCCCATTCCCATTCCCAGTCAGAGTCAGAGTGTTTACCTCGCCTTGCACGTTCAACGTGTGAATGATGGCCGCCTTCCGACCCCCGCCCACTTTTGCAACACCCCTGGCCCTCTCCTGGCATCCAACACCTTCGTTTGTGGCAGCAGCTGTAGGTGTCAAAAGATCTCTGCAGCCTCTGACGTTGCATACATCAGCCTAATGAGACGCTCGTTAATTAGCGAGACGCGACTGGCAACGGCAACGGGCATTCTAATTTGAGTTACAGTTAGTTGATGAAAGCCCCAGTACTCGCACCTGCCAGGTAGTCAGCCATGGAGAGTACTAACTCCGAAACCCAACTGCCCAGAATGGGTCGTTTCAAAAGATAAAGATTTATGGGCTTAAGCTCGCAAATGGGAAACAAAAGTACCCTGTCTGACACTTTTTTTGGATACTGTTTCTTAAAGCTATGAAGTACTATTAATAGACCCACACACCTAATCCAATTATCTATTAGATACTCCTAGATATGTGGTAGCCAGAAATCCTGAAACTCCATCTCTAATCATCTGCACACTTTACCTGGCTGCTGCTCACATCTCTCGCTTGTTTGGCCATCCATTAGATACTTGGATACTTTTGTTCAGAATCGCAGTCGCACAGTCTGAGTGTCCCCTTCCACCGACTGGATGTCTAAGTGCCAATTAGTTCACTCTACTGTCATTTTAGTCGTAACATATACCAAAAGTTTGTGCCACAGGCCAACCGAGCGAGTATCCGTCAGTACGTTTCTGTATCTGACGGACGTGCCCCAACACAAATACAAATACAAAAAAAAAACACAAACCAAACACATTTCAAACTTTTGACACTTCCTCGACGGCCTCGGAGTCGGAATCGGAGTCGGAGACGGAGACGAAGACACCGGTCTCTGTTTATTGAGTTGTTGCTGTCGCTCCATAGCTCCTCCGGTCTTGGGCTGTTTTTGTGCTGCTGCCACCAAATAAGTGTCTACAAATATTTAGAGGAATTCTTTTTTTTTTCTATTTCTTGTATTCTCTTCGCTGAGTCCACTGGCAAGAGGCAAAGTCAAAGGCAAACAAAGTCAGAGCCCCAAACAAGATTTATGAGCATATGTAAATTTTTCTAACGCGGCCAGAAAACCTGGCAAACATTCGTAGATAGGAAAATATCCATAAAACATACATCTACCATTTCGCTTTGGTCTCAGATAAAAAAATGCTTTATGAAAATTATGGGGGAGTATGCGGGGAAATTCTGAAAAAGAAAATACAATTTAAATAAATTATTAGAGGAACCAAATTAAAAGGAGAACCGAAGAAACATGGCCCTGGCGATTAGTAATTATCACAACAAGACACAAAGGAGTATCTCAAAGATTGCAGCTGGAAGATTGGAGGCCAAGATATGTATCTGGAGAATGGCGTGTCTGCAACATGACTGGCCACGCCCCTAGCGCCTTCGGATGCCACTAAAACATAAATTAAACCCTATGCCAGGGCATGCAACACATTCTTCTCTTCTATTGCAGTTTTTCCTTTTTTTGTTGTGAGTTCCATGCGCTTTTCTTTTCTGCCACAAACTCTATTTTCTCATGCAGCAATTGTTGGTGGCAAGTACCGTTCCATTCCGTTCCGTCTGGCCAGAAGAAAACATAAAGCCAGGCAGGAAAAGCGATGGAAAAGCATATGAGCATTTACATACGAGCTAGGGAAAACCATGGAGGGTATAGGAGGAGAGATAGGGTAAAGTAGGTGTCTCAGTGCCCCCTACCAGCCTCGCCACTCGCTCCCCTGACTGACAGTTCAATTTATGCTTCCTCTACACCTTAAATGGGCTGCCAGGCTTCGGCGATAAAGACAAAGATTGCGGCGTCGTGTTCTGCACAAAACTGAACGATAAAATGCACTTAATGCTCCGCAAAATACTTGCAAAAACCAGAAAAAAGCAAAGATATAAACAGAAAAACGGCAGAAAACCCCGGACCGAGGCGGAGCGAATTCGCGGGCTGCTAAGAAAACGCATTAAGGCTAAATGTATCTTCCGGATATATTATGCATATTTATGGAATGCCCGGCCTATTCGGTTTCACCGGGGCCTGATCGATAACTTCAAAGTGAGAGCTCCTTAATCTCTAGCCAGGCGCGACTCCCAATGACCGAACAACTATACCGTCCCTCGTTTATTTCCTCGCATTAATTCAATTAGTTTATGGCCTACACACTCACGGCTAAGATATGCATTTTTTATAGCTGCCTCTAGACTTTAAAACTTTAATTTATTTTTCTTTCCCTTCCAGACATCGACTCGGCCAGTGTCCAGCTCCTGGGCAGCAATAGGAATGAGCTCCTTCTCAAATGCCATGTGGAGGCAGTCTCCGGATCTGATGATCCCCTCCAGATCGAATGGTACAGGAACAGCGCCAAACTAGCCTCCTGGCAGAACGTCCAGTTGGACCAGCACCGCCTCATAATTCGCCAGCCAAGTGCCGCCGATGATGGACTCTATCGCTGCACTGCCTCCAATGCCGCTGGCCGGGTGATGAGTAAGCAGGGCTATGTCTACAGGTCTAGCCTGAAATGCCTTCCCCGGTTGCCCAGGAGAAAGAACCAGAAGCTACCAGAATCGTGGAGCAAGGAGGTCTTCCTGTGCCGCGGAAAACGAGGAGGATCTGGAGGCGTAGAGTCCCTGCCGGCTGCTCCCGAGGACCTAAGGATTGTCCAAGGACCTGCGGGTCAAGCGGTCATCAAGGAAGGTGACCCAGCGGCCTTGACCTGCCTCTATGAGCTCCCAGCCGAACTGCAGAACCAAAGGATCCAGCTTCGTTGGCGCAAGGACGGAAAACTTCTGAGGCATGTGGAGCTGGGTAACTCCCTGCCCCTGCCAGGCAGCTCTGCCGATTCTGGCAAAGATGCCCTACTCCGCGAGGATGCTCGCCTGGTGCTCCATAAACAGAATGGAACCCTGAGCTTCGGTAGCATCATAGCCAGCGATGCGGGCCAGTACCAATGTCAGCTGCAACTTGAGGGCTATTCTCCCATCAACTCATCCCCCGGCATCCTGGAGGTCATCGAACAGCTCAAGTTTGTTCCCCAACCCACGTCCAAGAACCTTGAACTCGATGCTGCCGTTGCCAAGGTGCATTGCAAGGCGCAGGGGACTCCCACTCCTCAAGTGCAATGGATGAGGGTGAGTACTTGAAGGGATTATGCGCTGACTTTTTGGGGTATACAGATTTGATTACGATTGTCATCAATATAGAGTTCTGGATTCTTTTGGTTATCGTTTTGACAGCTCTCTGATAGCCATTCGTGGCACTCCTTTTGGCCATGTTTGGTCGCCACATGTCACTGACAAATTGAAAAACGCGCAACGCGCCGCTGGGCAAACTTTTGCTTCCAAAAAGCAAAACCGTTTCATATGCAAAATTCTATTGAGTCTATCTGGCCTAAGCACCACCACACTCACCCACACCCACCCAACAACCTCATCCAATAGACCCATCCTCATTCATCCCACACCTCCGATATTCCTTCCCGTCACCATTGAGTGTTTTGTGACGCCAGCTGTTTGCCATGGCCGACCAATTTTGGCAACTGTTTGTCTATTTGGACTGGGAGAAAACAAAACGGCCAAAAAATTGGTAGCAAACCCTATCAAAAGAAGTTTTCATTTGGGCCAAAAAACAAACCTATGACTACTCAAAACCTGTTCAAAGTTTGTATTGCTTTTGGGCCTCTTTTTTTTTTGGGAATTTTTGATGAAAACGCACGAGACACGTTGGCAAATTGGTTGGTAATGGTTGCCTGTCAGTCAGGTCTTTTTTTTGTGTCTATACACTGGGAGAATAGCTTCTCTCCTTAAACCCAGTTATATAACATTTCCTCCTTTTCTCTGAAGGATGATGTGAACACCTCACTGCCCGACCAAGTGGAGGTGGATGCCAATGGAACTCTCATCTTCAGAAACGTTAATGCCGATCATCGAGGAAACTACACCTGTCTGGCCACCAACACCCAGGGACAGATTAACGCCACAGTGGCCATAAATGTGGTGGTCACCCCAAAGTTCAGTGTTCCACCGGTGGGTCCCATTGAGACTGCGGAGCAGGGCAACGTGGTTATTCATTGCCAGGCCATCGGCGACCCCAAGCCCACCATACAGTGGGACAAGGATCTGACGTATCTGAGTGAAAATAACACTGATAGAGAGAGGTTCCGGTTCCTGGAGAATGGCACTCTGGAGATCCGAAACGTCCAGGCGGAGGACGAGGGCAGCTATGGATGCACGATTGGCAACAGCGCCGGACTCAAGCGAGAGGATGTCCAGTTGGTGGTGAAGACCGCCGGTGATGGTTTCCCGCCCGAGGAGTCCGGAGGCGATGGCTTCCTGGTGACACGTGCCGTTCTCATCACTATGACGGTGGCCTTGGCCTACATAGTCCTGGTGGTGGGTCTAATGCTGTGGTGTCGCTATCGTCGCCAGGCCAGAAAGGCCCGCCTGAACGAGCTGAGTACCAAGGAAGCTGGCGGAGATCAGCCCGATGGAGCTGCTAACGGCAAGGGATCCGAGCAAGAGCCATGCCTCTCCAAGCAACGCAATGGGCACGGCGGGCAGTCCCGGTCCAAGTCCAATGGAGATGCCCAGAAATCCGACGACACTGCCTGCAGTCAGCAGTCGAGGGCCTCCAAGAAATCCGCCCACATCTACGAGCAGCTGGCCTTGCCCAGGTCCGGGCTCACCGAACTTATTCAGATCGGACGCGGGGAGTTCGGTGATGTGTTCGTTGGCAAGCTGAAGGCCTCATTAGTGTCCAACGGTTCACCCAGCGACAAGGATACGGATACGGAGAAGGCGAACAGCAACAGCGAAAACGGTAGTGGTGGCAGTGGAAGTGGTAGCACCACCCTAAGCACTCTCAACGAGAAACGCCGCTCCAAAACCTCCATGGACGACATCGAGGAGATCAAGGAGGAGGAGCAGGAGCAGCAGCAGCAATCGGATCTCGATCAACTGGTCCTGGTAAAGGCCCTCAACAAGGTCAAGGACGAGCAGGCCTGCCAGGAGTTCCGACGACAACTGGATCTGCTGCGTGGCATCTCCCACAAGGGAGTGGTGCGTCTCTTCGGACTCTGTCGCGAAAAGGATCCTCACTACATGGTGCTGGAGTACACGGACTGGGGAGATCTCAAGCAGTTCCTGCTGGCCACAGCCGGAAAAGTGAACACAGCCTCGGCTGCAGCCACATCCTCACCACCACCATTGACCACCAGCCAGGTCCTAGCCGTGGCCTATCAGATTGCCAGGGGAATGGATGCCATCTATCGTGCTCGCTTTACTCACAGGTAGGTTTGCTATAAATCCTTTTATATAAATATTATTTACTTTAATATTATCTTTATATATTATTTTAAACATCATTTCAGGGATCTGGCCACTCGCAACTGTGTTATTTCGAGCGAGTTTATAGTCAAGGTCTCCTATCCAGCCCTTTGCAAGGACAAGTATAGCCGGGAATACCACAAACACCGCAACACTCTGCTCCCGATCCGGTGGTTGGCGCCCGAGTGCATCCAGGAGGACGAGTACACCACAAAGAGTGACATTTTTGCCTACGGAGTGGTGGTGTGGGAACTCTTCAATCAGGCCACGAAACTGCCGCACGAGGAGCTGACCAACGAGCAGGTGATCCAGAAGTCCCAGGCAGGAACCCTGGAGTGGACAGTGGCCGAAACGACGCCAGATAGTCTGAGAGAGATATTGGTAAGTTATCGAGATTGAATAGGATATTAAGATTCTTTTATATTAATAATTATAATATATAATTTTAATCTATTTTCAGTTGTCCTGCTGGGTGACCAATCCGAAGGAACGACCCTCGTTCAGCCAACTGGGTGCGGCCCTGAGCAAGGCCATGCAGAACCTGGAGAAGTGAGGAGCAGACTGATGGAGCAAATGCCAAAAAATAATTCGTAATATTGTCTTTAGTATCTGTCCGAGTATTTTCATTGCTACTCTAGTTCATAAGTCATAAGGATGGACGCCTGTTCAACATGCGTACTTAATGCAACACACAGATCGATATATATATATGGCTATATTTTAACAGTAACTGTACAAAAAATCATGAAAAAAAAATATATATAAAAAATTATATGTATTTGAAAGTAGATATCTTCGATAAAAGTATTTGCGTGGTGCTGCATATAAATATGCAGCAAAAATGTAAATAAAAACTGCCACAAATTTGCATTTAAACCAGTTGAAGCATTTCTAGGATTAGAGCATTTTAAACATTATCATCTGCATTTTACAATCCACTTTAAAGATAACTAAGTAAGTAAATCATCACAACGAGCGATTTCAAAGTGTTTTTTGAATAACTAAGCCAAATTTTAAGTTTAGCATACACACACCCATATATTTTATAATATATCCCTAGTTATATATTTATGTATATCTTTAAAAGTATTATGTGCATAAGAAAAAAGATGAACGACGAAAGAACGAAACAATTTATGACTAGCCATTTAAGCTTTGATGCATGTTTACAAAACATTTAAATAAACACGAATAAATAAATTTAACCGAATAAAACTGAAAAAAGCAAAAATCCGCAGTCTCAGCTTCAATTCCAATCACCAATCGCCCTTACCCTCACTCTCGACCGCTTGGGTTACTATTTTTTATAGGCATTTTCATTTGGCATGGCAAATTTGTTGAGGGTCCTTTGGGGTCGGGCGCTAAGGAGCGGACTTGGCTCATTCACACTTCACTTGATTTGAAAAATGAGCGCCTATTGAATGTCGGATTGGGCCTGCCCGGGCCCTGGTTCCTTCGACTACGTCTCTCAAAACGATTGACAAACAAACATGGCAATAAACCGTAAAGTTGCCTTAGCTTATTGGGGCTTAAAGTTCTACTTGGGTACCCCGCCCTCCCGCCATGTCGACCGGAAGTTCCAGCGCCTACGTAGCCAAAAAAGTTTCCTCGTGCGAAAACTTTGGCCAGGACTGGAGAGATCCTGGCTATATTTGCATTTGAATCAGCAGCAAAAACAACACCGTTACACAATGAGTTGCCATTTTCCTAGACTCGGTAGTGGATAGGCTGTTTAGCTTTTCCTGGCACGTACAAATATCTGCCTGTCATGAATATCAAATGCCTCCGAAAAAAGGTTGATTGAACAGTTGGTAGCAGGAAGTGTGGCAGGCATGGAAAAAAAAGCGTATTGGGAAAGGGTATAGAGAGTAGTCAGAAGTGGAATACCCTCATAGAACAGGAAAGGCTTCTTCAAAGTTAGGAAAAGATTTTTTTCCTCTCTCTCTGGAAGTCAAAGGCAAACTTCTGTTGGATTTTTCCACTTCTCCAAGATTAACTCTTTTAAACTGGAATTTTCGTTTCATAACTGATAAAAGCATTAGGGCCATTGACAAATATATGCATGTGTGTAATAACTCAAAGGAAACCTGCATTTGCCCGAAAATAAAATACACCACGACTTCTGGCATAGCACACATGGCGTATGCGCAATGTTTGCAATGGTCGTAATGGAAGGACGACAGCTGTGCAGCAAAAATAGCAAATAGCAACGAAAGCCTAAGCTCTATAGAAGAAAAACATAAAAATGCCATTTCACATGGCTTTCAATTTATTAATATTTTATACGGGACTCCAGCCAGCAGAAAGGGAATAAATAGAGAGAAAATACAAAAAGTGTGGAAAATGGCTTTGGCAATTCAAGCGTAAAATGTGCATTACTCATACGCCGCATTGGCCAACATGGCAAATGTGTAGGTGTAGCTGGGGAGTACCTGGGAGTAGCTGGGACTTGAATGACCTACACCACTTTGTTATGCCTTTTACCTGAGCGCGGGCATAAATTGCACATCACATTACGCATACGCACCGATGGCCAGGCTCTGACACAAATAAATTACGCATTAAATTTGGCAACTGTTTTCTGCCTTCATCGTCCCTTGAATGAGTCCTTCGGAGTGCCAACTCGAAAGCCAGCAGATTGATGGTGCATTCGCTGGGAAGTTGCCTCATTATGAAGTCCCCGAAAACATATTTTCGCATTCATCACAAGGCAAAAGTTTTCACAGTCGTGGGTAACTTCCCAAAGTCCTGACTGCCTGCCATCCTGGCACTCTGGCATCCTGGCATATAATTGAAGCACATCGCAGACTCGTTTATAATACCGTCATCTCCCCAGCAATCATATGGCTGCGTGCGAGATGCAGCATTTTATGGGCCTGCTCTGGTTTTTATGGCATTTTCATTTGCGAAATTTCTGCACAATTAGTGAGAGGGAAACTTTGAATTGTGTTTTTGGGGCAAGTTGAATGGGAAAAGGGTTATGCAATCATTCCAAGTAAATTTGATTAATTGAAGCGAAAGAAACAAACTGAAAAAGTCTTTCACTTTAATTAGTTTTGGCTTGGGAATATGGGATTGTATTTAAAGAGACTCTTTCTTCTGACAATTTAATGGGTTTTCTCATAAAGTATACACTTTAATATCCTGAAAATAAATAATTAAAAAATAGTAAATATTTACTCTGATTTGAACCAATCTGATGAGCGTTTTTGGATCATCATCCCCTCCATTTCGACCAAAAGGTCAATCGGATTTGGCAAAACTAATTAGGGATAAACGAGGGTAAACGTCCTGCCACTTCCATCCGAAAGTGATTTGGTCGTGTCTATCTGAGAGATGGGATCCCTTTAAGTTGGGCCAACACTTTGCTTTATTTTGACAAGCAGCAGCAGAGGCACAAAGGAGCAGGACACCTCATCCGCCCACAACAATCCACCTGAAGGGGTGGCTGAAAGGGGTGGAACATGCATTAAACAAACAGCTGAGCCTTTTGTGTTGACTCATTAACGCACAAGCCAGGGGGAGACTCCGGGTGAAAGGAGAGGGTCCTGGCGAAACGACAGAAATGAAACATCAGGCTGATGAGAAGCCTCAGTCCGTACCACCGCTTCAAGTGAAATAAATACCCCAAAGTCATAAAAAGCAACAACAAAACCAAAGTTTTGAAAGTTTAGAGATGACAAAAGGTAAAGCGATATTTTAAGGAAGTTTATAAAAAGTTTAAGACTTAAGTAATATATTTAATATTATTTTTAAACAAAATTTTAAATACAATATATATTTAGAAAAAAAAACAAACATCTACCATCCCTAATTTAAGCAAAGTGCCACCCCCTGGGTCCTGACTGCTGCTGGCCACGTCTGGCAGGCGACACGACACTCGACTTGGCTTGAATGCCACAGGATACCGGGGGCCAGAGCCCGAGCCCGGAGTCTGGGTCGGATCCGCCGTCAGGAGCTGCCTGGTTGGGTGACTTGTTGTGGAGTAACAATTTTCATTTTCAACGCCGGGCGTCGGGCGTAGAGCGCAAAAAACGCATAAAATTTTACGAGCTAGAGGGGGCGGCACAAAAACCGGGGGCCAGGGCGAAGGCGGAGCAGGCGGGAAGGACAAGGGCAACCTGTGTATCCTGGGTGGGTTACGACTCCCTCGGTAAAAGTTTAGCTTTCGTGTTGGCCATAAAATGCCTGACAGGGCTTAGGAATGCAGTTGATTTGGAATGGAGTTTGGCGAAACTCTTACGCCTCAATGGAGTCAGCATCCAGCAGTCCATTGGGGGATTTTGCGGCTGATGTCTTCTCACCCAGGGGCAAGGGTTAAGGACTTGAGAGTGAGCGGGAGCACCACCTATACATACATACATTCAGAAAGAGAAACAAACAGTGTACAGGTGATGCCTTCTTCGCGTTTATTGAGTCGCTTTCCGTTAAGTTTCGAAATCTCCTTTTTATGGCAATAACGGTTAAGCGGCATTAGCTCCATCTCCTTCCCCCACTCCCACTAGTTATGCCAAAACGAGATTGCAGTATTGTGAGAATTAGCGGTAAATGAGCATGCTTAGTGGGCTGAGACAAGGAGAAGCAAAGAAAGAGATAGCCAGTTGGACAGAAGGTGGGAGCGGGAAAACCAGGATGAAATCTTAGGACAAACTTTTCTTTTCCACGGGGCATTTAAGTTCAATGAGGGGGCTGGGGCTTATAAAGCAGGTAATGGGACGTTGGGTAACTGCCAACTGTGAAATGGAAAACCTACTGGGAGTTGAGGTAGGGGATAAAATATTTGCAATAAGTCGGTAAGTATTTTTCGTTTTACTTTTTTAAGGATAGCTCAAGGTCACCAGAGTTACACTTTTTAAGAATTTAATAAAACGTCCTGATCCAATCCTGATCCTATTCTCAAGCGGAGTACCTTAAACGATTTCTAGATCGATTCTGCACCATTCTGCATCAAAACCCTGAGACGAAATATTTTTTAGATTTTTTGTCCATTTTTCCTGATGGGACCCTTGAAAATATGGTTTTCCCCTATGGGGTCCACTGTGATGGCTATATCTTCCTCAATTCTCATCCGATTCTCAAGCGGAATACCTTAAACGATTTCTAGATCGATTCTGCAACATTCTGCATCAAAATCCTGAAACGAAATATTTTTTAGTTTTTTTGTCCATTTTTCCTGATGGGACCCTTCAAAATATGGTTTTCCCCTATGGGGTCCACTGTGATGGCTATATCTTCCTCAATTCTCATCCGATTCTCAAGCGGAATACCTTAAACGATTTCTAGATCGATTCTGCAACATTCTGCATCAAAATCCTGAAACGAAATATTTTTTAGTTTTTTTGTCCATTTTTCCTGATGGGACCCTTCAAAATATGGTTTTCCCCTATGGGGTCCACTGTGATGGCTATATCTTCCTCAATTCTCATCAGATTCTCAAGCGGAATACCTTAAACGATTTCTAGATCGATTCTGCACCATTCTGCATCAAAATCCTGAAACGAAATATTTTTTCGATTTTTTGTCCATTTTTCCTGATGGGACCCCTTGAAAATGGGGTTTTCCCCTATATGGCCCACCGTGATGGCTATATCTTCCCCAATTCTCATCCGATTCTCAAGCGGGGCACCTTAAACGATTTATATATCGATTCTGCACCATCCTGCATCAAAATCCTGAGGCAAAATATTTTTCAGATTTTTTGTCCATTTTTCCTGATGGGACCCCTAGAAAATGGGGTTTTCCCCTATATGACCCACAGTGATGGCTATATCTTCCCCAATTCTCATTCGATTCTCAAGCGGATAAGCAATAGTTTTATAAATTATACGTAACTTCCTAAAATATAATTCAAGGTCACCTTCTAGTACCTTTTGTCCTTAATGCCTTATTCATGCTGTTTGATTAGCCGCAAATCCTTTTTTCAGTCTAACGCCCCCGCACAGCTTTGGCTTCAGCATTTAACGGGCTCTTGCCCTTTAGCCCCGAGCAAATATGCCGAGAGAGTGGAAAACTTTAACTACAAACACACAACGAAGGACCAAGGACACCCAGACACACAGGCACACAGACACACACACACAGTCACACAGCAGTCGGAGAAAGTCTAGCAGAGGGGCAAACAAAAGTAACTGAAAAATTTAGCGCTATGTCAACACATTCCAACAGGCAGCCAGGAAAATTCCTTGACTGCCTCGCCTCTCCTCCCATTTATTATT